TTATTTGTTGTAAATGCTGAATTCAGCTTTCTGGAGAAAAACAGTCAAGCGATTCAACAGGTCTAATTGTGAATAAATATAGGGCTGATCAACCAAGAACTCTTGAATTCACATTGAACAATGTTCATACAGTCAAAGACTGCAGCGGGATCGTCGCCATATTCCTGGCAGGCTTTTCGTCTTAATAATCCTTAATAATAATTGAATTTTTGTGAACAACTTTTACTCACCCTATACTAGATTTATATATTAGAAATTTAGATTATTGATGGCTACGGCCATATCACGATGAATGCACCTCATCCCGTCCGATTTGAGAAGTTAAGCATCGTCGAGCCACATCAGTACTGAGGTTGGAGACAACTTGGGAACCTGTGGTGTTGTAGTCTTTTTTGTTTTAAGATGAAAAAAAGGATTTGAAATGGTGATTAATAGATAAGTGAAGGGATTTTATTGCACAGTGTTTGTAATTGTTGGTTCGATTGTGTCTACAATTGTTTCAGCCATAATCTTGTTAGAAACTTTTGCCTTTTCATCCCTTTTTTCAACCTCATTCTTGTTTGTTGATTTCCTTTTGGTCAATGGTACAAACGAAATATTCATGGGGGGCCGACAAATTAAAAAAATCATTCCTATTAGGATAAAAGTCAATATCAACAATGAATTGAAAAATGCAACCAGATTAGTACCACTTTCTTACAAATAGAATGAACTTTCGAAAGTCTCATCCATGCCTGATTTTCATTAAAGTAGACACCATAAAGAACTTTGGTGATGACTGCCTGACAATATATCCACAAGGTCAAGCTCAATAAATAACCAGCAAACTCAAAACCAAGAAAAGCTCCAGTCAACGCAAGTGGTCCCATATTCATAGCTGAAGTATAACCTATTAAACCACATAACTGATAAATCTGTTGAAACATGAGAATAATAGGAGAATGTACATTGGCCTCTTGTTTAATACCATTTTATTCCATTGATAGATTAGTAGAAAGGACATGGAAACTAGAAGAAAGAAGACTCATTAGAGAAAAGTATTGCTATGGGTCAAATAATATGGACAGCACTGACGATAATATTATTGTTTAAGTAGGATTTTCTCAATTTAAATTGAGCACAGATAAAATTTCCAATTTCCCAGATGCCATGCTGTACACTCTTATCCATTCCCAAATGATAAGCGATGTTGAAATTAATAAGGATGGTATTCGTATATTTCAATTTCCATCTCAAGACCCTCACATATTCAGGAGATTCATTTTATTGTTTAACTGGAATTTTGATTAACGTGAAACGTTTACAAGAAAATAAGCGCTAAATTGAGTGTTGTAAAATATTTAAGTTTATTAAACTCTCTTTTCATAATCAAATATGAATGGCTCTAAAACAGTTCTTGTAATAATGTATGTTTCTTTGATGTTTGATTGTTGTTCTTTCAAATGCTCTGGAACCTTAATCCTGTATTGTTTCAACAAATAAACAAGGATTAATTTGATTTCTATTAATGCCATTCTTCTTCCAATACAATCCCTTGGGCCAATAGAGAAGGTAATTAAATCTTCTTTTTGGAAATCAATAGATAAATTTCCCATAGTTCCCTTCTCGATATTATTTGGAATGCAGAAACGATCAAATTTGAAATCATCCATAGCATTATTATGAGACAGCTTATGATGAGCATATATTCCAACGTTAACAACCGTTCCTTCTTCAAGGATTTGTCCACCAATAGTTTCACCTCCCTTCTTGGTAATTATTCTTGTGGTATCACCAACAATTGGTTTGGCTCTAAATGCCTCCTTAATGAATGATGTCAAATATGGAAGTTTTTCAGTGACATCTTCAAATTTGATTGAATCCATGGATGGAATTTCATTATCAATTTCTTCAATGAGTTTTTCTTGTATTTCTGGTCTGGTTGCCAACAATCTCAACATGAAGTTCAAAGAATTGGAACTTGTTTCAAATCCAGCAAAGAAAATAATGAAAATGGCACTAACCAATTCGTCATTTGTCAAACGTTCTTCCTCTGTTAATTTACCATTATTGGAGCTTTTCAACAATAAGCTTAGTAAATCTTCATCTTCTTTCACTTGATTGTCATTCTCATATTCCTTTGTCTTTTTGAGAATCATCTTCATGGCTGTCTCTCTGAATCTATTCTTTGCATCTTTAAATCTTTTGAAAATTCCAAAAGGAACATATTCGAATAACCATTCAGGGAATACAAACTTGTATAATAAACCAACTAATAAATCAGAAATCCAACCATGTACTTCGTCTCTGTGTTCAGGATTCTTATCAAATATCTCTATATTGAAATCGAATGCAACTCTATTGATAATGCTTAATGTAATAGACTTCAACTCTTGTGTAGTGTTAACATTTCGAATATTTCCATTAGAATCTGAATCATTATATTTGGTCCAGTATGGAATCATCTTTGCTAATTCCTCCATTGTAACTCTAAAAACATTCCTTAAATGAGAACTGTTACTGAATACTGGATTAGCCAATGTTCTGTGCTTTTTCCAAAGTGGATTATTAGAATCAGCTGAGAATAGATTCGCTCCAAACAAACCAACTGGAGCCAATAGCTCACCCTTTCCAATAGATTTATACTTTCTAACAAGAACATCCTTGATCATTTCCTTATCCCTGGCTATTGTGAAAAATATCTCTGATCCTTGTTGAACTTTAATCATTGCTGCATTTGGATGTTTTGTAAAAGCTTGCATGCTACACAAATAACCATAGTAAACAAACATTGGATCTCCATGCATGAGTGAATCTATAATTGAAGGGAAGAATGAGACATAACCAGGTATGTGTTTATATTTCAAGTAGATTCTTATAAATCTAAAGGTATGAATCATGATATAAATTAGTACTAAGCCAATGATTAGGTACATGACTTGAAATAAACCATCAAGTGAAGAGCTTAGTTCAGTGACTACCATTTTGAGTTATTTTTTTCACACTAGTGCTAGAGAGTGGTTTGGGCCAAGTTTTAAAGTATGTTAAGTACTAGGATCCGATTACATAAAGGAGGAGTTCCAATTCGATATATCTTCCAATTAGTGTTCAAGATTTGATTTCTTAATTTCGGAAAGCGAATAGTTGAGATACGAAGTCCTCGGGATTTTTACAATAATTGTAATGTTTCTTAATCCAATTCTAATCTTCTTTCAAATCAATTTAGGAATCATTTAAATTGAAACATCCAGCATGATTTGGTTATAGGGATTGCTTCTGCATAATCTTTTTCCATTTTTTGTTTGTGTGATCCATATGGAAGTAAATTTTTATCTTTTGACCATCAGTGACTTCTTCGTGAATGAGAACTTTTTCTTCAAGAATTGAAATACCTGTCAAAAATTTTAAAATAGTAGATCTAGTTTCAGTAGTCACACGATTACAACCTTTCAAAATATTTGAATCCAAATAAGTGTTTACCCTTTGTGATCGTGGGTCCTCGTTCCATCCTGTTGTATCAAAAGAATGACTACTCAAATAATTGAAACACTTCCTCATTCGTTTGTAATTCAGTTTTTCATTTAAGTAACTTGTCCAACATTCCATGAAGAAATCTTTTGAGTATATTACATTATTGAAATTCAATAAAGTTGCTCTTTTCATAAACTCCACATCATTTACAAATGCGTTACCCAGACAGGAACCAAATCCTTCATACAAACAGCATTGTAATGTAAATTCTTTGTCATTTTTAAATAAATTTTGGTGGTGAACCTTAAGTGATTCTGTTACTCTTTTCTCATTAGAAAAAAGCTTGATTAATGCACCAAATACTTGTTTCTTGACAGAAGAAAAGTGTGAATCATCTTCATCTTTGAGATAAAATTCTATGAATGAATCAATGGAATTTGCTTTCATGAGTTCTTGTTTTGATATTTTAGTTCCTCTTACATCAACATTACATTTTTTTTCAATCAGTTGGAAAGCAAACTCTGGATCTTTTTTCAATTTTTCGTCAATATGTTTAAAGTGCAACATTCTATGTTGCAAAAGAGCTAGCATTACTTCACGGTCATTTCGTAGGTTTGGATTTTGAAAAAATATATCATTGATGGTCTGCCCATAACAGCTATTAGTATTGTGCGTTAAATAATGTAAAATTACATCTCTATCTTTTTGTAGTTTTTTGTGAGCTACTTTAAATGTTTTTGATGCATTATATTCCATTGCTTTCATTACAATATCTTTGTCAGACATGAATTTAGATGGAATCTTCATATTTGGATCAGCAAGCGCTAGCATGACAATATCCTTGTGTTCCCTAAAGTTGGTTAAATTGTTATAATATTCAGGCTTCTGTTTCAACACTAATGTTATGACTGAAATATCATTTCCCCATTCATAAGGAAAGAAATTAATCAATGTCACATTAATTTCTAGAGATTCCAATAAAAAATTCCTATCATTAAGAAGTTTGTTAGGAATGAGTTTAAAGACGTTTTGCATAATCAATTTTTCAACGTTATCTCGATCGTTATAATCATCATCATCTGTAGTTAATGCCATGTTGAGAAATCGTTCAATTACCTTGAAAAAGTCTAATAGAAAAGTCTTGTCGTTCCTTAATTCCTCATGAACCAACTCAAAACAAATAGGATTTGTCTTTGATATTTCTAACATAAAGGAGGCATCCTTTCGAAATGTTTCTGGAATAAAGTATGGAATTCTAAAATCTTTCTTGTCGTAATAGTATGTATATGTGTTGCAGGCCAATAAAAGTACTTCTCTATCGTTTAATAATTCTTCTGATGCCAATAATATCATTTCCCCACTACTTTTAACTGATTTTAATACTATTTCCTTATCTTTTCTAAAATCAGGAGGTAAATATCTTAAATCAATATGAAAATGACTCAACTTGTGAATGTTATTTTTGAAAATTTCAATAATATTATGGTCATCTTTCAAATTCTCTGATACATAAAAGTACATGTCTGGATTATTAGAAATTGCTATGCAAGCGATCTCATTGTCACGTCTGAGCTCTCTGGGTAAGTACTTGTAATAACCAGGGTTTCCACGGACTGCTTTTAAAGCAATACTACGATCTTTCTGAAGATCAGAAGAAAGGTAATTATAAATCTGACATTTTTCAACTATTTTCAAAACAAAATCCTTGTCGTTTCTAGTTTCATGGTCGAGATACTTGAAGCTAGTTGGAGATTCTACAAGATTCAAATATTGGTTGTTGTTAATTAAATATGGAAACTTCTCATTACATATCTTTAAAATTTCTTTGTCGTTGGAATAAAGTTGTAAAATACTATACAACATTACATCACATCCAAAATTGAGTAAAGTAATTACTAATTCTCTGTTGTTTAAACTTTCGTATTGGATACTACTTTTAACTGGCTTGAATAATCCAAGTTCAAGTGCTTTCGTAAGAACTTTGTTTTGACATAGTAGTATTGGGGGTATTAATAATTCATTCTTGGTAGGATCTTGAATTTTTTCCAATAGTTCTATTTCTGTAGAAATAGCCTCTGAAAGAAATTCAGAATCTTCATAAAATCTTTCAGGAATCGATAACAGAGTTTGAGGATTTTTTCTTAACAATTGAATAGCAGTTGATGGTTTCATGAAGATAAATTTGTTTAAATGGTTTTTGTATCGATAAACCACATCAATATCATTATGATAAGCTGCTCCTATTGATTGAATATAGGATTCACCCAGCCTGTACAGCGAATCGGAAAGGTGTAGAACAAAAGTTCTATCACTAATAATAAGCCTTTGTGCTTTTAAATTAATTTTGCCAAACTCTGCATAACGTTCGGAATTGGGCAACAAACATTTTCCAGTAATTCTAGCCAGACAACTTCTCACCATCGGATCATCAATGATGGTGTAGCCAAATTCTTGTAGAAATGAATCTAATTGTGGAAGGAGAGCCACAAGAAATTGTGTGCTTTGGAGTTTAATTTCTAGCCAATCGGAAGCATGTGTTTCATCCAAAATAATTATTACATTGTCTTCTTCTTCTTCTGATGATGATGATGGTTTTGATAATTTTACTGGTGGTTGATCATGGTTAGCTTCAATTTCAATCGTTAGAAAATCAAGCTTTCGCTTTGGAGCCATTTTTTTTTGTTTTCTTTCCACCATCCAATGGAATTACAATAATTCAGAATATTTATACTTTAATTTATGATTATTCAGTACCGCTTCCTTTATTATTACAAAATTTGGTTTTCTGAAAGAAGTGTTGATATGTTATCGAAAAAAGATTTGCATGATTTGAAAATTATTCATTGTGATGTAAGTCTTCCAATCGTTCTGCTATAGGAATTTGAGGCATTATTGATTTTAACAATTCGAAACTCAAAACTACTCATCAAAAATTCCTAAATTTCAAAGATGAGTATATGCCAGTAGAAACAAGTCTTCCATGCCATGGAAGTATGCGGGTATTGTTGTTAACAAATAATTGACCAGCTTTGGAATGTTAACCAATTTGCTCAAAAACTCCAAGTACTTGTAAAGCAGTTGAATGTTTTCTTGAAATGGAAAATCTCAGATTTACCCTCATTCTCAATAACATCCTTCAACATTTGAACAATCACTCCTATATTATTGAATTCCTTCTTTTTCTTATTGAGCTCACTCACTATTCTTTCTTTTAAATTTCCCTTTTACATTTAAAAATTTTAGAAATTGGCACATTGCAAACAATTGTCAAAAATAATTGTGCCAACACTAATCCAATACTATAATAATCATGTTCTTTTGTAAATTGAACTAATTCGTTTGGAGGACAGTATGGCTCTGATATAAATGGAAAGAACATATTTTCAGAATTGTTGTTACATTCTGGAAATGTGGCTTGTTCTTGTCCTTCCACTTTACAATGATTGAAATCAAGTAAAATGAAATTAAAGTTAGAAACTTTCGGCAATTGTTCCAGTATTGTACTTTTTTCTTTGGCATGAGCTGTCATGACAGGTTTTGTAAATAACACACCAACATTTCTAATAGAAATATCACTATGAATAATGTTATTTTCATGTAAAATGTTAATTGCCTCAATAGCGTCCATCATTAACTTGATAAAACACAATAACTTGGTGTTGAAATCTTTCTGGTTAAGGTAAATATAGAAAGTAACAATATCCCCAACAAATTGTGAAAATGTTACAAAAATTGTTGGTTCTAATTGGGTTGTAAGTGGAATGCTTTCAAAAAACAATTCATCCAATTGCGAACTAGTTATAGAGTGTTTCTTAAATTGAAAAATCTTATTAATATTGTCATGTTGAATGGATTTGACAATTTCCATACCATTCACATTCTCTGAACTATTATCAAAATAGTGAACTATCTTTAAAAACCCACTTTCAAGTTTAAAATATAGAGCTATCTTGTCATTATTTCGTATTTTGGTAGCTGTTTTACCATTAATTCCATATCCTTGAACTATTTCTTTCAAATTATCAGAGTAATTAATTTCTTTGGTGATGGTTGATACTTTTTGTTTCTTTAATCCTGTTCCTTTGGTATTCCTATTTCTCTTATTGAATGTATTTGGTTTTTCTTTGTAATCTTCATCATCTTTGTCAATTTTTCTTCATCATCAGCAGTATATTTTGTATAATTTGAATCCTTTTTTTGCAATTTGGAAGTTTTGTTTTTAGTAAATATAAAACCTTGCAAATTGGTTGTTGCTACAAAACCAACAACCATTACTTTGGTGTACGAATTCAACTCAAATTCATTCAGTTTCGAATAAGGGATAACCGCTAAATGTGTTGTTTGCTTTTCAAACATTGGTTTTTCAATACCAATTTCTTTTTTGAATTCAAAATCATAATTTTTGAAATATTCTTTCATACTTGAAAGTTGTGGATAAACATTGATCATATTATTATCTGATGTTAAAAAACTTTCATAAACCATCACAGAGCGTCCTCTTCTCAATTTGCTTATTGATGTGTTAGGTGATGACAAAAATTGGTATTCCTTTTCAACAAGAGAAATAGCTCTGAAATAATCTAAATGAGCTGTAAGTTTCTCGATAAATTGTTCTCTTTCCTCTTCTTTGTTCAACGAGAATGCATGTGAGGTCAATGCGTACTCAATTCCAAAAGTCTCGATTTGAACATTCTCAACAGAAAGTAAATCGGCTTGCATGCAGAGTATGAATATATTGTCTCTAGAAGACAAAATTCCAAATGTTCTTAACGGCTTTGGGCAATGTTTTCTGTTTCTTTGAGCTGTTAACATGGAAGATTTCAAACATGTTCTCATCAATAAGAGGATTTTTGCAAAGTCTTTGTGTTTCCAAATGGAAGAGCAATTGTCTCGTTGGTGTTCTATAACAAGGCATATGTGATTTAGAGTGGTATCAACTGAAGCAATTACATGACAATCCCTTTTCAAAGATGACGTGAAAGAATAGGATGGGATGTCACAAAATTTCAGGGCTCGATCCAAACATTCGTCTACCATGTTAAAGGGGCCATCTCTTCAAAGTTGTTGTTTTAAACAGAACTAGTACTTACGTTTGGAATAAAAGCTGATCGTTACTTAAACATGCATTTTCAATAATGCAAGTCAGATATGTCCACTCGTTTTCTATTCCAGCTTTTGTGAATTTAGAATAGTTTAATAAAGGATCGAATAGAGAAAATATTCGAGTATTGGATGAAGAAGTGCCATCAAATCTGGAAATCCTTGTTGTGTCTGCAATATTACTGGTTGTTGGTTCAATCTTGAAACATATTTGAAAGTTTACACAAAAATTGAAAGTATTATCATCCAACTTTACATTATGTTGATCCAAGAATGTTCTATTTTCTTCAGCCAGTACTTTTTTGTAGGTACTAGTGTTGTCGTTGTGATTTAGTTGTTGAATCTCCTCCTCAATAATTTTCCCTTCACAACAACTATTAGCAGGCTCCATCATTAATAATTGTTCAATTATTTCAATTCCTTTTGCCTTACTCTCTGTGCAACTATCAACAAACAACTCAATTCCATTCTTGGTGAAAATTGTATCACATATAGCACCGATTGTATGATTTGTTTTAGACTTTGTATTATAAATATCACACAATGAGTGCAAAAATCGTCGAAGTATTTCTTCAATTTCCTCGGCTTCTTTATTAGGCGTTTCCTCCCACGTAATTTCTTGCGTGCCGTCCAGAATGTTGCTGTTAGTTGGTTCCGACATTTTTAATTGGAGAGTACTCAAGCACGAGATTTGTTGAATAGTTTTCAATCCATAATAACATGCGTACTGCCCAAGTCAGAATTGAGGTTTATTGACAGTCACTCCATACTAATGGCAAAAGACAATTGCTTCGTATTAATATTAATACAATAAACTGATAGTAATTGACAGTTTGCATCTAATAAGCGAAACTTCTTTCCATCATTTCCCTCAAACAACTTTTAATTTCCCTAATGCAAATTAGCAGCTCTTTCGTAATTGTATTGAAAAACAATAAGAAAAAACATCATCATCATCCTTCAGTTTCAATGACTAAAGTTGCACCATCAGGAAGTGAGTATGAGGAACAGACAACTCCATCCGTTGTGGCCATCAAAGAACCACTCAATCCAAAGACACAGCCGCGTACTTGCTGCACAGGTATTATTCCACTCAATCTCTTTATTGTTTCAATTATTTCAGTAATGATTCTAAGTGGGTGTTTATTGGTTTGGCTATCTTCTTATCTGGTAACAGAGAAGGCAATTAATGATTTGTCGACCAAGCTCATAAACGAATCTGGAAGAAAGATTATAACCTATCTAGATGGTGTTATGACACCAATCGCCAAATTGACCAAAACCATGGCCAGAGAATATACCACAGGTGTTGTGACCATTCCCATGTTTAGAAATTACTTGTTTCCAAAGTTTGTAGAATTTCGAACTACTGGTTGTGGATTCTTCTTCAGTGTTCCTCTCCCATCCAGATACACCTATACTATTAGTGGAACCACGAGTAATCCATTTCCAGTTTTTGCCTATCAACCTTTTGGATATGAGGGTAATATGTATCCGTGTTATCCAGCCAACGCTGGATTGAAAGGATTTTGTCAGATGTAAGTGGATTCCGTCGACTGCCAGTGGATTTTTATCTGGATAAATCAGATAAATCAAGGAAAAATCTGGATTTAATGGATAAAATTAAAGGGGGGCGAGTAACCAATCAATACCATCATTAAACTGATTCAAAACTTTCGTATAGCCAATGGAATTCATGGCTAAGATCTTGCAATTTACCATCTTGTGCATTTCTTATTAGTTCTGCAAAGAAAATAACACTGCACATTCACTCAAACTCTTCTATTAAATCTTGCTTTTTTTCCAACTATTTCCAATTTGAATTATAATCATATCATTTATTGTTATTTTTGTTTGATCTCTCTTAATACAATCACTAGATGAATAAATTTGTGATTAACTTCCGATTCTACCAATTCTACCAATTCCAATATGTTGACTTGATTCACGTGATGAATTGGATCTGTTGCTTGTAGATATGAGTCTTTCTGTGTTAGTTTGCCAACTGAAATAATAGCAGCTCTTCTGTGTACTAAATTGTATTTTGCAGAATCCAATAAAATCGGAAATATCCATCCATTATCCATTTTATCCTGGCTTTGTCTTGATGGGATCCACTTACAGTGGATCCCATCTGACAAAATCCTTTCAATCCAGCGTTGGCTGGATAACACGGATACATATTACCCTCTTGGATATCCAGGCACCATTGAGAGATATTGTGAACATCACCACAGGAGACATTGTAAAAGTCAATTCTACAGTTGACTTGACTCCTTACGTACCTGCCAAACAAGATTTCTTCATTTATACATTGAAAAACTATTACGAAAAGGGGTTGGAAGGAGTGTATGGAGAACCATACAAGGTTTTGGGAAGTACAGTTGCCATTTATTATTCTCAATTAATGTACGATCCAGAAATTTACAAACTAAACAAGACGAAATCATTGGTTGGATTGGCCAAAGTTAATCTTTCACTAGAAACGATTGTAAACTTTCTCTCCAAGATTGAATTACTGGGAAGAGGTTACGTTCTGGTAGCTCAGGACAATTTCATTGTCATTGGTGGATCCATCGATACCATTTCAGGAGATGGTTTAAATAGCACAAACATCTTTGATGTCAAGTCGAGAAATGCTGGTTCACTAATGAAACAATTCTACGAGTTGAACAATAGAACATTTAGTATTTTGCCATCTGTGATGAAAATTGTGGGAGAATCTGATGGTGTTAGCTATATCATTACTCCGTACAAGTATGTTTTGGAAAATATGCAGTGGAACATTTTCTTTGTTTTGTACGAATCAGAGGTGACTGAAGCTTTGATTTTGACAACTTCAATTTCTATTGGTGTCACTGTTGGAATTATTGTTCTTGGAATTGTTGGAAGTTTTGTTACTGGACTAGTTGTTTCGAGACCTATGAAGTTCTTGGAGAAGCAATTCGAAAGAATCAAAGTTCTTGATTTGGGTAGTGTTTCGAATAACAGTTCCATGTTTAGAGAAGTGAACTCAATTTTCAATAATTTGAAGAATACAGTTGAGTGGCTTGCTGAAATTAAAACTTTCATTCCTCAATCAGTATTTGAACAGATTCAAAATGAACACTTAGAACATGTTGAAAATCAACAAGAATTGGAAAAGAATGCAGAAATATCAAGAAATTCAATTTCTGCCTCAAACGCCTCCAGAAGTCACTTTTCAAGTAAGAGCACAATGAAAAAGGGTCAGCACGCCTCCAATTTATTCAAGATGGGTTTATCCAAGAAGGGTTGTGCAGTTATTCATGTCAAAATTGATGGACTGTCATCAAAATCTCCTGACAGTATTACAACTATTTTTGGAGATATTGTAAACCTTCTTGGTCCAATTGTAAAACTATCTCAAGGAAATTTAAACGTCTTCTCATGTGATGAATTTCAATTATCACTGAATAGTAACAGTGTAGATGTAAGACTTCAAGAAAAGGCATTTGATGCAGCTTTGAAAATTGTAAAGGTAATTGAAAGTTTACAAAAGAAAATCACAGCCAGGGTTGGTGTTTCTATTGGAGATGGTTATGTTGGAAATATTGGATCTTCAACTGCAAGATATTTCAGTATGGTTGGCTCAGTTTCTGAACAGGCAAAGACCTCTCAATTGGCCTCTAAATTCAATGTTAAAATCATTACTGACGATTGCTCAATTTCCTCCTCACAGAAATTAGTGTATAGACCTCTAGATAGGATTCAAAAAGTAACCGAAACTTCAGACGATTCAATTTTCACAATATATGATGTCATTGCTCAAAAGTTAGATGATCAAGATGACGAATGGTTGTACTCTTTGGAAAATTCCAAAAAGAATAACAAATTCCAAGAATACTCAAAGGTATTTGATCTTTTCACCACTCAATATTGGAAAGCTCATGAAAATCTTTCACAATCTGATGCTGTTGGATATGTTGGTCATGCATTCCAAATATTGAAACAATTCTCAGAGCAGGAATTTAAGAATCATGATGTTTCTTGCGATAGAATCATTTCATGTCTCAGTTTCATTCTTGATAATCAGCAATCTTTCAAATCATGTGAATCAATTTGCAAATATTTGACATCGTATTCTAATGTTGCATCTTTTGAACTTGTCAATAAAAGAGATTGAATCTGATCTTCATTACTATTCGAAATCATTCGAAAAGACATTCATTGTGCAATCAACTTCAATTTGACTTTTTCAATTTCGAATTTGAAACAATTAAAGTAATAAACAGATACCTTTCCGAATATTCATTCATCTATCAAAAAAAATGATGCAACAACACACCAACGAACGATTCCAAGATGAACATCTAGTTCTCGGTGAAGGGTCTGAAGGAAAATTCTTCTACAATCGGTCATCATCACCAGAGAATATTGAACTCCAAGAATTACTCATCAAGAGACATGAACCTCATGCAAAAGCTTGTCAATTGGTATCTTCTGGAATTCAATCCATTAGTGCTACTCTCCATGGAATTATAAGTCAAAATAAGTTTGGACCAATTAATTTAATCTATTCCAATGAACTGTATTGTGATTCGCCAAGATTATTCAATTGGTTGGCTAAAAGCTTTAAGATTAACTTGGTGAGTGTGGATGTTGGTAAACCTCAGCAAATTATTTCACAATTTCAAGACAAAAAGTTGTTGAAACAAGTGAATGTCTTGTTCTTTGAATCGTGTTCTAATCCAAATGGTAAAATATTTGATTTTTCAATTTTACAGAAATTGGAATCACTTTCAAAGTCATTGACAACTATTGTGGATAATACTTGGTTGACTGAAACTATTTTCAATCCATTTAGTGTGAAACAAGTCGATTATGTTGTCTCGTCAATGACAAAGTACTATAGTGCTGGAACTTGTATTGGAGGTTATGTTTTGGCTAGGTCAAAGAATGCACTGAAACACATTGAAGAATGGATGATAGTGAATGGAAATCATGTCTCTCCATTCCATTGTGAATTGATTACTCAACAAATGTACAGTATCGATGAGAGGATTGAGAACTCTTCCAAGTTGACTAAAAGGTTAATTACCGAATACTTGAGCAAACACCCAAAAGTATTGGAAATTAATCATCCTATGATTTCTACACATCCAACAAATACCCTAGTTTCCAAGTATTTCTCTAAGGTGCTGGATGAATTTCTAGTACCAAGTGTTTTCACTTTCAAGGTTAAAGGAAGTAAATCTCAAATTTTGGGTGTATTGACTCGTGTCAAGATTATTGAACACAAAACGTCATTTGGAGGTAAAACATCAAGAACTGACCCCTGGCCTGAAGAGCATGACGGTCACACCTTCATCAGATTAGCAATTGGATATGAAGATGATTATTCGAGAGTTGTTAAGGGGTTGGAAGAAATTTTGAATGCCTTATAATTGGATCTTTATAAACACCATACCATACTGTCCATTGTAAAATCTTGATTTTCCATTTTGATTGAACTTTTAATATTAGATTTAAAAAAAAATGCAAAAGTGTTTCTCATTGGTTCGTGTTGTATCCACTCTACAATCAAGATCCTCGAATAGATTGCTATTCCGATCAATGATGATGAAGGGAATTAGTGGAGAATTTTCTGGGAGGAATTTTCATCAATGCAAAATGTATGAATTTTGGAAGAAGGAAAATGAAGATGAAAAGAATACACAGCCATCGTCATCTTCTGCTGCTGCTTCTAAGTGGATGGGAAATGTTGGAGCAAATTTGGGTGGATATATTAATCAGGTGAAGGAAAGTGTTGTCTCTGCTGGTGAAACAATCTCAAACATTAATATTCTTCAGTATTTTAATAATTTGATTGCCTATTTGAAGGAGATTAACATTGAAAAATTGGAAAAGGAAGCAGAGGAAAAGGCCCTTGTAGTATATCAGAAACAAACGGATAAATGTGAAACTGAACAAGAGAAAACGAATCAAGAAACTCAAAATAAGTTTTTAAAATCCTTCCAAGATTTATTTCAGAGTCAAGATCATCCAATACATCAAATGAAAATAGAGAAATCAGGGTTATCGAAAATATTGAATATGGTTCCATTCATTTCTTATGTAGAAACCATGTTTAAATATGTAATTTATCAATCAATGAACATAATATTTGAGGCTATCAGATATAGCAATTTATTGAGCCAAGAGCAAAAGGATCAACTTGTGGAAGATGTCTCTAAAATTGTAATTAAGAATAGTTTGGATCCAATGTCTTTGGCTGTTGAATTGGTAGAATTTACTAGTTTGAGATTGGGAGCAGATCCAAAGGTCGCAAGTCAACTCTCTCATGTAACAAAATTATTACCTTATTTGAAAAATGTTGCTGGGTTTGTCAAGAAATTCAAGTAAATACTCAATTCTTTTATTGTTTAAATTTGAGGTTGTAAATCTTGAAGTTGAGCGAATTTTACAATTTCAAATCTTACAAGTTTTCTAAAAATATTTTCATATTCAAAAAAATCAACTCAACATGAACAATCCACAGCCATCAACAACAACAGACAAGCATGAACTGAGAAGACTCAGAAAGGAGCAAAAACAACAAGCTAAAGAGCAAAAAGCCAAAACAAAACCAAGCAAGGAAGAACGTAAAGGAGTGTTTGAAGGAAATCTCAACAACAAGTTTGAGTCCATTCTAAAAATCAGTGATTCCGAAATGAAGAAATTTGAGATGGCTCCTCCAAGATCGGAAGACTATTATCAGTCCATTGATGTTGTGTCTCTGTATAAGCCATCTTTTTGGATAAATCCTTGGAAATAATATTATTTAAATAATCAATTGATTATTCAACATTAACATCCAAAATCACATCATTAGAAAATTAGAAAGGCACTAACAGGATCAAATTTTAATTCAGTGGAAGCAAAAGAATACAGAAATCCATCGTCATCAGATAATAATAAATTTTTGGATGAGGATAATCCCATCAATTTCAACAATCAAAAATAATGAACAAAATCATGAGCCAAGCCACACAAGTAACAACAAGACTCTTACGTATGCAAAAGGCAATCACTGAAAAGTTGAATCCAATCGTGTTGGAATTTGAAGACCAATCACATAGACATGCTCACCATGCTGAAACAAGACATTCGGGAGGTGCAGGAGAAACTCACTTTGATTTACTTGTTGTGAGTGAGAGCTTTCAAGGAAAGAGGTTATTGGAACGTCATCGTATGGTGAATGATGCTGTTGCTGAGGAATTTAAGAGTGGTTTGCATGCTCTTTCTATTAAAGCCAAAACTCCTTCCGAGCACAACAAGCAATAGATTTATTATCACTTAGATGAGAAAATTAAATTGGAATTAATATTGATGAAAGGAATAGAAAATTATTTAGGATTACAATCATCATCATACAATTAATTAATTTATTTTGAAAATATTTGGAAAACAACAATTAAAAGCGAAAAAAGTAAACAGCTTTACTTCTATCAACAAGAACACTCAACTCTCTTTGCTATTAGTAATGCAAAAATATATTCGATCATACCTGCCCCTTAAGGCAACACCAATACAACAGATAGATATTATTGATGCTTCATCTCGAATGGACCAATCTTTGAAATGAACTTGTCCAATCCAAGTACTGAAAAAATCAATACACCTCATCCAGTACTACTTCATCGATTAATTGCTAAAACCCTCAATCTTATTCTTGTTGTGGAGAAAAACTGTACAAAGGTACTTCCTCTCTAATAAGCTTCTCTCCTCCGAATTATTAATAAATCAAAGCCTAAAAAAATTGCCTACACAAGACGACGTCTACCTAGGACCTTCTCTCCCTCACGTCTTGTTGTTGTAAAATATTTAATCATCTGATTGCGTTGTATTATAATATTACATTAATTTTTAATATGTCCTTGTTATCGGCTGATTTGTCGGAACCTTCTGTTATTACATTGAATGTGGGTGGTAAATTATTTACTACGAGTAGATTTACATTGACTCAACAGGTTGGAAAGAATGACCTGGAACATGTGTTGGCTTCAATGACAAATGGAAGACACCCTGTTGATCGAGATAGAGATGGAAATATATTTATTGATCGGGATGGAACATATTTTCATTTCCTTTTGAATTACTTGAGAAATGGAGGTAATTTATCACTTACAATGTTGCCTTCTGTAAAGTATCAACCAGTAACTGCCAAGGCTGTTCAATTGGAAGCATCATATTATGGATTAACAGAATTGGTGGATTACTTTACTGTTCAAAAGTGGCTTTTAAAGAAGAGATTCCAAATGGCAAACTGCCACCCAAATGTTGTAGTTGTGGATGGAGGAAAAACCTTAATATGCAAGGAATCTACTGGAAAGAATTGGTACAGTGTATCAGCAAGGTATCCAATTATTGCTATGGACTATTCGTCCTCTCAACCTTCTGAAATGGATGATTGGAGTTATTTGGATGAAAAACCAGAGATCGAGGAAGAATGTTTTGCTGATAGTGAGGAAGTGAATGGGTTTCCATCAAGTAATAATTACATTCTCAAAGTTGCTGGTGCTGATGGTAATAATTATCTTGGACCAGAAATTACATCACCATCCGTAGGATCTTACAAACCATTCGAAAATGAAAGAATAGACGAATTACAAATAACAGCTTCAAAATTGTCAACATATTACGGAAATATGAAATTACTGAAATACCACATTAAGAATTATTATGAAGTAACAATTGAGAGTACTAAGAATTTCAATATTGTAATTGGTATCAGCAAACAAAAAACATCATATTTGTATGTATTTAGTTGAATTTTTCTTACAAACTTCAAACCAAAATAATAGTAATGATTCATGGACTGTTGGATTTATTGCCAACTCATACGGATATAATGTTTGGTCAATGAAAAAGTATTCAAAAAAGACTCAAGTGGATTATGGAGAACGTTGTGAAAGAGGTGACAGAATTGGTATTTATATAAACACAGCATTAGGTTATGTTGAATATTTCAGAAATGGAAGAAGTATGGGTGTTGCTTTTGATGGTCTAACAAAAGAACTTGCTGATGGAAATTGGTTTGTTGTAGTGAGTTTGTATAATCAAGGTGATTTTGTCACATTGAATAATTCTATTTGTCCACCTTCAAGCAAAGAGGAAGAGTTCCTCAGAAATTTAGAATCACCAAAACCAGAAAAGTAATAAGGATAAGAAAATAAACTTATTTTTAGCTTTCTGTTAGCTTTTGGGTTTTCAATCAATTTTGAGAAATTACTCAACTTGTACAACAAACAAACAGGAACAGTACTTTTTTAATCACCCATACGTTATCCGTACTAAGTAACACATTGGGTCACGGTTTAAAATAACTGTCTGGCTGCTTTGACTTTTCCACAAAAAAAAGAATGGCATTAAATCATCAACCAGCAAACCCTGCAATGATGGGATTACCAGCTACAACCATAGTTCCAACATCCAATACCTCTGAGCAAGTAGATAAGAACCTGCATTCCTACTCATTTCCCAATAACTCAAAGATTAACAAAACCAAAAAGACACTCAAGAGAAAGCAATCAATAGTGACACGTGATACCATGAGTGTTGTATCCTCAAATTTTGCAAAGAGTGACAAGTGTGAAAACAGTAAATCCTCATTTGGTGGAAGCCCCAACTTTTCGTTACTCGCAAATACAAACGAGGACGATAATCAGATCATAGACGAATGTACCATGTCAGAATTAAGTAACCAATCTAATACATCTAGTGATTCTCACGCTTCAGAGCAGCAAAATGGAGCATACGTGGGAAGAAGGTACTCATTTTTAGATGTCGACATGGAATCTATTCTGAAATTTAAACTAAACTAAACCTTCTAGCCCATATGATCACTAAGCAAATGTAAATTAATCGTCCAATGTAAATAATAAACACTATTTCAATTATTCGTTATGTGCATCAATTAGATTGAATATCCATATCCATCTCCATAATTATTATTAAAACCTTCATAGGATCCATATCCATTTCCATATTGGTTAAAAGAATTAGAGTATGCTTGCTGTTGTTGTGAAAACATTGGATATGTGCCATTTGAATTTCCTGAAGAAGGATCATTTGGAGATCTTCTCCTCAATCCTACCAGATTTCTATCCCTTTCCATAACATCTTCCATTACATTATAGGATGTATAGGTTCTGTTCGGTGCTCATTCATTCTTCTATTTCCATTGTTTGAACGATTAATGGTGGATGATGCATCTCTAAACTCCAAATCCTCAACTCTATTTCTATAGGAAGGATAGTAGGTGAAAAAGTTTCTTTCTTGAGGAGGGTTATTTCTAACCTGAAGAGGAAAGTAAGGATTTTGTAAATAATATTTCGGTGAGTTCATATAAACCATATCTGAATTTGATCTAGAGAATGGATCCTTCCTCTCTCTTTCCCACTCACTTCTCCTTTTCAGTCTCTCAGCAAGTGGCATATCATCAACATAGGTCTGTGAAACATGTCCATCAATAAAATTCGTATTATACATTGTAGCTGATGTATTTCTCTCATAATCTCTCTTAAATCTCCAATAGACATACATTAATCTCCAAATCAAAAGCAATCCTCCAACAATGAAACTCTTCAGCACAAATTTGTTTGCATTCGATTGTGATGAAAAGTAATTCTTGAATTTTTCCATCACTCCAACAATTTGTCGTTCCAAATAATTATAAATCCTCGTTACTACCAATTCATTTGCATTAAAATAGGAACTTCCTCTATAATATCCATAATCTAATTTTCATCATGATGATTAAATATTATTTAATTTTTAATATTAAATAATTCCTTCATAAATTCCTCCTATATATTACAAAAACAAATACATACAAGTTTGATACTGATCAAAGAGAGTAGAAACTGGCGTTAGCAAATCCAAAACTGTATCAAATAAATTGGAGCCTACTTTTCCTCCCGAAATTGCCAATCGACTCGCAATCTTTCCCACATATTGCATCGGAATGGATAGGAAATGACTAATATTGGCAAAGGAAAATTGTTCCAAGAGGGAGAATATCTGATCGAGTGCATCTAATAATCTTTCAATGGATGAATCGTTAGCATAGGATTTGTTCTTGCTTTTGTGATTATTTGTTTTCATCACAGATTTTTGCTCAAGGCTTGATGTTCTTGATGGCTTTGTGTGGTGAGTGTTAGCGTTCATTCATTTCAATATTTTTTTTTAAATTTAATATTTTGAAATAAACTTGATTTTTGAAATTGTAATCTTAATTTGAATATTGAAGATAATCTTGCATTGAATAAATTGAACGAAATAAAGTTGGAAAATTCCTAAATTTGATTTTCAAACCTTAAAAAAAAATGTCTACTTCTAATATTCGAAAGGATTCGGTTTATCACCACTTGCCTCACAAAATTGAACTTCACCAACAACATCTGCAAGAACAAGAATCCCATCATATCGATAAAAAGCGTGCAAACATTGAAAACACAAGTCCCAACACCAAAAAAGACTCATTCATCGAAGATGAATCACTCAATGAACATACTCAACCATCCAACAAGGTTTCCAAAATCGATCACTCTGAATCCCCTTATTTGATTTTCAAAATTTCAGTTTCCCATCTATCACACTTTTTCAGAACGATTCACGTTCCTTCCACCATCAATTTGCATTATTTTTTCAATATTGTAATGGATGCTTTGGATTGGAATAATGAAACTCATCGAATTCATCCTCATTACTATATTGATTCTTCTGGAAAATTCTATGGAAATACTAAAAGTATTCTCCAAATGCCGTCGTATGAGAGTAGTGAGAATGCCACGCATCGACACTTTCCACACATTCAGGAAGAACATGACTTCCTATTGCAGGATGTATTTGCAGAGGATAAGAATAGAGAAATGCAATTATTCTATACTTATGGAAAGGAGTGGAAAGTGAATATTGAATTGCAAAGTGATAAACAGGAAAAGTTAGTGGAAGAAAGGAATAATTCATTGGGTGAGAATAGGTTGGTTTATTGCATTGATGGACAGGGAGGAGAAATTGATGAAACGAATATGAAGGTTGAAGGTGAATTCAATTTAGAACAAGTAAATGAAAGATTGAAAAGTTTCTAATAACTGAAAAACAATATAAATGATCTTTTGAACTTTCATCTAATTATTTCCTTGTTGCCTATTTCTTGGGGTTTCTTTGTTGAGTTGGAATCTAATGAAGAGTATTCACAAATGAATCGAATGATAATTTATTTATTAAAATTACTTTTCCTCAACTCTAAAAATTTTGTTCGTAGAACGAATACATAGCACAACAACATTCTACAGCAGTTAATTAGATGTTCGTTGCAAAACTAGAAATTAAACCAATAGTAAAAAAAATGGGCAATATTAGTGAATTTATCAAGGCAACAGGTAATTGCAAAATAATGGTAGAAAAGATTAGAAAATACCTCAGTGAATCGACTACAAGAAATCAGGCTTGGTTCTTGAGAGAAATTAAATCCTGTACAGCTATTCAAAAAGATGAAAATGGCGAAGAGTTTATCACTTTGAAAGACTTTGGTAATATTGTTAATGAATCGAAATTCTATGGTTACTTTGATTCCGAAATGATTGCTGGTTTATATGTTGTTTATGAGGCAATGAGCATCAATGGAATGCAATGTTATGAGAGTAAGGTTAAGGCTATCCAACCACTTTTTCAAGATAACTTTGGAATGAATGGAATTGGCATTAAAAATATGTTGTTTACTCTATTTGCGAACAGCATGGCTCGCTCTGCAATACCTAAAGAGTATACTGAGATTGAAGGCTTTTTTGAAGAACGAATTGATTTTAAAAGTTATGATGAACTACATAATCACTTTAAGCAATATCTAGAAAATCCTTTAGAAAACATTTCAGTATTGAAGATATCGAAGGGATTTTATGATATTTCAATCAACACTAGAGAACAAGAAGTGAATTCACAAAGTGCTAGTGATGAAACTGTAGCTATTGATGAAGAAGAAACTTCCAGAGAGGAATCTTGTAGAAAGAAACAAAAAACTCTCAAGTATGATGAATCATGTAAGATGTATTTCGTGGAGGAACATCAAACCTATCTCTATCTGGAGTTCTTACCTTACGGTCAGGGTATTAAGCTTGCTGTAGCATACAACTATCCTTTCATTAATTATTCAGATGAATATGAAGAAGAAGAAGAGCACGAAGATTTGTATGATAGAAATAAGATGGAATTGTTTTTCTCCAGAGTAAAAGATGAGGCATTCTGCTGGAGAGTTGAAACTCTTCAATGATGCTAATGTTCTGTGATGAGGAAGCATCACTTACAATGTATTTAAATGTTTGTGAATCAAAGTTTCCTGAAAGAACAATAAAAGATATTATTCAAAGTTAAAATTGTATGAACATGCCTTGTTTATTTCTTATCAAACTCCCTTAAATGATCAGATCTATTATTTCAAACCACACATAAATCTAAATATCCTCTCATTTTTTCATTGTTAAGGGTAAACACATCATTTCGAATATCAACCGAATATTACTTTCCTTTAGTCCTTATCTGTTAAGCATCCACTAAGGAAGATTTGTAAATAGACACAAAACACTTCCAAAGGAAACAATTTCCTCAAACCTTAAGGACCTTGCTATCCTTCACAAACAGGAATGTTGCACATACTCAACCAAACATGTCCAAAAAAAATTGTGACGTTTGTCATCTCGATAAATTGGTGCTACAAAATTAACAAGGAGACCTTTTGTGCATTTTCTTCTTCATGTTGTGGAAAAACAGCGAACTGTAGAGCACACTTTGACGAATCTCTGTATTTTAGACGATACAAACAGCAAGAGACAATTTCTCTTTTAAAAACAAACAAAACACACTGACAAGGTCCCAAGTCTGTTTCGGCCAATTTCGAATAACGAAATACAAAGAAAAATGAAGGCTTCAACACCAACAACAAATAGCCCTGGTGACAACTCCTTGGACTCACCACGTTTTAAAGAAATTGAACTTAAAATTAAAGCAGTGATTAGATATTCATTGAAGAGAACTGCTGAGGAAGGTGAAAAATATGCAAAGGAAGTTGAGAAGGAAAAATCACTAAAGATGCCAAAGACTAATGAGTAAGTATTATACTAATCTTCTTATTGGAAAGGTTGTAAAATCATTTAAAATAATCTGTATCCGTGATGGTTTTTCATGGCCATTATTGGATTTTTTGGCACTTCAATCAAACGTCTGATGTGATTCGTGATGATGTAAAAACAAACCAACAGTTGCAAAGCTTTTTCATTCAAGGATTTTCGTCCTCTCGATTTTGGAAACTTGAGAAAAACATGTGGCATGAATGATAGAGAATATTTCAATTCAATAGGTCACACCAAGTTTGAATGGAAGACAATGAATGGGAAAAGTGGTTCCTTGTTTGCAGTAACAGAGGATAAGAAATTACTCATCAAGACAGTGACAAAGGATGAAAGCAAGACTATTAGAAATGTTATTTTACCTCTCTTAATGGAATATATCAAGAATGAACCAAATACATTGATTGTACCAGTTTTTGGACTTCACAAATTTACATTGGACGGCTCTGATTTTAGATTTGTAGTGATGAAATACTTGTTCCAGGCACCAACTGCTACAACTTCGAGTGTCAGCTCAGTTTCATCACCAACAACTGCAAATTCTGGAGCCAAACTTCAAGATCCTAATGTTGGTTTTGAAATGAATAAGATTTATGATTTGAAAGGATCGACAACAGATAGAATTGCAAAGGAAGGAGAAAATATCAAGAAGGATTTGGATTTAATTAATGAAAATATGAAGTTCCACATTGGGCAAGATTTGTCAATAGAAATGCTTTTCCAACTCAAGAAGGATGTTAACTTTTTCACATCATGTGAAGGTTTGTAATTCAAATAATCCAAATTTACCTAACTCTTTCTAATTTGTGAAATAGTAATGGACTATTCCCTCATCACAGGCATTGTGGCACCAAAAGAGGGAACTTTGGAAGCAATTCAAAATCATATCAAATCTAATAATGAAAAAGGAAGAGACAAATTTCAAATAATTACCAACACCAAAAACTCTCAGGAATTTTATTACTTTGGATTTATTGATTATTTCACCAAGTATGGTCTGAGAAAGAAGGCAGCAAACAATATCAAGAGTATGAAGAATGATTCATCTACCATCTCGACAGTTCCACCAAGCAGTTATTCTGATCGTTTCATGCAATTTATTTTCAAAGTTTTTGATTAATTGTTCATCCACTCACTTGAAATTTTGTACATTATGATTGGAATACGAGTTCAATTCAATATTGAAAGTGCTTTCTCAATCACACACATTTTTGCCTTTTCGAGACATTTAAAACACTCAATATTCTCAATAATTCTTAAACTATTCCACTTTAATTTCTTATTCCCAATCAACTCAACAATTCGCAACAAACATATGAAACAAATTCACGTTTAATCCACCTTAATCACGTTTCAATTATTTTCCATCCAGTATTTCGATTAGAATTTCTGCTATTAATAAAAAGCAAAATTCAAAAAAATGAAACTCAACGGATTGAAGGCTATAAAAGCCATCAAGAGTTGTGATTTGGATTGTTACTTTTCTGTTAGGATGTAGGTTCGGAATACAACAACAAATATATTTAAATATAAATCATCTATATGATCGGAATTAATGTAGTGGAGATATTGATGGAGTGTTGGATGCTGATTTCTTTGCTAGAAAAATTACTACTGATCAATCAAATAGTGGTGTTTTAATTGATTTTAGTGTTTCAGTGAATCAGAATAATTATGCAAATCAAATTAATGAATTTATTATTGATCCGACAATGCCTTCCTCTTCTTTATTGCCAAAATTAGAGGATTTATTTGTAGAATGTGGCCTTTATGTAAATAATCATCTGATATGTCCACCATCAAGGACATGTTACAAAAATCAAATGAAATCTGTGAAAAGGTATGAATTTATTGATTTGTATTATTAATATTTTCAGTTGGAAGGAATGGATTTCATTTCCTGTAAAGTATAGCGAACTTCCAGTAGATACTGTATTATGTGTTACAATTTATGATATATTTACTCCAAGAAAGCCTATTATAGTTGCCAGTTCTTCCTATTCAGTTTTTGATTTGAGAAGCAAGTATGTAATTTTGATGAAATTTATGGAATTAATAACTGAATCTAAAGACTTATGCGATCGGGCAATCACAAATGCCTACTTTCACCACGGGTAGCACCTAATCCTTTATCGGTGTTTGAAGAAGATGGAATTGTTACAGATTTACTCACTCAAATTGAAATTGATTCCTGTAAGGATATATGGGATGAAAATTCAAAGTGGCTGAGAGAGGCCTCATTAAAATCCATCAATAATATGAGACGAGAGGGTCTGCTTGTGAGAAAAGGAATAGCTTTTTTGGATTTGGAATTTTGTGATTTTTCAGCACCAGTAATTTTCTTTGAAAATGAAACTTATTCCATGCTCAATCGTGAAGTTCCTCCTACAACACTCAATAGCTTTAAACAACAGAGTAATATCAATGGAGCAGAGCAAATGATCAAGTGCTTTGAAACAAAGGGTGTTCAATTCTTCATAGACCCAGAAGTTGCCAGGGATAAGGAAAATCCATCAGCCGTAAAGCATTTCAAGATGACCATGAATTTGGATGATAATCTATTACTTTACCCAGAAGCAAGGGATAAGAAAATGCTTGAGGCAATTGTGAAAAAGTCACCATTGCAAGAAATTTCAGTGGATGAAAAGACATTATTGTGGAGGTATAGAAAATTCTTGCAATCAGAAAAGAGAATTGGAACCAAAGCTCTTACAAAATTTTTACGATCTGTGGATTGGAGTATTGACAGAGAAGCTAAGGAAGCTGCTTCATTAATGCAAGGTTGGACCAAGATTGATATACCTGATGCTCTGTTCTTGCTGAGTAAATATTTCAAAGGAGTGGATTCTGTAAGAAATCACGCTGTTAATGTACTGAAAGACGCCCCAGAACAAGATATATTGTCTGTCTTACTCCAATTAGTTCAAGCATTGAGATATGAGCATGATATGAGAACTTGTAAATTGGCAGATCTTTTAATTGAGAAGGCAGAGAGATCTTTAATGGTATCGAACGATTTATACTGGTACTTGACAATAGCATGTGAGGATAGCATAATGGGTGAATTTTACTATTCTTACAGAGCTAGAGTGCTAGAAAATTACAAGACGGTAAGTTTAAATACATTGAATGACATTATTCTAAAAATTTAATTTAGAAAAAACAACACGAGACTGTAAAAATGTTACAAAGACAAACAAAGATGGTTCAAAACCTTAGTGAAATTTGTCTCTTTGGTAAGACCAATAGAAATAGCACTGAAATTGTAAAGGAAAAATTCAGAGAAATAGCAGAAAGAAAAGTCTCTTCATGGGATGGTATATTTGAAGATAATTCATCACTGATACTTCCATTGGATCCAAGAGTTTCTGTTAATAATGTAGATCCTACAGGTGTGACTATTTTCAGTAGTAATGCTAGACCAATGAAGTTGGCATTCAAGACCAGTCCTAAGAGCACATATCATGCAATCTTTAAAATTGGCGACGATTTGAGACAAGATCAGTTAATTATTCAAATTATTAATACTATGGATACTATTCTGAAAGACAATGGTATGGATTTAAAGTTGACACCATACAGAGTGTTAGCTTGTGGAAAGCAGGAGGGATTTTTGGAGTGTGTTCTTCCAAGCACGCCATTTGCCAAAATAATTGAAAAACAAAGCATTGAAGAATGGCTCAAAGACCAGAACAAGAACAAATCTCATCAAGAGATGAACGAAGTTCTCGATAACTTTATGAAGAGTTGTGCAGGATATTGTGTCATTACATATATTCTTGGAATTGGAGATAGACACTTGGATAATATTTTGCTGACTCCTGATGGAAAACTATTCCACATTGATTTTGGATTCATTCTAGGCCACGATCCAAAACCGTATCCTCCACCAATGAAACTCTGTGCTGACATGGTCTTGGGAATGGGAGGTTCTGGAAGTGAAAGGTACAAGAGTTTCATCAAAAATTGCTGCAGCGCCTACAATATATTAAGACAACACTCTAGAATGATTCTCAATTTGTTCATTTTAATGATTGATGCAGGTATTCCAAATATTGATCATGGTATTTCGAGAGATTCAAAAATTGGTGAGCAGCTCCTTAACATTCTCACAGTTCAGCAACGTCTATGTCTCGAACTCACTGAGGAGGAAGCCATTCAATTCATGAGGAGTGTTATTACAGATTCTGAAAGAACCCTATTTGCAGTTCATGATATTATGCACAGATTTGCAGGATATTGGAAGTAAAAGAACTGAAAAACCCACTTCAGGTCTTGCACTGCCCATCAGCTGTCTATCATAATAAAAAATGTCTTCATCAAACCTTGCAGCTGCTGATGACATTACCCTGACAGTTCTCCCAACAACATCATCTCCACAATCAGCATCACCCACAGTTGCCGATCAACAACCTTCAACAACAATAAATCAAGAAGCAAATAATTCAGCAACAACAACAACAACAAACAATGATTCTTCCAATAACAATACAACAACACAAAATCCTCCTTCTCCATCAAATGACAACAAGAAGGAAGAACCAAAGAGAAAGAGAGGTGGACTTCGTAAAATGTTCAATCGATTCTTTGGAGATAATGAAGAGGAAAGATTGGAACAGGAAAGACTCATGCTCCAACGAAAGGAAGAAAGTAGATTGAGAAAGAGAGATTTAATGACGGGAGCTTCTTTCTATTCTGATTATTCAATGAGTGATGATGGTGGTTTTGATGGATGGAAGGCACACTCTGTCGATCACGAAGATGCTGAATATGATGCCAAAGTTTCTGAATTAAAATCCAATTATGAAGATGTTAAACCACAAGCAGAAGAAAAGGAAGAATCTGAAAGTGAAAGTTTAACTGATGATGATTTTTCTGATGATGAGGAAGATGATCAATCTGAATCTAAAAATCAAACATTCATGGTTTCTCAGGAGAATGAATATGTTCAACGTTTTATTCAGGAAAGACGTGAAATGCAATCCAAATTTACCATTGGTGAAGTTGATCGTTTGAAACTTTATGGTCAAATTATTGATTATGCCATGTCAAGTGTGGAATCGAGTGAAATTTCTGATAGAATTTTACACGTTGTTGCTTTTAAGGATAGAATAATGTTTGTCGATGAGTACGATCACTGTATTGAAGTCAAGTTTGATAAGAGAAAGGAATTGAAAGGTTACAATGTCAAGAAGATTTTCCTCAGTATTCCATATGGATTCGAATGTTATGTAGTGTTGGAAAATCCTGAAACTGAAACCTATGTTCATTATGTTATTGATATTGATAAGCAAAAATTGGAACAATCTGATAGTGAGGCCGATGTGAAGGATCCTCTCACTTTTGACTATTACAAATTCGAACCAAAATTAATTGGAACACAAAAGAATTTAGTTTTGGATGGATCTCGATATATTACAGCTATTGGTTTTCCACACTCTATTGTTCAAGATGATATCACCACAAGAAAGGTGTTGTTTATGGCTGTCTCTCCTGGACGTGCTATCTACAAGGTTGACTTTAATGTGGAAGGAGAAGAATACGACTGGCACATTAATTTTAAGAAGAATATGGACAAGATGCTCTGCGAAGAAGTTTATAATATGGATACCTTGTACAATGAGAAGCAAATTATTATTCACTCTCACTTGCAAGGTTTTGGAATTGATAGTATTGAATTTGCAGAAATTAAGGAAAGAAACGAATTTATGGCTTTTGTTTCAAGTGTTGCTGGTGTTGCAGTATTTACTGGAAGTGGTGAAATTACTGATATTTTCGATAGGTATGGCCCAGAGCAATCAGCCATTCCATCTTTCAAGAATTACGATGAGGATGATCATCTCGATTTGGAGAAGCCAAAGATTATGCACAAGAGTGTTCTTAAAATCTATGACTCACTCTGTTTTGCCTGTATTACAGCCAAACAAGTTGTCTTTGGTAGAATTTACGCTGATTCTCAAAAGACTCTCGACAAGGCCGGTAAATTACCTCACAAGAATCCAAATGATGTACCAGTTGATATTGAACTCAACAGCTTCCATTTGTTTGTGTGCTACAAGGACGAATTTTATGTTATTATGCAACCTGCATTCCTTCCACCAAGTAATTCAAGGTATTCATTGTTGAGTAAGCACGTTCTTGGTGTTAGAATGATTAATACACTCGGTGTAAAGATTGACAGATCCTTTATTGACAAATCCAAAGAAGAGAGTAATCAATCAGTTTTTGTTTTCAACTCTTCGAAATTATACAGAGTTTCAATTGATGATCAAGCTAAAGGATTTTGGAGAATTTTCCTTGATGCTGCTTTGGAAATTGAAGACAAGGATATGGAATCGATCAAGTCTGAATACTTCAAGATGGCCCTTCACTTGTCAGCTCTTTTTGATATGAACTCAGAGGAAAATAGAATGGCTATCTACTCTGCTAAAGCTGATCACCATTTTAAGAAGGGAGATTTCAACACTGCTGCTCTTGATTATGCCAGAACAAACAGAAACTTTGAAGAAATTGCCATGAAATTCATGGAAGTTGATCCAGAAGATAAGAAGAATGGTCTCTACAACTACTTGTACTATATGCTTCACAGATTTGTAAGTTTGCAATAATTTTATGAATTTTCTAACTTTGAAATTAGAAGAATGATAAGAAAATTGAAGAATGTCCTGAGAGTGTCATTCTTGCTGTTTGGATTGTTGAATTATTGTGCTTCAAGATGAATCAACAGAGACATATCATGGGTAAATTTATTACTGTTGCATGCTCTGAAGATCAATACAGAGAACAATTGGAAGAAAAAACCAAGGCAGAACAACAACTTCACAAAATTAAGGCTGTTATGAGAAAGTTTACCTACAATAAGAAGGAATTGTTAGCAAAAGCCAAGGACGTTGTTTATGACATCTTTTTGAGTAATAACTTTGTCAGAGAATTCCTCTTCTTTGCAAGTGCTATTGGTGATTATTTGACAATTATTCAATATTGTGTTACTATGGCTAAGAGCTCTGAATACGAATCCAATCACTCTAAGGAACTTGGATACTACGAGAATGCCTACACTATCCTGAATAGCTTTTGTACTGAGCCAAATGCCTTCTCTGAAAAGTCTGAAGGTATTTCTCCTCAAAACTTGATTTGGTACAGATACACTCCACTTTTGATGAATTATGAGAAGAGAGATGAAATTGTTAAATCATTCAAACGTTTGCAATTCCTTAACCCAAGAGATTTGGTCCCAGCCATATTGAAATATGACTACATTACCAGATCTCAAGCTGGTCAAACAAGAAGAAGATCTGTTAGACAAGAGGAATCTCAAGTATTAGAATATTTGAAATGGTGTATTGAGGATCAAAAGAATGAAAATAGAACTGTTCACGATCTCTTTGTCTACTTGCTGGTCAATCAAAGAAATACTGACTTGTTAGAAACTTACCTAAAGGAAACTAAAGAATCCGAAAATATCTACTTTACTAAAGAATATGCACTCAGATTGGCTATTGAAGGAAGAAAATGGAAAGCATGTGTATTGTTATACAGACTTTTGGAACTCTATGAGGAAGCAGTTGACTTGGCTCTTGACTCTAAAGTTAACAATGTCAAGCTTGCAGAAGAAACAGTTCTTCAATTTGTTGAAGACCCAGAACTCAAACGTAAACTTGCTATCAAGATTGTAAAATACTATGTCAAGGAAGAAAATTACAAGAAAGCACTCGATCTCATTACAGACTTTGGTGATGTCTTATTGTTGGATGATGTTATCAAATATTTCCCATCCAAGATTCAACTCGATGAACTCTTGAAAGATGTTGAATCGATTTTGGATACCTATTCATTCCAAAATAACAGAGTTGAAGTCCAAATGAGAGATGCCACCAATGATGCTGAATTGATCAGAAATGATTTATCATCTATGAATATTTACTATGATATTGACTATGATGACACTTGTGAAAGGTGTAAATCAAGAGTCCTCCTTCCTAACCTTCAAGATCCAAACGAGAGAAAGAATTACTTCTTCTATGTATTCCCATCAGGTCAAAAATTCCACTTGAACTGTCTCTATAGAATCAACAAGCACCAACTCAAGAATCAATTGATTGCCATTGAAGATAAGGCTCAACAAACTGCTATCGAAGAGGCAGTGAATGAAAACTTGACACACCTCGAAGAAAAGAAACTCAAGAAACAAAGAAAGTTAGAAAGACTCAAACGATCAGTAGATAAGGCAGAAAAGGAAAGTGAAATTGCAACACTTCAAATGAAGGTTAGGCAAATTGAATTTAACATCCAAGATATCAAACAAGGAAGATTCAAATTGTCAGAAATCAATCCAATCTTTACCCAAGAAGAAGCAGACCAAAGAAATGCCCTCTACAAAAGGCTCAATCTCCTTGAAGAGACCTATGAAAATTGGCACAAGGCTCGTTTAGAATTGGCCGAAGCAATGAATGATGGAAGTGAAAAGACTCAACTCTACTGGCAATTAGAATTCAAGAATGCCAGTAAACGTCTCGATGAAATGATTGGTAAATCGTGTCCAGTTGATGGTCCCTCCATTGTTAAGGAAACACAAATTCCTTTCATTACTATCAATGAAAAGGTTGAAAATGAATTTGTCATTTAATTGACTCATAAATAAATACCACTCTCCCTTCAAGTTTTAACAAAATATATTTCAAATATTTATGAAATTACAAAATTGCACTTTTTAAATTCAAAAAAATGACTGAACATCAAACAGAAGGAAATTCATCAAATTTTGTCGAGCAAGAACAAAAATCGGAACAATCAACAATGGCAGAAAATAATATAACATTACCACCATCGGAAGCCAGTAATGACACTTCTGAAAATTCGGAAAACAAACCATCAAAGGATGAAAAATTGCAAAAGAGAAAGGAAAGATGGGAAACCAGGAAGAATAATTTCAAGAAACATAAAAAGCAAAAAAAGGAAGTTAAACAAGAACAAAAGAAAAAGAATAGTGATGATTTTTTCACCAAGATGAGAGACGAATTGGCTCCAGAGGAATTTGAAAAATTGGTGGAAGAAAATAAAAAGAAGAAGGAAGAAAGAATTCGTTCACAAAGAATGAAAAAGGAGAACCTCATCAACAAGTTGAAACAAGCCACAGAAAATGGAATAACCAATGATTGCAATGTTTGCATAAATGTGGATTGTTCCTTTAATGATAAGATGACAAATAATGAAGTTATTTCATTGGCTCAACAACTTGGAAAATGCTATGCTGCCTATAAGAGAATGGAGAATCCTTTCTATATGACATTTACATCCTTACAAGGTGAATTATACAATAGTTTAAAGAAATTTGAAGGATTTCCTGAAAAGTGGATGATGAAATTAACAGATCAACATTTTACAAAGGAATTTGAGGACAAATTGAAGGAAAATAAGGTGATTTATCTTTCTGCTGATGCTGAGAATGAAATTACAGAATTTGAAAAAGGACATGTCTATGTAATGTAAGTTTTCAAATTTTACAATTTAAATATTCATTACAAAATAATAGTGGAGGTATTATTGATAGAAACAGACACAAGAATCTGTGTAATGAAATTGCCACCAAAGAATATAACATTCCAACAGCTAAATTCCCACTCGATAAGCACATTGACATGAAGGCATGTAGTGTTCTGACCACCAACCAATGTGTAGAAATCATTGCTGATTGTATCGAATTGAAACAAACCAAACCAGAGCTCACTAATTTTGAAATTTGGGGTCAAGCTCTTGAAAAAATCATTCCAAAACGAAAGAGGAAACATCAAGAGAATCAAGGTGAGCAAGTGGAAGATGAATCTGCTGAGCAATAAATTAATCTTCTTTCAAACTTTACAGCTAATTGTTTAAAACTTCATGAAAGCGAACTTTGGCGCCAAAAATTTACCCTAAAAAGTTGCAAAAAAAAACAAGCAAAACAAAATACCATCAATTGTCGACACTACATAAAAATGATTCGAGAAAGTGTGGATATGGATGAACTCTCTGATGGAGAATATGGCGAAGAGAATAATAATGAATTTAATATTGAGGAAGATGGAGAAGGAGAGAAGAGAAATAAATTTACTAGGCTTGGGATGAGTGGTGATGAATTTGAAACAAATAGTGTTGAGGATGAAGAGGAAACAACAAATAGGGAGAGTGTTTTACGTTCAAGTAGTAGGATGAGTGAGAGGAGACAAGTAAGGTTTGACCATGCCTATGACGAAGATACTCGTCCTTTATCTTCGTATAGGGATCGTACAAACAGCTCGGAAACATCGAGACCTTCATCAAATCTTTCGAGCAGGTCTACTCTGAGTGGAGTAGATAAGGAAACAAGTCAACAAATAACAACAGCCCTTCAGTCAGTAATTAAAAAATTAGGAAAAGTAATGATTAGGGATAGATTGAAACGTAAGATTGATGCCAACTCCCCCCTTGATTTGGAATCCATAAAAATTGCCATTAAGTTCTTTGAGGAAGAAGAAAAGGGTTTGTATTTATTCATGTTCAAAATTCTAATCTCAATCAATAGACTATGGGGAAAGAAGTAAAGATTGGTTAACTCTGGAAAGTGTCTCTCAGATGTATGATCTAGTTTTAAAGACCAGAATCCTTCAACCAAATGGATTAGTCAATATTGACAGACTTAAAACAATTCTTGGAAATAGGGTTGCCATACAACCAAAAATATTGGAAGTTCTTATTGAAAAGTCTAGGTCTATGGAGAATGAATCTGCAATTGAGTACAACAAATTCATTATTTATTGCATCACCCTTACAGCCCATTCATTGTTTACAGTACTAGAGAATGCCTTATCACTTTTTTGTTGCTCGGGCTCTGTGACAATTCACCACCAGAACGAAGATGACATCCTGGCAGTGGACGATTTTATTTATTGTATAAAGTTTTTGGCTGACGAAGAAAGACGAAGTGAAAATAATGAGGTAGCTCAAGAATTAGTAATGATGATTGATGAGCTGAAAGATTTGGCCAAAACAGAACCAGTTGTGACGAGAGGAATGGTTGTTCTTAGTATTTCTTGGCAACAATTATTAGAAAGTGAATCAGCTAAAGTTGGAGGGATTGAAAATGTGTAAAATACAGGCAATGTACATAAGAATGCCGATAGATGAATCGAGAAAACTAAGTGTTTTTATAAACTCTTCAAAATCTTTGATCCTTTCATGTTGGATCATTTTTCCAATGATAGTTTTGAGTATTATTCAAGACTATAATGTAAAATCTCTGAAAGAGTGAATCTTGTATGTTTAGAGAACTGTACTGCTGGTATCCTTATTTTCAAAAGTAACATGTTGAATATTTTGAATTTGATTATAGGCTTTCATAACTTCTTCCAAAACATTTTCAAGACTTCTGAATTGACTCCAATTAACCTTAATAACTGGAATAATCTTTGAAATCTTGGTGAGCCATTCTTCATATCCACTATGCAACTTTTGAAGATATTCGAGAGTAATTCCACTTTCACATTCTCTTCCTCTCATCTTGATTCTTTCCATGCTTGTTTCTGGAGAAACATCCAAGTGAATAATCATTGTATTGTGTTTCATAAACTATTTTAACATAAAAGGCTTCATTAAAAATCACCACAATAACAACATACCTTCGACATGTTTCTGAAAAGGGAAACATAGGTTTCATAATCTCTCTTTTCCATCATTCCAGTATCCATCAAAACCTTGGCAAAGATAGCATCTTCATAGATAGTTCTATCTTGAACTCCTCCATTTGATCCCCAAATAATTTTCTGGTGTTGTTCGAATCTCTTATTCAACAAATAAACTTGCAAACGGAAAGAATAAGTCTTCATATCAGAATAAAAATCAGCCAAGTAGGAATTATCAATAACTGGTTCATAATGTACTCCAACTCCAATCTTTTCAGCGAGTGCTTTAGCGAGAGTGGTCTAAAGAATATTGATTTTATGAATTTACAAAAATAGGCTAAATATTTACCTTTCCTATTATTAATTAAATTATTGTTAAACAACAGACGAAATTGATATTATACTCACCTGAACCAATCATACCACTGACTCCGATAAAGATTTGGTCATCCAAAAATTGGTTTTCAATAGAGGATGTAACAGAAGGTGGGCTTTGACTCATTTTTTATTCAAGTTAAAAACAAATAAAAAAAGGCGGGAAATTGAAAAGATCAAAATCATTATCTTGATGAAATCTAGAAGAAATCAAAATGTTTCGATTGCTGCAATGGAAATGATTACTTTCTCGTAGCAATAAAGTTATTATCCTGCAGTACTTTTTTGGCAACGTTTGTAATGATCTATTTCAATTTTCATTGTTTCATCATGGATAACCTAGTTCAATGAACAATTAGAAATGAACTACTTACTCTGAATCTATCTGCTCCCAATTTTATACCACCATACCATCTTGTCACCACACAGCATACATTCTCTGCATTGGAGATTTGCATCAGATAAAGAATTTGATCAGCAGCTCCAGTCTCTCCATCGTCATCTCTATTTTCCAAAATTTGATCACCTTGCCGTATTCTATATGCATAAATGTTGTGAGTAGCATTTGCCACTTTATCATCTTCCAATAATTGAGACAGCATCAAGTTGACATCTTCCAAAGATTTTACAATTGCCACATGTCCAACAAATTTGGATTTCTTTTCTGTGAATGATTCCCCATGAATAATATCCAATACCCTTGTTGAGATTTTATCCTCGTTAGACTTTCTTGAATTTGGTTGAATTGATACAACCTTTTGATTCAATTTAACATGATTATAAATCTCATTTACGTCCAACATGTTCGATAAATCATTTCTCAAAAACTCAATCCAAGTAAAAGCAATTGGTACTCCAAGAGAGAACATGGCCTTTAACTCCATCTGCAGAGCCTCCTTTATAGTAATTTTATCCAATTCATCCAATCCCGATTGAGCAAAATAGTTATTATTCTTAAATTGATTATATGGTAAATTAATCCAATTTTTAGCTCCTTTCAATTCAAAGAATGGTTCCGATTCAGAAGGATAATTTCTATGAAACCAAAATTCAAAAACCAAACAATCCAACAATCCTGTCGTTTCATCATCATCAATATTATTATTAACATTTATCGGAATGAGCCAACATCTATCCATTCCCGTCCGAGGTTTTAATTCTTCGGTAGTGTACATTGATTGCAATACTTGAATTTCATCAAATTGGCTCGATTCATTTTCATTCATTTTTTTTAAATTTGCAATAATTAAAAAAATTAATACTATATTGAATAAATCAATTGTATTAATAAATACTGTTCTGGAAGTATTAGTTAAAGGCTGTAGATGATGAAATAACAATGAGAATTCAAAATTCTCAAAAAAATAAATATGGAATGTCTAGCTGTTTAAGGATGTCATTGAAAGCTCCTATGAAATGACAAGTCTAACATTTTATGAACACTTTTGACATTTTTTAAAATTAAATATTGAGTTTAAATACCAGCCGAATCATCTTGAGTTTATTAACATTCAATAGATAACCCACCACCTTGCTCAATATCAATATTGTGACAGATTCTTCCAAGTCTAACCAAACACTTCCCAAAATATCCAGTCAACTTCGAGAATTGCAGAATTTGCTATTTCTGTTTCTCAACATTACGAAAGAGCAGACCACATCACTTCTTCATTTCAACAGAAAAAAGAACACAACACCTTTGTAGTAAACACTGGAATACTGTCACCTCTTTTTCCAAAATACAAAGAACAAAGACCGAACACAAACAACATGGCTATTAAAACACATAGAAGTGGATACATCTTCAAGAAGGGAGGGTTGTTCAAGTCGACAAAGAAGAGATGGCTCATTCTGACCGATGAGGAATTGGCCTATTTCGATGATGTTTCATCGACTAGTGCTCCTCCTATTGATAGAATTTATCTGAGACTTATTGTATGTGCTGAGAATACTGGTAATGTAGAAAATATCAAAGGAAAGAATTATTATGAATTCTTGGTCAAGACAAATCTTGGTAGAGATTATCAGATTTATGCCGAATCGGAAAATGAAAGGAATGTTTGGATAGAGTCGATAAACAAATTGACTCATGCTTTCAAGAGTCCTGTCAAGAGTTTCGTCAAGGCTACTGACCCAAATATGTTCAATTAGAATAGTATTATCTTTATCTAATACCATTTATTCGAAATCGAATAGTAATTTAGTAGTAATAGAAAATATATTACTAATGTAAATAATATATTGTACATTGTTACACACATCCACATCAATAATGTCATTTACGGGATGACAATTCTCTAGCTAGTATGAACTATAAAATATAATAAATTTTGAATACATTATTATGATGATTGAATTTCGGAATCAAGATGAGAAATTTCCAACTGGAGTATTTGGCCAATTATTAAGTGCACTATCATGGTAATAGGTTGCCATTGCCCCTTCTTCTTTTGATGAACAAATTTGTCATTCTAACCTTAAATTACCATTCAATCCTCAAAATATTCATCTCAAATATTTGCCATTAAAAGTATAATAAGGAAATTTTCCCACCATCAATATATCTATTAACATCTACTCAAAGATGACATTATCTTTAATTCTTTCATTACTTGGATTAATAGTCAAATAACAATCTCTGTTTCATTCATTTGTTTATACCTTACTTTACCTGGCTGAGTGGCGACGATTGATGTTTGATTACACTTGTGGCGCGCTTTTTTTTATTGTGCAAATTCAGCTGCTTCTTTGGAGGGATTTTATTACAGAGCCAAATCTTCATCAGAAAAAGTAGTAAAACATCACTAGCCGTAGAATAAATTCAATACAACAACAACTATCAACACACACTGACAAAGAACACCTATTAGCTATATAAAAAAATGGAGGAATTAGAGAGTAGGTTTTTGATAGCCACCAGCATGATGATGATTCGAATCGCATTATATTTAATTCATTAATATTAATTTTCATTATTGTGATGATGTGGAATTAACGATGATGATCAAATTTAAATTGAATATTCAATGATAACCATGAAACTATTATGAACAATTGTTATATTTGGAAAATAATAACAGAACATATGAAAGTAATTATTGTTGGAGACGGTCAAGTTGGTAAAACCAGTTTGGTCCGAAGATTTGTCGATTCAAAATATGATCCTGATTATAGACAAACTATTGGAGTTGCTTTCAAAGAAAAACAACAATATATACCCGATCCTATAAACGAGGCAGGTATGTAGAATGGAATTAATATTTGATGGATTTTTAATGACTTGCCTTCATCAAACCTTTTAATTTCATCAAACTTTTAATTGATAAATAGTAACTTTCATGTTGTGGGACACTGCTGGACAAGTAAGTTTATCAAAAAACGATATTGGAATGTTGAGTAATTAATAACTGTATTATTTTAGGAAGGTAAATATATTTAATTAATGAAAACTAATTTTGTGTGTGGAATTTAGAATTTGCTGACATGACCAGACAATACTATAGAGGAGCCAAAGGAGCCATTCTGGTATTTTCAACAACTGATCGTAGAAGTTTCGAAGCCATCAAAGCTTGGAATGAAAAAGTGGATACTCAATGTGACGACACTAATTTATGTAAAGTTTTAATTCAAAATAAGATTGATTTGATAGACCAAGCTGTCATACAGCCGTAAGTTTATTTCGAATTTTTATTTGACACATTTCAATAGTTCAGAAGCAGAAGTACTTGCCACAGAGTTGGGTATTAAATTTTTCAGAGCTAGTGTGAAAGAAAATTTGAATGTTAAGGAAAGTAAGTTATCACATTATTACCCTTCTCAAATTTTAATCATCATGTTTAGTTTTCCAAACCATAGCCATTGATTATTATAACAAACTCGAACAAGCTCAAAATGATGAAACCACTCCACAACAAACACCCCCTACAGAACCAACCACAACCAAAGTCAATCTCAATCAAGAAACCAACACCAAACCAAAGGAAAAGAAAAAGTGTTGTCAATAAAATTACAAGTATCTTATTTATTCTAAACAATTTAAAATATTATGCTTTTCCCTTAGAAAAATCATGTAAACCTTTGTCAAGCAAGGTATTAGTAGGCTAAAAACAAAGTTGAAACTAAGTTGGGATAGTAATCGTTATTGTTTTTGAAAATAAATAACACAGATAATTGTTTTTTAAGATAATTTTTTTGTTTAATAGGGTTTGGAGCTTTAAATTTAATCCTTTTCAACTTGGTTGACGTTGGCCTTACCACCTCTAATTCTACCAGTTCTTCTGGCACCGATCAAACCGACCTTTCTACCGGCAGGTGTCAATCTGGAAACAGTAGATGGCTTACCAATGTGTTGATGGTTACCACCACCGTGTGGATGTTCAACAGGGTTCATGGCAACACCTCTAACTCTTGGCCATTGCTTTCTACCCTTAGCCTTGAATCTGAAGTAATTGGTTGAAGCCTTCAAGACAGGTCTTTCAGTCTTACCACCACAGGCAATAACACCAATGGTAGCTCTGTTATCGGATGGGAGAGTCTTCTTGACACCAGATGGGAGCTTAACTCTAGTCTTACCATCTTCAGAGTGGGCAATAATAACAGCGGATTCACCAGCAGCTCTAGCCAATGCACCTCTATCACCAGTCTTTCTTTCAACGTTACAACAGACAGTACCTTCTGGCAAGTTACCAATTGGGAGGACGTTACCAATCTTCAATTCAGCCTTTTGACCGCAGAAAACGAATTGACCAGTATATAAACCTTCTGGAGCAAGGAAGTATTGGATATCCTTCTTTGGCTTCAATGGATGTCTGAAGGCAACTTCAGCCAATGGAGCACCACGACCTGGTTCGTGAACGATTTGTCTAACGACACCCTTCATGAAACCTTCTCTTTCAGAGTAGTCCAAATGTCTGTATTGTGGTTTGGCGATCTTGTAGATAGATCTAGTCTTGTATGGACCAGCACCGTTACCCTTTCTTTGAGCTCTAATTCTCTTACCCATCTATTAAAGAAGCGTGTTAATAAAATTTTTCAACAGCAGCAATACATACTTTTGTGACTTTGAGATTTTTTTTTCGAAACAAATTTTATTAAAACTGCTCTTGGTTGATAGATTTTTACAATGAAAGTTTTTGGCAAGCTATTAATAAAATGACCATCACAAATTCAATGACAAATCTTCTCCTCTTAAACCATCATCAAACTTTTGCATTGAAAGAGGAACCACACAAACAACATTCAATCTTAAAAGAACAAGCTTCAATGTGAACATCCTTGTGGGATGGACACAACAGACTCATCAAATTCTCATCAACAACAACTTCTTCCGATGGTTGATTATGTTGTTCTTCTCCTCCAACAACAGCAGTAGTATTATGTTGAGTACAATTTCTGTACAAGACAGAGAATAATCCATCACGGCTTGTCTGTTGGCAACAACAAGAACACTCCAACATTTGATAAACATCTCTGATGATCTCAAATGTAAAACCATCCCTAGCAATTGGATGTTTTCTCGTTGAACAACAAGTGGCATGTGAAAATTGGGAACCAAAAACAATTGGAACAAATCTTTCTTCACTTGTTGGCTTACAAACAGAACATGAATCTCGGGGAGTGATGAAATTAGTCTCACTGATAATTTCATTCGAAATGCTTGCTGCATGATCTTCCTTGTTCGATACTCTAGTAAATAATGCAAAGAGTTTTTGAGCGAATTGAATTTCCTTCAAATTCTTCTCAGCATTATCTTCATTCTTTAGTGTCTTGATTATAGAATCTAGGATTGGTAAAAATTGTGCCACTTGTTGGAGAATGTAAGGAGTCATATTATTAAGGTTGTTGGATGGAAAATGTTCAGCAACAAAATCTTGATAGTACAGCAGGATCCAATCACAGAGAAGATATTGAGTCAAGTTTGGTTTTTCTTGCTTTTTAGATTGAATATCAAAGAGTGTCACAGAATAAATATATCTCAATTCTTCTTCCAAGATGGCCTTTCGTTCCAATAGAGTTTCTCTGAGAGGATAACTCTTCTCACGACAAATCCATGAATAGATGAAGTATAAAATCTTTTTCAGAGGTAGATTATTGGCAGTGTCATATACATTGGATAAAATCTTTTCAATGTACTCAACCATATCACTCGAGGAAAGACAATCAGCAATATCAAAAGCTTGTTGCTTTCTGAATATTCCTCTCCTCAACAGAGTTGTGAAATAGTCAACAATACAATGTGAAGGAATTGGATCAGTTTGAGGAATATGATAAATAGCTCTCAAGGCATGATAATATAGAGGGAGAATGTACATTCTAATCTTGTTTCTATGTTCCAAATCTGCTCTTACTTCTCTGGTTGAAGGTCTCTCAACTGAAATAGCCATTTGAACATTATTGGGAGAGAGTGAACAGCCCCAAACTGGTAATTCAAAATTTTTAGAAATAATATATACTGAAGTGTATCCATCATCTGTAGTATCCTCATTAATCTTCCACTGAACAAGACTTCCATCCAAAGAGGTTGTATATACAAGTAAGGTATTAATAGTACTGTTTTCCTTATCAGATCGGTCAATTGTTATGTATTGCATCGAGATGGAAGAAATTGTAAAGTTTTGGCATGAAAATTTCTTTCGCCAAGTCAAGAGAGTTTCTTGATCTTGGAATTCAAATTTGCACACATAGAGATTCGTGCCTTTCGAATAACACATGTACATTTCATCTAGCGCTTTTTTAGATTGATCCTTTGAAACGTAGAATGTCTCCAAACTTGTAAGAGGGATACTGTCAGATTCAAAGTATGAGGAGTACTCTTTACAAATTTCTTTAGGAGTTACCAAATCGTCTAGTTTTTCAATTGATTGAGTGTAGCTTTTAGGAATGGATAAAATTTTGATTTGACCTTCACAACTTGCAACAACAATTCGAAAGAATTCATCACCAGATCTAGAGGGGAGGAATTTCACAAATGATATGAAATTAGAGAAAATCTTTGAATAACCAACAAGTTCAACTTCAAGTTTTCTATCAAAGTTGGTAATAACAAAGATAGATAAGAAACCAGTTTTAGATCCACACACCATGTAAAGAGATTGTCTAAATGCTCCATCAATAGACTTTTTGAAAGGTTGGGAAAAGTCTGAACACATAAGTTCTGTAATATAAAGGCAATGGTTATACTCTGACTGATTGACCTCCTCGTCTTTGGCTCTAGCAACTCCTCTGGAAAAGTAAAGTCTTTTCAGCTTTTTTGGTTGTTGTGATTCAGATGGGGATTCTTTTCTCTTTTTTTCTGGTGTTTCTACAACATCTTCTTGGGTAAGATCTTCAGTTGTAGATCCTGTTGATGTTCTTCTAGTTTCTCTTGTTGATGAACTGATATTGGTGTCAGTTAATTTTCCTTTTTCCTTATCCTTTCTCATTTTGGTTCTCAGTTTTACATACAAATTCTTAGTGAGACTTTCCGTTGAAAGTGAATTTTCCTCAAGTTGTGGTTTGAAATATTCCAATGAACTCTCCAAGACCTTATCATAGATTTTTTGTTCCTCATCTGTCCATTTTCTATAGCCAACCTGATATTCCTGCTTTGTTGGATCGAATCCAGATGCATCAGTAAATGATTTGTAGAAATGAGAAAAGAATTGTTGTTCCAAACCCATAACAGAAGATGTCTTTTTAGAGACATGATTTCTGGTTTTCTTGTTAGTAATCAATTCACCTTCATTGACCAATCCATTTGTTGTAATAATTCCTTGTGGAGTCACGATGACATCATTGTCATTTTCAATTGAGAGAAGAATTTTGTCATTATCTTGCAAAATGGCTCTAACATCACAAACAAGCTCCCAATTTGTGGTATATCCTTGGGTTGGCCTCTTGTAAATTCTGCAATTATTATCACTTGTAATACATGATATTAAACATCCAATTTCATTTGTAATTTCAAAAGTTTCATAATTTTCAATCGGAGAACTCCAACATATCGATCTAAAAGATGATTGTAAAAAACGAACAAACATACTCGGATGTATGACTGTTCTGTCTTTAAAGTGTGTAGATGTTCTATTAGGCTCTTGACTTGTTGTTACTGTGCCATCTTCCGATTCCGATTCTTTGTTCAATACTATGGTTCCTCTTTTTTCATTAATTACATTCTTAATATATACTGTATTATTTGTTTGCATGGCAATATAATTTTCATCCTTGCACCACTTGATAGAATTTCCAAATGAAATATTTGCATTAAATTCTTCAATACATGCTCCGTATTTATGCATGGAAGGAGCCATAGAAGAAGAACTACTTTCCAATTGTTCCAAATTTGATGAAGACATTTTCCAATAATCTATGATGACTAAAAACAAGACAGAAGTCAACAATAAATATAAAATTTAACAATACTGGATTCCTCTCAATATTAATATTTCGTTATTTTTTCTTTGTTCCCTCCAAATTTTCTAAAGACAAAAAGAAGCCTTCAAATCAATCATCACACACCATGATGCCTTGTTGATATCACTCAGTTGAGCATAGATGTACAATACGTAAAACAAGAACTCTAAATAATCAATTACAATTCTTCCCAACTTCACAAATCACAAGACTCCGATTAAACATCATCAATAGAAGAAAAAAATGTCCATCACGATTCTGAATAATATGACCAAGTTATTATCATCGATAATAGTTTCACCTCCAATACCTTGGAATCAGGATCAAACTCATGATATTTTGGATCAATGTTCATATGCCTATCCTTTATATATATCGAGAATTAATAGAATTCCTCCTCATCAATCGTGGAGAGTCTATGTGTTGGGATTTATTTTCGGATTTGGATTGTTGTGTTATGTTGTTGCCTTTTCACTGACAATTTGGAGGAGAAATAAGCAGCCATTGAAGGATCGTTCTGTATTTTTATTATTAATTTCTGGAGTTACGGGATCTATTGCTTTGGCCTATATGTAAGGATTTTAATTTAGATTCGAATAATTTAATTATTGGAAATATTGGAAAGGTATTCGAGATTATATTTTGATTTGATTTTAGTTTGCCCAATAACGTATTACATTGTTGGTTTCATTCAATTTTCATACTTTTTGCCATATATTTTCAGATGCTACAGAACTATTATGCAATATAAATTGGCTGAAGCTCAGTCACAAATTATGAAAGAGAATGAAGAGGTATCATCACCAATAGCTCTACAGAGTTTTAACTCATCATACATTCGAAGAAACAATAGGAGAGAAAAAAGATTAGCAGCTGAATTGGGAGAAAGTTTATTGGACAGTTCAGATGTTTCGAGCGATGTGACCTCTTTTGCTCTCGATAGTAATATTGGATTGAAAAAGATGCCACTCTACACGACGGTAGCCAACAGTGATAAGTATTCTAAATTGTTCAAGAATCAGTTTTACTTCTCTGAGAGATTTCTTGTTATATTATTGAGTGTAGTGCTATTGACTTGGGCAACTTTGATTTTTATCATACATATGGTACTGTTATTTTCTGCTGATATTATCAACCCAACATGTCAGAAACGTTGTAATGAGCAAGAGGGTATTGCTGTCAGAGTTTATGTCTGTATTACCATTATTTTGATTATTCCATTTGGATATCTTTTAATGAAAATGAGAAAGATTAATGATGCCTTCTCCATTAGAAAGGAAATGACAATCATGCTGTTTTTCAGTATTTTCGTTGTGGCCATACCAATGATTGTTTTAATTGCAGTACCGAATCAATTTTGGCCTCAACAACCAACCATTGGTTATTTCCTCGGTATTGAATTGTTAGGAAGTTTTTTCATTTCCATTATTCTCCCACTCTCTTCGACATGGACTCGTAATATGGACATGTCTAAATTCAACATCTTTAGGAAACGAAACCCAATTCCAACAACCAAAACTGAGCAGCCAATTATACCACTTTATGAAACCTTTGAGTTTTTCTTAACTGATGTGAATGCTAGAGAGGTTTTCAAACAATTTTTAGTGAGAGAATTTCACGTTGAGAGCTTGATGTTTTGCATGGAAGTGGAACATTACAAGGGATTGGATATTGATGATGACCATTCACTGAAAGAAGTTTCGAAAAATCTCTTTGACACTTATATTCAAATTGGATCAGCATTCGAGGTCAATATTCCAGGTGCTCTACGTGATGAAATTTCTAAAAACCTTGCCAAACCAAATATGAGAACCTTTGATAAGGCTAAGGAGGAAGTTATCAGAAATATGCAAAAGGGAAGTTTTGTCAGATTTAAAAAGAGTAGCTTGTATGAAAATTTTATTAACAAACGTTTTGGAAAATAATCAAAAAGAGATATTTCACATTAGAGATAATAGGAAGGAGTTTAAAATTCCTTATTTTGTAATTTTTGGAATAATATTAAATTTTGTTAAATATTTAAATATTTTGTAAAAAAAATGAGTAAACAAGTGATTCACTCTCACTTTGAGAAGTTAGGAGAGTATGTTTTAACTAAACATGTCTTGGAAGGAGGTATTCTTCGGAAAGCAACTGTGAACGATCGGGATGCTAAAATTACAACTCTTCGTCACGTAATTCCCTATGTTCATTGCTATCACCAAAAAGTTGAAAATTATGAAGGAAGAATGACGAATAAAACTCTCCAAGAGTCGTATTGTAGAGAATATGGAGTGGATGAGAGTACCTTTAGGAGAATGTGTGAAATGAATGTCATTACATTGAATGAAAAACCAATTACCAAATCGTTATTGAAATATAAATTAAAGGATGATGATTGTTTTCAAGTGAAGGACATGAGAATGGATAGACCTATTAAACATTTTGATAAATTGGAAATTATCAAAGAGGAGAATGATTTTGTTGTGGTTACCAAACCACCAGGTATTTGTGTCCATCCCATTAAAAGATATCACAAAAATTCACTCTTTTACATGTTGGAACATGAATATGCTCATCACTTTGGAAATGATTTACATTGTAAGAGTATGTAATAATTATTTCATCATATTGGAATATTTAAAATACTTTGGAATAATGTAGCTATTCACAGATTGGATAAGGAAACATGTGGAGTTTTAATTGTTGGAAAAACATCTGAGGGAGCCAAGTATTTCCAAAAACTTTTGAAGGAGAAACAAGTCGAAAAACAATATATTGCTAGGGTTGATGGGATTGTGAAAGGAAAACCCCAATTTGAAATTAATGACCCACTTGTCTGCATTCAGAGATGGGATAATATTTTCAAATCCATATCGAATAAGGAAGTTGAAAAGGAATATCGTGAGATTTGTAAGAAGAATCGGGTTGCATTTCAACCAAAACCCTCAAAGTAAGTTTCAAATAATTTTCAACTTGGTTGGAAGATTGTGAAGAACCATATTTCGAATTTTACACAAGGATTTTAACGAAAACACAACCCTACTTAGTTGCAGTCCAATAACAGGAAGAAACCATCAAATAAGAGAACATTTAATTGGAAGAGGTTATACTATTGTTGGAGATATTTCTTCATCCTCCAAGGAGAAATCAGATTATTTATATCAAAGATCTGAAAAGGCATCTGAAATATGGAACTACAAATTGGATTTATTTGAAAGATTTGGTTTTAGCCAAGAAGCTGAAAAGCAAGCTCTTCAAGATACTGTTTTGGATAAACAAGAATTTAAACTACCAGACGAATTGAATCTCTTTTCGTACAACTACAAGGTTGGAGAATATGATTTTAAGAGTGAACTGGCTCAACCAGATTGGATCGATCCAGAAATTTGGAAGACAATAAATAAATAATTTATTGATTAAGCTTTGCTTGGGCAACAAAGGCATTAATCATTCCTTCAGATGTTGCTGGGAAGTTTAGCAATTCAACCTTACCGTCCTTATTAATGACAGTATGAGGTTGAGCAAACACACGTCTTGGTTGTTTCTTATTCAAGACAATCTTTCTCATCTCAACAAATTCTTCATTAACAGCTGTATATTTACCAAAAAGTTGAGTAGCATCTGCCTTGTCAGCAGTAGCCTTTGAAACATTGATATGGAGCAAATAGTTTCCAATTGCTTCCTTTCCAGCAGTTTCAATCTTGCTACCATCAAAAACAATTTGTAAATCATCTTCCAACTTGCTGATTTTAACCAATCCAGCTTCCATCAAAACTCTGAGAATTGAATATCTGGCCATCATGTGGGCTTGATTCCAAGTCTTGGTATCTGGGTTGTAGAATTGAAGAGCTAACAAACCAGATCTAACCATGAGCAACCAGTTGGCATAGATAATCTTGTTAGCTTCTTCACCTTCAACACCACAAATCTTTAAGATTTCTCTATCCAAGCACAAATAGATACCAGTACATTCAGCACGACATTCTTCAAAAGCATTACTGATTTCACCAATTACACTATTGAAAGTTTCGCCTTCCTTATAGAAGGTAGTGATTGGTTGTTTGGTAATTGGGTGAATAATACCCTTAATGTCATTTTCCTTCATGAGCTTACCACTTCCGTGACCAAGCAATTCGTGAATCAAGACTTGAATTTCAAATGCCTTTCCTTTGTAGTCCTTGAAAATCTTCTTATCTTCCTCATTCAAGAAGGTAATTTCTTCACCTTGAGCAGTTGGAGCATTGAGAACATTACCCAAAGAAACATTCTTGAAACCATGAGATTCTCTGATAAAGAATTGATTTGGAATATTGATACCAGCTGGCAAACCACTTGATGTAAATGTCAAAACCTCCAAACTAGTAAAATCTGGCTTGGTAAATGTTTCAACTTCGAATGGCTTCTTGTCTCCATTAGTCTTGTCAGTATTCCATGGCAAACGAGAAATGAATTTTTCAGCATCCTCAACGACAGCTTGGGCTTTCATACTAGCAATACGATTGACAACAGCAACAAATCCTTCAAATTCTGCTCTGACTCTTAAAACATCACGGTAGGTCTCTATGAAACCAATGTTGGTTTCAATAATAGGCCCCTTATCTTGAACCCATTGAATTTGAGAGTCACAGAAATCTTTGAAATCACCTCCATCAAAGTGTTGACGATATTTGATTAACATGTTCTTTTGGAATTCGTTTGCGGAATATGGAAGAGCTCTCTCCAAATTGTCACGAACACCAGCCAATTCCTTACTGAAATCACCATAAGTAGTGGTAATGGTCAAATCTTCATGGGTGTGAGTGGTGGAAGCCTTTGGACTAGCACTTGCAATCTTGAGTTCGAATTGATTTTCTCCAGTCTTGAAAAGTCTAGTATTTTCAGCAGCAATTGAGTTGGATTCCATGAATGACTTGACTCTTTCAGCATCATGAGAAGTGACTTCTCTATTATAATATGAAGAGTTACCAAAGGATAATTCCAATAAATTAGTATCCAAACTATACAATGGTTCCTTAACTTGTTGGAACAAGGTAACAGCTTGTTCATTATTTACACAATTAACAATCTTTTCAAATTCTGAAACCTCCAATCTTGGAACGAATTTACTGTCACCAAAGGACACATAATTTCCCAAATTACCAAAGAATTGGACAGAATATTGCAAGAAGGAATCATAGTCCTTTTCACTCACTCCAGCATTCAATGTCTTTTCCTTCAATAATGCCAAATCATCACAAAGCAAAACCAACAATTTGTAAATCAATGGAGATTCTTCAGAACATTGCCCTAAAACAATTCCTGTTCCACTAATAGCTGCTCTGGAAAAGTAGTGAGCATACAACTTTTGTTGTTCATCCAAAGCATTCCAAGCTTCATCCAATTCCAATCTAGTAACAGGAACCTTCTCTGGGCAAACAAAGTGTTTCAATTTTTCATCTTGAAGAACTTGAGCAATAGTCATGTTGATTATTTTGTTTTTTAAAGTCGAAGAAGAAAATTCTCTAAATTGTTGTGAGTGTTGATGAATGTAATATGGTACAAAAAGAGGCTGTTGCTGATGTTGTTGTTGTTTAAAGATCTTCTTTTGTTGGAGAGAAAGATTAAAACACGAAGCAGCGGAGAATGTCTTTGTTTTTTTTAGAATGATCTTCCTAAGCATATTTTTTAATAGATTTTCATTCCATTATTTTCATTTCCGTTTTTTATTTAAATAAAAAATTAAATAAATTGATGATGAATAATAATATCCAATTAGAGATTAATTTTCAAAGAGGAGCTTAATTACAGTTGCATAATTCGGCTGTGATTAAGCAAGCACTATCCATTGAGTTTTTCCACTCATAGTACGCACAAACAGTACAATTATTGCGCACGCTACCAAATCCATCAATTCCCTCACCCTAAAAACAGAAAGTCACAAAAAGAAGCAGGAACACAAACACACTTTTCAAATAAAAACTCAAAAAAAGTGCCTCCACAAACAGAGCATACTCAAAAACATTTCTTTGAAGCATACAGCGCCTCAAATCGATTCAAGAAACAAACACTTCACATAACAGTTGCTTTTATCATACTTTTATTTATCATCATTGGTACATTTATTTTGAATAAGAAGCAGAATCAATCTTTATCATCGGAACAACAGCAAGAACCAATCATTGTTAATTTGAAAGAATCATCATCAAAAATTAACAAATTAGAATTGAAAGTATCATCAAACAAGTTATCATCATTATCAAGAATGTCCTCCTCATCAGCATCATTTGTAAAAGTTATCAAGACAATTTTGGGAAAGGAACAAAGTGAAGGCGTAGGTGCCAGAGTTATTAGAACCATTGGAGGTTCTGTGTCGTATCATGATCCATTCCTCTTGTTGGACGAATTTAAGGTTGCTAAACCTGCAGGTTTTCCAAATCATCCTCATAGAGGTAAGTTTAATTTGTGCATTTTCAATTTACATCCTTTCCTATTCTATTTAATTATTTAATTATCATGATATTTATAATTATTTAATGGAAATAAAAGGATTTGAAACTGTGACATACATGATGGATGGAGCTTTTGAACACAAGGATAATAGAGGAGGTGGTGGTGTTATTCATGCTGGTGATATTCAATGGATGACAGCTGGCAGTGGACTTATTCACTCTGAAACACCTGTTGGATTGAATGTCAATACAGGAATGCAATTGTGGGTTAATCTTAAAGCAAAGGATAAGATGGTTCCTCCAAAATATCAAGATTTGAAAGCAGAAAACATTCCAAAAAAGCAAATTGATGAACACACATCAATTGCAGTAATTGGTGGAAAGAGTCAATATGCAGATATTGAAAGTCCTCTCGAATTGAGAACTAAGGTCTTGTATTTTGATGTCAAGATTACAAAATCAGGTCATACATTTAAGGAACTCATTCCAAAGGGTTATCAAGGTTTCGTATATGTCATTAAGGGAAGTGGAGTCTTGACTCAAGATGGAAACAAGTTTGAAAATGCTAAGGAAAAGGCAGCTCTTCTCTTTTCTGAAACTACAGAAGATCAACTTTTTGAATTCAAATCAACTTCTGATTTTGTACAAATGGTAATCATTGCAGGTGAACCAATGCATGAACCAATGTCACGATATGGACCTTTTGTTATGAATACTAGAGAGGAAATTGAACAAGCTTTTGAAGATTATCATGATGGAAAATTCATGTAAATCTTTGAAACTCTTATTGAACTAATTGTAAATAAAATCAAATATAATTTAGATACCTTGCAAAATTCTTTTGTGCTACTTTAATTCTTATGCTTACAATGATACGAATTTTGTAAAAGATTTAAGCTAGAACAATTCGAAATAAGCCGAACGGGTAATTTAAATCAGTGAAATCCTAGAAACTAACAGACCATTCACCAACAAGAACGTTTAATATCCATGTGGACAATCCATAAGTAACAGGCAAATAGAATTGTGATCTTCTCATTGAAAAAAAAGATGCAAACAGTTACACTCATTATTGCAACCTGTTTGATTGCCTGCATATTGACTTGGTGCAATTGTCAAGTCAGTACAGTTCCACCTCTCTTTAAAGAATCAACTCTTATTGGTGGAAATCCATTTGGTAATTCAGTTTCAGCTTTACAAATTCCTTTTTCTGCTTGGTATTTTGGGATATCTCCAATTGCTGGTGAAATTTATTATTACAATTATGATCTTTTCAAAATTGATAAATCAAGTGGCTTCATCAAATCTGTACCACTAGCTACTGATAGACCTGTAATTCCCTATTTCAGCACATTTTCTGACAACGTTGCATATTTCATCAATGGTGTTCAAGGATTAGCAGTGTACAATTTTACCTCTGGTGAAACTAGTGTCTTAACAGAAGATGATCCAAGAAGCATTCTAGTTGATGATAAAAACAACAGAATTTACTACACCATGTATTCTGCTTCAGTGATTAAGTATTACGATTTGGCAACAAAGCAAACAAACACATTAATTAGTGATGCAGGTTTAAATGATCCAAATACTATGGCTATTTATGATGGATATTTATATGTTGAAGGATCTACATCCATTAGCCGTGTTTCTGTTTCCAGTGGAATTGTTTCAAATTTTGCAGGGACTAAGGGAATGTCTGGTTTTAGTGCATCTTGTTCTATTGCTGTGGATTGTCTTTTTAATAGTATAAGCTACTTAACTATTAATCCGCAAACAGAGGAGTTGATTGTTAGCGATTCTGGAAATTTTAGAGTTTTTGCCATTAATACTAAAACTGGAGTATTAAGAACTATCGCTGGAAATGGTAATGGTCTTTCCGTGGATAAGCCTCTAGAGAATGTTGATGCTTTGACAATTGAAATGGTCCCTTTTCAAGTCAGCTATTGGGGTGGTAAAATCTATGTTTCAGATTATACTAATAACAAGATATTTTCACTAAGGTTCGAAAATGGAAAGACTCTTTACAATGGAGTAATGGGTAATGGAAAGTCTGTTTTCAAGGGAGATAATATCAAGGCAAGCTTGTTGAATTTGAGGGTTCCCAATCTTCAATATGATACTAAAACAAAGGACTTGTGGATTGGTGATTCCGTATTTGGAGATGTTGTAAAAGTATCTAATAGTGATGGAATAGCTAAAAGAATTTTCCTTGACGACAATTTGAGATCATTCACTTTTGATCCATCTACTCAGGATGTATTCTTTTACCAAAATTCAGTCATTAAGAAAATGTCTGCTGCAGATAAATCTGTTTCAACTATTATTGGAACTAATCAAGGAAAACTAATTGATAACATACCAGCTACAACTGCATCTGTGGTAGATCCATATGGTGTTGTTGTAGACCCAAGTAATGGAGATGTTTTCATTTCGGATGGTTATCTGAATTGTGTTAGAAAGATTGACGGAAAGAGTGGTATAGTTACAACTGTAGCTGGAACAGGAGAGGCAGGTGATGTAGGTGACAATGGTCCTTCCAATAAGGCTCAATTATTTTCTCCAAGTGGATTATCTTTAACTTCAAGTGGAGACTTACTAATTGCAGATAATGGTAATCAAGCCATTCGAAAGGTTTCTAATGGAATTATTACAACAATCGTGTCTGGATTAGATTATCCAAGTCATGCCATTCAATCCCCTCTCACAAATGAAATATTCATACTGGAGCGAAACTCAGTTAAAAAAAGATTTATCAATGGATCTATTATAACTATAGCATCTGGAATGAAGAATCCTTCACACATGATGTTGAAAGTTAATGCCAATAATGAAGAAGAATTGTATGTATGTGATACATTCAATAACATGGTAAAGAAGATTGTTGACGGTTCAGTGCAGGTCATTGCAGGAAATGGAAAATCACAAACAACTCAATTTGGAAGTTTAGCTACTGAAACATCTGTGCCTACTCCTGGTGGTATAGTTTTCAATCAAAAAACAAATGAAATTTACATTACAACTGGTGACATGATAATGAGAATTGACTCAAATTCAAAAATTAATGGAGTTTTAGGTGATGATAGGTCGTATCTCACTTCCAGAGGCGATAATTTACCTGTATCTGAAACATTGTTAAATATTCCCCAAGGATTGGCTATCTTTGATAATAACCTATTCATTGTTGATATGCAGAATAACAGAATTCGTAAAATGCCACTAACTGGACTAGATAAGAATCCAATTGTTTCAGTAGTTATGGGAGGAGTTGGCGATGGAGGTTTAGCAATCAACGCATTGATTGGAACTGTTTATGGTAGTATGAAGATGACCAAATCAGGAGATCTTATTTTCAATGAACAAACTAGAATCAGAAAGATTACCAAAGATGGAGTCATTTCGACTATTGCTGGAAATGGATTGTCTATTAAGACAATTCCTCCAAAAGACAATGTTGTAAGCACCTCTTCTTCAATCCTTGTTAATGAATTCTTCTATGATGAAGTGGTTAATGAGCTCTATTTGATGAACAATTCAACCATTAGAAAGGTTTCTAAGGATGGAGTTATTACAACAATTGCTGGTCAAAGTGGATTGATTGGACTCTCTGGTGATGGTGACAAAGCAGCTAACTCGAAACTTAATATTCCAACTGGTGTTGCTGTCACCAAAAAAGGAAACATAATTATTGCTGACACAATTAATGGCAGATTGAGAATGATCAACAATGATACAGGTGTTATAACCACAATTGCAGGTGCAGAAAATGACAAGTTGGTATTGGATAATCCACATTCCATCATTCTTACTGAAAATGGTGAGCTCATTATATCTGTAACCAATCAAATCAAAGTATTAACTCCCTTCTGTGCAAATATAGAAAATTATAACTATACATTGGATCCAATTTCAAAGTTTGAATGTGTTTGCTCTTCCCAAAATTGTTTCAAATTGAGTAGTGCCTTCACTAATTACCAAACATCAGGTTTGACCTTTATTTCTATTGGTTTTTTATTGTTAGGACTTTTGTAAAGTTATCTTGAATAAATTTTGATTCGTGGCAAAGAAATCAAGTTTGCATTGTGTTTAGCAGGATGATTGCCTTATTGTTTTAAAACTCTATTAGGAATATTTTGTTCCTCTATTTCCTTTAAATTTTGTGAAACGTTGTATACAATGAAATGATTGGTTCCTAATAAAGTTTCCATCATGATTGAATATTATTATTAAAAAACTCATATATTATTTTAAATACAATCAAAATCTAATAATATTACTACTTGGATTCAATAATGAAATTAACTGAAAGAGAATGTCCTTCTCTAAAAGTCATATTTACACTCAATCAAGAGCCACTCATCATATTTCTCTCCCAAAATCATCAATTTGTAATCTGCCTTGGCAAAATTGTAAACCCTAGTGTCTATTATTAATACTAATATTACAAGCAACAACAAGTAACAACAAAATACAACACTCGCCGAGAACGATTGAGGCAAGACGTTTGAAAATCTTGTCTATCCAAAACAGAGAATCGCAAACCACAAAACAAAAAGCACCAACATTAAAAATAGTGCAAGCTTTATTCAAATCATCATTTGGCACTGAATCAGTTATCTTTGAATTTGGTATTCTCCTCATCAATTTAATTTTCAATATCGGAAAGTGTATAACCACCTCACTACAATCCAATATTAATATTTGTAAAACACTGTAAATATATGCCCTTGTAAATATATACAAATTGTAAAATTACCCAAAGTCTGAAATTGTAAATTGAATATAATTGACCATGACCTTATCAACTCAAATTAATTGTAATCTGATGGAAGAACAATATGAAAAGAAAATGGGAGAAGAACCAATTGTCTTACTGAATATGAATCCTTCCACTAACAAGCAAGAACCATGTCTTGTTGATTATGAAGAAGAGAATTTACTGGTAGAAAATCAAAGGCTTGAAAATTTGGTTATTGATAATATTTCAACTGCAACCATACAACCAGCCAACAATAGTCAACAAGATGAAGAAGTAGACTTTGAGTCTTTGCAACCTTCCGATGATTTGTTTTGTCCAATAAGTGATATAATAATGGTAGAGCCCTATTTGGCTGGAGATGGAAGAACATATGAGAAGGAACTGATTAGTCAATGGTTGATAAATCACAATTCAGAGTCTCCATTCACTAGAGAGAATATTGGAACTCAAACTATTGAGAATGTTCATATTAAGAATGAAATTCAACGATTTTTTGAGAATTTGAAACATTCCAAAGTTTGTCCTTTCCAATATCACTTGTCCAATGATGTGTTTCTTCCTTGTAATTCTGTGGTTGAGTTTCAATGGGCTGTTGTTAATAAGGATAGAAATTTGGCAAGAGAAATTTATCAGAATGATGTGAGATTGTTGCTCTATTCACCTGAAATGTTAAGCGAATTGGTAAATTACAATATAAGCCAATTGACCAAGCCAAATAAGCTTTGTAAGAAGACTCTGATTGACTATACTCTGAATGGCTATGAATTGGCATGTAAGCTAGGTACCACAGAGATGGTAGAGGAAATGTACATGTTCCTATTGGAGTCCAGACTGCAGAGAAACATTCCACCACTTTTGAATGACCTGACACCAAACCAAAACATTAACAGAATTGTTCTCAACAAGGCACTCACTGAAGAAATCAGAAGAGAGACTATTGATTTGGAAAAGTTGAGAAGACTGATTGAATTTGGAGCCCAACCTCACAAGTACGATATTAATGGGAGAAATGCAATCTATGTTCTTTTATCGTGTCAAGACAATGTTGAGGCATTCAAAGTTCTCTTTGAAAATAATTACAAGCAATACTTGATTCGAGAAAAATCAAACCCTAACGAATACTTCCTCTACTCTGCCACTAAATTTAACAGATCCAACATTGTAAAATATATAATGACTAACTATCCTAACGATTTTGACTTTGCCATTCAACATGGAGCCTGTTTTGAGTCCCCTCTTCATGCTGCAGTAAGAAATAACAATGAAGAGTTGCTTTCATTCCTTCTTAGTCAACCTAATGTGGGCGTGGACACTTTGGACAAGAATAACCGTTCGCCATTCATGTTGGCTTGTAAATTGGGGTTATTCTCTGTGACTAAACTTCTCTACAGCTATGGAGCTCAAATAGATTTATGTGATGATGAATTAGAAACTGGCTTACATTATGCAGCTGAGAGAAATTGGTGCCCAATCATTGAGTTACTGATTTCCAATGGTGCAGATGTCAATTTTAGAAACAAGAGAGGTCAAACACCTTACAGTGTTGCATCTTACGAAACTACAAGGAATCTCATTCATTATCTCTCTGCCAGACAATTGAATTTTGTTTTCAAGCATGTGAGGAGAGTTGAACAGGAGAATTTATTCCTCAAATCTCAATTAGAAATGCTTCTTGATAGAGTTTCAAAATTAGAAAACAAACAATAAACTAACAAATGTGTGATTACCAAATGTTATAATTATTATGCAATAGTTTAATTAGTATTATATTAATTAAAAAAATGTCTCGACAACATTCAATTATTTATGAAGTTACTTCCGACAATATTGAAGAGAGTGAAGAAGAAATTCAAGCATTTATAAATAGTCAAATAGGAGAAACCAGCAGAGAAACAACAACAACAACAATTGAACAATGCAACAATAATACGAACCAGTTAGATATTTTCGACTATTTTAAAATTACCAATGATGAGCCTCGGGTTAGATGTATTGAATTGCCAAGAGTACTCACGGAGGAATACAATAATTTAATTTATAAGTTTGAATTGGAAATTGCAAAGAATAATTTCAATATAGCTGAGGAATATATTAATCAGGCTATTAGTAAGATCCCTTTCTATCCGTATGGTTATTTCCGAAAAGCTTCATTGTTTTGGTCGATTGGTGATTATAGGACTCATATTAGAAATTTAGTTTATGGAATTTATACTTGCACTGATTTTCAAAATAACTTTGAAAAGTACAAGAATATCTACAAGGAGATGGAGGAATATAGATCGGAAGTATTTCAAAATAATTATTTTAATATCGATTATTGGCTTTGTTTATTTGGTGCCTCCATGGCCTTGCAGGAGAAGAAACAACAATTATGTATCAAGAGTTATGAAAATGCATTGGAATTTGTTCTCTCAGAGGACCACCAAGTAAAACTTGCCAATTCTGATTTGAATACAGTTCTCCATAGGTATGAATGCTTCTATACAATATACAATTGGTTGGGCATAGCTCACTCAGATATGGAACGATTTGATTTGGAAATTGATTTTTACAAGAAGGCCTTGGATACTAACTTTAATACAGAAACTCTTCCTAAATTGGAACAGTTTCAACTTGCTGGTTTGTTCAATAATATAGGAGGAGGGTTATTCTCTATGAATAATCCTATGCAAGCTATTGAACAATACAATATGGGTAGTAGCTATTTCTCAGAACACTCTCTATTATTTCTGAATAGAGCAGATGCCTATCATCAACTTGGAAAATTCAAGGAGGCAATTCTTGACTTTGAGAAATGTACTGCCTTGTGTAAATACAAGGAGACAATGATTGATTATTTGGTGAATTTGGCTGATTCATATTTTTCAATTGGTAATTTCAAGAGAGCGAATCAAATTTTCATGGATTGCTACCAAAAGTATGGAATTAAGAGAGCTAGTCCATTCCTGGTCGAGGTTGACATGTTGTCGATATGGCAACAAGACAGCGACAAGTTTTTACGTTTTCTGAATGAAGCCATTGACAATGTTGGAGACAATGTACAAATGCTGAAACGATTATTGATAAGAAAATATTTTTTGGAGGAAACAGATGAGTTATACGATAAGATTGTTAATTTCCAAAATGGACTATTGGAGAGGATTTCTTAATACACTAGCTTGTGACTCTTTTATTCAAGTATTCTTGATCTTGCACAAAGTTTAAGGTATGCCTAAAAATTCACCTGGTACAAAATTGCTACTGCCCAAATAATACAGTGAACAGTTGAATATGTGGGTGTCGATACTAATCTTGTCCATATTGAAGAGGCACAACAAAATTTTGGGTCTATTCATCATGGAGTGTCTGCTACTTTCGTTCATTCGACAGTTGAGGACTTTTTTGCAACCATATTGTCCAAGTTACATCTTGGAATATTTTTCTCTACGAAAATATTGCTCTATAAATTGAATTATTAATTGATTATTCCTCTCACACAATCTATTATCGCCATCAAAGCAGTCCAAACCATAACAGAATAGAATTTTGCTATTTTTCAGCCCATCAATAAGCTTGCTAGAGCCACCCCTCGTTCCGAACATTGATAGGGGCCATCTGTTATTCTCCTTAAATGAAAATCCATTCATTCTCAAACTCTCCTCCACCATTGAAAATATGATAGGCCTAAGGTTGTAATCTGGTCTTTTTGTGAATAGAATTAAATATAATTGGTTGTTATACTTTTGAATAATAGCTCGTTCTTTAAGCTTGTGTTGGAATATTCCCTCAATCATATCCAAATCTAGAACAATTTAATATTGTGAAACAAATAAAACTTACTATAGTAAACATTATCTGAAATGAATGGTCTAAAACAAAAGTTATTTTGAATGTAGAAAATATTGGTCTTGATAGTGGTTTGTACGTTATCAATTAATATTCCAAGAGAATCATGTTTGAAATGGAACTTGACCTTCTTCTCCCTGAGGGATGATGAAAATCTAAATCTAAAATCAATTAATTGCAATTGTACACATTGAGCAGTCAAGTCTATTCTTAGTTCCAAATACTTGAGAACTTCAGTAAGGTCTTCAATTTTACCAATCGATGTAATACTCTCCAGCTCATCCAATAAGACTGAATATAAAATGTTATCGAACAGGGCCAAAGAAGTTGGTTTCTTGGTGCTACTCTCACGTTTTTGTACCATCTTGTGTACTTGAACATAAAAATCAAACTCCTCTTTCAACCTTAGACATTTGGTGAGTGATTCTCGAACATCTTTTGGCATTTCCACTTGTCTGTATTGTTCTATAAGATTATTTCTTAATTGATTTGATTGTTCCAAGGTGTTAGACCTTTCGTTCGTGTCGAATACTGAATTTTCCATACCTGTGAGTATAACCTCTTCCTTACGGGATTCAAACAAAGGTCTCTTTCTAACAATTGCAGAAACTCCCTCTATCACAATTTGATTTTTTTCATTGATTGTCGAAAAGGTCCATGGTTTCATAATCTCACGTTCAAGTGAATAATGTCCAGAGTTTGAGAAATTTCTTACCAAAAGAGGAGATTGAACATGATCCTCTTGTATCAACTGGTATATAAATTTGACTTTCTTTGATAGAGTATGGATGGTCTCAATAGGTAAACCTGTTCCAATAGTTATTATTCCGTGTAAATTCCAATGGTTATTGTGGTTTTGCTTTCCAATCTGGGAGAATGTATTTTTCAGGTTCTTTAGTGTATTTGACATGGTCCAGTCTGTTATTAGCCCTTCATATTCAATGTTAATATTGTTCAAATGTTCACTGTCAATAACAGTGTTATGGTTTGGATACTTATAGTTAAAAGTTACCGAGTCAAGAATTTCTGATATCCAATTTATGGTATGTGTATCACTAATGATAATATCTGGTTGCAACTCTCCTAAATTTTTTAGCATTGTTTCCTTTTCAGTTATAGGAATAAAAGAAAAGGAGAGGGCATTTTCAAAACAAAATGCAAGCAAATACATTGTTAGCATACTGAAACCATTGGACATTATCATAACATTAACTTTCTTGGGTGTAGTATCACTTGATTTTGTTTGCTTGATATGATTGAGTAAATCTTTAAATTGTTCATTCAATGAATCAATCACTCTCTCAAAAGTTGAGCCTGTTATGCATCCAACTTGAGTTCCATGGTAAGTCATGTAGAGAAGGTCATTTCTTTTGTCTCTGCTTGAATATTTAGATATTGTAGATTGTCTAACATTCTCTATATCTGCAGAATCCAACTCGCTCGTCCTACTTTTAATAGATTCCTTGTAATTAACCACATGCATATTGGTATCTATATTAGATGGAATGTAATCCCACGAGGTGACATGGGATGGCTTGTTATTTACACTAATTTGCTAAAAGAGATTATAAATTAATTCATTCTAACTTTTCAACTTACTTTGATAGGTTTGAGAATATTAGAAATTGGATCCTTCTTAAAAGAAGTAGTTCCTTTTTCGCTTTGAAAAGATGACTCGTTATTTCCATAGTACAATAGCTTACTAATATTCGATTGGTTGCTACCAAGTATTTTGGAAACAATCCTGTGATCTGCTGAGGCAATAACAGGAAGGGAACAGTATTGAGAAATATTGGAAATCAAATCCTGAATATTATCTATTTTCTCAAAGGATGTCACGAATGGTAGTCCCATGAAGAAACAAGAAGAAATAATCATTATTAGCTCTTTGGATATGGCAGAATGTTGTGTGAAGGAATGAAATAATCCAAGACATTGATCTTCATGTTTGACCTTCACTAAATCATTCTCAAAAAGGTAAACTAGACGAGATAAATGATCCAGAAATTCTTCGACCGCAACAGGTTTTACGCATTCAGTATACGAGTCATAATACCAAAATAAAGTTTTTAAACCAGCCAAATGCCTTCTGGTAAAGTAATACTTTTGGAATCTATTTAGCATGGTAGAATTCTGTACCTTATCTACTTTGGTGCCCTTATATTCTGGAATTTGATATTTAACATCCTCTGTTATTGGATAGAAAAGCCTGTTCATTTCCTCTCTTGTCATTGGTGGTACAAAGGTAGTTCTTGCATAGTGCATTGCAAGAAGAGGAAGTTTTCCATCCAAATCCAAAGAAGGTGGTAATCCATTCCTTACTCTGTCATGAAAATCTTGATAAATCATTGTCCTCAGTGGTTCGTAAGTATCAAGTGATTTAAAATCAAAAGTTTCCTCTTCTTTTCTCTTGTCAATTGGAACGAATAGCCCTTTGTAGGATTCTACAGATCTAGTTGACTCTGGAGCCCAAAAATACGAATATTTATGATAAAAGTGTAAATAGTACTTGGCATCCATCTAGTCAACAGTATGAAACAAAAGTGAAATTATCCAAAAACCTACCAAATATTTCTCAAAATTCTCAATAATCATACTACGAGCTGATTTACTTGGAATATGTCTCAAATACTTTACATTTCTAATTAAAATATCAAACTCTACTAACCTTAATATCCTGTATATATTTAAAGTATTCCTTGTACTTTTGCATGTAGCTCACTGCTTGTTGTAGTGCACGTTCCTCATCAGTCAATTCTTCATTCTTATCACCTCTATAAATTTCAATATCTTTCTGGGTTGGCTTTTCCTCATCGTAAACTAATCGAACTGGTTGATTTTCCTCGATATCTCTCGGATCTACCTTCAAGTTTTTCGAATTATTAATTAATTTCCTATTCAATTCTTGTTGTTGTTTCAATTTTGATGCATGAGAATATTTGGATTTATCAAATCTTCTCAATGTTGAGGAAACTACCTTTGATTTATCATTCTCTCCTCCATAGAGCATCTTTACTCGATTGGTAAGAACAATAGGCTCTGGTCTATCAGAATACTCAACATCCATCTTTTGATTCATATTAATTTTCCTTCCAAGGCTTGTTACTTCCTCACTCAAATTAAAGTAATCCTTCCCTACCAATTGTTCAATTTCCTTCATTATTCTATCCTCTGTAATGATGGATTCGATGGCTTTCCTTTTGGATGGAGTAATTTCCGAATCATTTGATAATTTCTCACCAATGAATTGAATGATTCTTCTAGCAGATCGCATTGGTAAAGTTTCCAACGAATCATCAATATAGGCATTCTCTCCACCATTCTCCTTTCCAATACTTGTATTGTTGTTGACCATGTTATTAGTACTACTATTATTGTTATTAAATTTTGTTTCCTCTACATTGTTTTGCATTTTTTTAATTCCTTCTACATAATGTTTAATTAAATTCTATTTAATATTATGAAATGATTGTAATATTGAACAATATGTATCTTATATTTAAAACTTTTAAACAATACCATCTACTTAGGATTAGAATTTAAAATCACTAAATAAAAAATAATATTCCTGATGGTGATGATATTCGTTTTCGCTTCATCAAAAATTTAGTTGAAAAAATAACTTCAAAAAAAATGGTTGCACGTTCACTCAACAAAACCTCATCGCAACAAACCTTTAAAGCATCATCTGTGGAGAAGACCGATGATTTGGAATATGATATTGGTCATTTAATGTGTTTAGATGTACATCCGATTGAAACTCCATCACAAGATCAACTTCTTAACAGTGCTAGAGACAATGTACAATTATTAGTAAATCGTCTTTTCCAAATTGAAAATATTACACATGAAGAAACAGGTCTTTATGCCGAATTACCTGACCCAGAGTTCCGTTTACCTAGAGGAAAACCATGTCCAAAGAAACGAGAAATGACCCGATTTGAAAAATACCAACAAGAAAAGGGTCTCCGTGTTAGAGGAAAGAATGAAAGGGATGCTTTGGTTTATGATGAAGTACATGACGAATTTAGACCTAGATTTGGTTGGAAGAAGGCCAATAATGCTGCTGAAAATGATATAATTATACCAGCTAAGGCAGGTGACGAGAAATTCGAAGATCCATTCTTACAAAGACAATTAGAAAAGAAGGAAAAGAAGAGACTACAACTTAAAAATCAAGTCACAAATATCGGTAAAGGAGCTGCTAAGAAGGGTTCAAATGATGCTGAAAAGGAAAATAGAGCTCTTGCTATGAAAAACAAATATAATCCAACTGCTCCATCATCTTTGAAGATTTCTAACGTTAATGGAGGTAAAATTAATCCAAAGCGAGCACATCTTGGAATGAAGGATGATTTTCTTAATGCATATGATTTTGCCAGAGTGAGTACAGCAAGTATGGGTAAATTTGATACACAAGTTAAAGACGAAAAGTCAATGCCTGTCAAGAAGGGTATTTCACACTTGGTAGCTTCTGGATCAAAATCAAAGGATGAAAAGACTAAGGCTATGAAGATCAGTAGTAGAATTTTAAAGGAAAACTCCAAGAAAAAGACAGGTCAATTAAAGACAAACGCCATCAATATCTTCCAACATTTGACAGAAAAAGATACCAGAAAGACCAAGAAGGTACATCTTATGGCCCAAGCTAAAGGTCATTACAAAGTCAAAGGAAGCAAGGCACCAAGAAAAGACTCTAAAGATTTCCAAATTGCAAAGAAGAAGAAATAATTAAAGAATATTTCAAAATTTCAAAATTCAAACTTTTTCTGTTTATTGGAAGAAACATTAACAATTTAATCTATGTTTTCAAAAATATTAGTTGAAATTTAACAAAAAAATTCGAATTTAACTTGCCGCCAAAATTATTCCTTTCAAAAAATTTAAAAAAAATGGAAGAACAACAACAACCAAAAGCCATTGCAGAAAAAATTAACTGGATTTCTTCTGAACAACCTGTTTTTTCTATTGATGTTCATCCCGATAATAGTAGATTTTTAACTTGTTCAGATGAGTTGATCAACATATGGAAAGCTACTTCTTACATCAACTCTACAAAACCATCAGGTGATACTGCAATCACAGAGACCGAATTATCTTCATCAGTCGCTACTATTAAAACAGAATCGGATTTCTGTATCCAGAAAATTGGTGGAAATACTAATTGTGCAAGGTTTAGTCCAGATGGTAAATTTATTGCAGCCAATTCTGATGACTTTTCTGTTAGTGTGTACAAGGTCTCCAAAGCAAATACTGATAAAGAGAGTTGGAAGAGGATCAAACATTTCAAGACTCACACAAGTGATGTGCTGTCTATTGCTTGGAGTGGTGACTCACGATATTTAGCTTCTTGTTCAATTGACAATTCTGTAGTAGTCTATGATATGAGAGCAAAAAATGTTGGTGATATTGTATTGAAATCCAGCGACCACAATGAATTTGTGAAAGGTGTTACCTTTGATCCTATCGGAAAGTATCTTGTATCTCAATCGGATCATTCTGTATTTATTTGGGCCCTTAATGATGGTGTTTTTCAATTTCACAAAAGGATTAGTAATGTATTCGGTAAGGTTGATATTGCTGTTTACAAACCTTCATTTTCTCCTTGTGGTCAATTCTTGATTATTCCAAATGCATACACAAAGACTGTTTATTGTGCAAATATTTATATGAGACAGGACGATTTCTCCCAATGTATCCCTTTCCACAATAATCACCCTGTTTGGTTTACTGCTTTTAATCCATGTATTTTCAAGAAGAAAGCCAAACCTTGGACTTTCTTTGCAGTGAGCACTGAAGATACGATAAGCGTTTTTTCTTCTGAAATTCCAAAGCCAATGATTCATATTAACAATATTTGTAAACAGTCAATTAGTGACATTGTATGGAGTGCAGATGGGTTGTCTTTATTAGTATCAAGTAATGATGGTTCAGTACACTCAATCACATTCCCTTCAGGCTTCTTTGGAAATCCATTAAGTCAAAGAGAAAAAAAAGAATACCTCGAACAATATTACGGAGACATGGAGCTTGGTACAGTTTTGTCTGAATATCCTAGCACCATTTTTGCAATTCCTCAACTTGGAGAAATTGCACCTCTTCCACAATTGCAGTCTAATCCTTTAGCTTCTCTAGCAACCTCTAGTAGTTCTAACAATGTCATACCACCAAAACCAAAACCATCAGTTACACAACGAACTGAAATAGTTAATGGTAAAAAGAGAATTGTACCAGTACATACTTCTTTTGATGATGATGAAGAAGAGGAGGAAAACACTCTCAAAAATTTTGCTACTGGTCCATTCAATATTGATACGCAAAAGGAAAACATGTTGAATGATGTAATTTCAAATAGAATAGGAGTTAATGCTGTGGAGACATCAATTGGATTTGCCCCTAGTACATATTCAACATCTGACATTTTGAAAGTAACAACCGAAGTAACAAAGAAAAGAACACGTATTGAACCAGAAGATAATTCGAAAAAGAATAAGAAAAAAACAAAGAATCCAATTAATCCTTTAAGGGATTTATCTACCATTACTGCTGAGCCACTCTATTTAAGACTTAATGCCAGAGATGAATTATTCTGCTCACTGGAGGGTATTGTTGAATTGAAACGAAACAACGCTCTAGAATGGAAGAGCACAGTTTCAGGAACGGGTAGCGTCCTTCATAGTTATCCAAACTTGGCTGCTGGTACTCAATTCTTTATTGCTGTATGTACATTCCCTTCCAATCAGTGCCATGTTTTTTCAACAGAGTCTGGTATGAGATTATTACCTCCATTAGTTTTAGATTCAAAGATTGAACATGTAAATTGTTCAGGAGATTTCTTGGCAGCTTACACTGCAGAGCTAATGTTTTATGTGTGGGATGTCAGGAAGCAAAAGTGCCTTGTACGTTGCAGTGCAGACCCATTACTAAGCAACACGTCCATTACTTCTGTAGAGATGAGAATTGTTGATGATATTGCTGTGACAGCTAAAGGTGTTGGTATTGTAACATTAACTAGTGGTGAATCTTTTGCTTTTGATGTAAATTTGAACACATGGATTTGTGTTGCCGATTCACATTCAGTATTTTCTCCTTTCCTTTCTCAAGGCAGAGTAAACCTTGAAGAAATTGAGGATGTTAATTTTGAAGATGCTGAAGTGACACTCAAAGTATTAAGAAACAAGGCTGCCAAAGCAGTGCAAAAATTCAGACTTGAACATCCAGAAATAACACCAACAACAGAAACTGCTAACATTGATATCATAGATGACCTAGAGCTTGCCATGACATCTGCAGCAGCAATTGGAGATATTGGAAGTTACATGTATGCTGTTCAATCCTATGCAAAACATTTGGCAAAGATTAATAATAACAGACTGACTGATCTCTTCCGTTCTCTCTTAGGTCCTTGGGATCCAAAATCTACATCCACAAATTGGAATCCACTCATTGCTGGAACTCCAAAGAGATTGATTCTCCAACACCTCGTCACCATGTTAAGCTCCTCGCCTGACTTGTTGATAAAGAGAATTTGCTCTGATTTTGCAAATCTCTTAGCCGAAATCAATAAATAAACCACTCAATACTTCCGAATTGAACGATTTAACACTATTATCCAAAATCATTGTTAGAAAAAATATGTTGGATAACACTTGGTTATTTACTGCCTTGGTGATTGCTGTGGTGATAGTTGTCGGATATTTGTGGAAGAAGAATAATAAGAAGAATAGCTCTCCCTATCAACAGATGAGTGAAATACTCAACAAACATGCTAATCGGGATAAACACATACTCTACTTGGAAAAGAAGGGACAATCCTTGATGAAAGCTGCCAATATGACAGTAGACTATAAAGTACAGGACGGACAAGGCTATTCAAATATAATTTCTGATTGTACTGTTGAAGTTTTTGATGAACAATTAATTATTACCTCCAGTAATAACCAGCAAGAAACCAGAATTATTCCTCTCTATGAGTTTTATGCTGTCCATTCCGAAGAAGAAGATAGAGTGGTCTTGTTGAGTTTGAATTTAATTACCAATCACAAGGAAAAGATGACAATTAGTGGTCCTAGCTCGGAATTGGTTCAATCACTTGCTGATTTGTTAAAGAAGAAAATATTTAGAGTTGAATCTGGAGAGCAATTAGTTCAATCCAATAGAAAATTATTGATATTTATTAACCCAAAGAGTGGATCAGGTCAATCTTTACAAAATTTTGAGAATATTGTCAAGCCAATGATTACAGAAAGTCATATTGGAAATAATTTTGAGTTTATTGTTTCTAAGAGATCTGGTCACATTAAAGAATATTGTGAAAAAGAGTTGGATTTGAGTAAGGTTAATGAAATTATAGCTTGTGGTGGAGACGGTACTCTGAATGAAGTCATAAATGGTTTAATTCCAAGATTAGAAAAAGAAGGAAAATTGGATTTACTTTCAAAGATGAGATTTGGTGTCATTCCAACTGGAAGTGGTAATGCAGTGAGTTGTCATTTCCAAAAATTCTTGTTTGGATTCAACACCATAACCAATGACGAAAGCTTGGTCAAGAGAGGCACTCTATTTATTTGTAGAGGTCTTTGTTCTCCTATGGATTTGTGGACAGTCTTCCAACCTGGAAAAGGAAAGACTTATGGATTTGTTAGTTTTAGTTTTGGTGGCATTGCCGATGTGGATGTTGATACTGAATTTATTAGATTCATTGGAGATTTCAGATTCATTCTAGGATCTGTATGGTACGCTTGTTTTGGAAGATACTATACAGGTAATTTGACGATTGTTCAACCAAAGAAATATGAATACTTGAAGAAACAAAATGGAGCTGAAATTGAAGAATTCAAAGGAAATCACTCTATTAACAGTGCCTTTGTGCAAACTGATTTGAAATCAAAAATTGAATTGGACAGTCCAATATCACGTCAATTCCTCTCTAAAGAGTTAAAGGAAATGGGCCTGACCCAATATTTGGATAGTTCAAAGCAGGCAAGTATTGTTAATACTGAAGAATATGTAAAGCACGAAGAAGTCGACCAATCCTTCACCTATATGTTTGCAAGTAATGTCTCTCATGCTGCAGCAGATTTTGTAGCTTCCCATTTAAGCTTCCACAATGACAACCTTGTCGATTTGATGTATGTGAAGAAGCCTGCCAGTCCTCTTGAACTTTTATCTATTTTATTGAGCTGTGAGAAGGGAGACTATCATAACCATGACAAGTGGTTGTATCGTAAAATTAAGGCGATGTACTTTAAGCCAACCTCAACAAAGAAGAGTTATCTGACAATTGACGGAGAAGCTGTTGAGTATGTTCCAATAATATTGGAAAATATTGGAAGTCGGTTGAATTTCATTGGAGGTGACATTCATTAAAAAGTTTTGCTAATTTAAAAAGTAGGTCATTTCGAACTTTCTAATAAATGAACGTCTGCAAAAAGTAAGCTGGAGATGCGGGGTATCGATCCCCGTACCTCTTCCATGCTAAAGAAGCGCTCTACCATGTGAGCTACATCCCCTTACAATAAGATTAACCAATGCTTAATACAACATTTCCAATAGGCCTCATATGCTTCCTAATCACTTAAGTTACTTAATAAAATAGATAATAATAGTCCCACTCTACCATGTGAGCTACATTAATCACTCGAACTTTTTAAAGGCATTATCAACCTCGAAATCACATTTTCTCAAAATAATAAAATCATCAAGATTTTCTCTCATGCATATTTCAATGAATTTCTTTGATGACTTTAACTCATTATCAACATAGAAAAAGGCTCTTGCATTACTTTTGACTGCATTTGTGACAATTTCAAAATCAGCATTATGTGGAGGATGGGCAAACATCAATGCTCTTCCATCGTTTTTTACGGCTGTCAGAATAACATCTCTGTCAGCTTGTAAGTTTCGTGGTACGTGTTCAATTGAAATACCCACCCTTGACACCATCTCCAAAACTAATTCCTTATCCCACACATGTTTTTCCACTAATTGTGGAAAATTATTATCAAATGTTGTACAATTTCTTAAGAGTTGCAACAATGCATCTCTATTCCCTCTAAACGAATCAAAAAAAACAGAAAACAAATGATTCCCAACTTTGGGAAGCAATTCCATGCAAAATTCCAAGCTTTTGAACCAATCTGGGGACATGTATCTAAATAGGTAAACCAGATTCAATCTACTATTTTCCAACATTAGTTTCATCACGCCCATTCGCTCTTCATCAGTGAATAGATTCTTAGTTTGATTCAATATTCTCATACCAATTCTATTGCCACATGTGGAGGCAGCCCTCCTCACACATTCCAAATCTTTTTGAAAAGCACCTTTGATATAGGAATAGGAATTTCCATTCTGTTCAACAGCTGCCAAAGCCACCTCTCTATCTTGATTTCTCAATTTTCTTAATACAGTACCTTCTATTTGTACAACAAGCAAACCATAGTCCAAATCACGAACCAATCTCTCATCAACTTTTCGATGTTTCTTAAATCTTTCCACGGCTTTATAAATCAAAACAATTCTATCGGATTGTCTCAATTTAAGAGTTAATTTTTGATGGAGATTATTTTCTCTATCATCATGACAATGATCAAGGAGAAGCAATTTTACAGGCCTGTAATCTTCAGTAAGTGCTGATTCTATTTGCGTCATTTTTTTTTGATTTAATTTTAGAAAATGATAAAATAATATTATTTGGATTGTTCAAATTGTCAATAATGGAACTATTCAGAACAATGTTCAATAAACATTTAAAAAACATTTAAAATGGTTGTGGTGTTATAAATGCATCAATTGAATCCAATCAAAACGAACACTTGAGTCTTTTTACAATAGCTGTCCGAGTAGCTCCGTAAGAAACAATGAATTCAACCATTGATATTTCCTATTTGATTTTCTTCCTTCATCATAAACTACAGAATATTGCAATAGTTATTATTATTTCCAAATATCTTGTCGTCAGCAATGGTCCAACTTCTGGCCTCTGGTAGAAAAGGTCCATCGGTTACCCTGGCCTTTAATAAAAAGCAAGGATAACACAAGGAGTTGGCAGAAACGAATAAACATACATCACAATCAAAACACGACATGCATCTATGTTTGCTGTCCACCAGTGCATCACACATACCATCTCCAGAGAGCAATTTCTCTGCTTGATAACATAGAGGATAGAGACAACAACAAGTCATGGCACCCCACCAGCAACAGCAAGGAACACACCATAATGGAGCAGTGATAGTATTGAAGGTGCAGTACTTCATGCAACACAGATTGACTGAATCTAAGGTGGTAGGGAAGGTTGATACTTGGTCGCGAGGAACATGATGAGAGAAACCCTCAAGGGATGCACTTGGGTAGAAGGGTATTGTCACAATGTTATTTCTAATTATGGCAACAGTTCTGTAGAATTCAAGGGTTTGAAATTTGAGAACAAAATTGTTCCTATTCGATACAAAAGTAATCCTCTGCTCTTTCTGGTGATATATTGGTAGGTTGTGTATGTTTCTGTACTTGGTGAGATATTCCTCTGAAATATTCAACGCATCCTCCAACAAGTGATAGAGAATGATTGAAGAGAACTCGAGTCTAATATTGTTGGTAAATACATTCCATGGTATGAGTGATAGGTTCTCAGTAATTCCCAAAGCAGTGCGTATTTTAGGGTGAAAGTATGGCCTCTCTATGGAAGAATATCGAATCAGGTTGGTATTGTTGGAGAGTATACTCGTTGTGAAATGCATTATTATATTTCTTGAAATGGTCAAATAGTCAATCAAGTCAGTAATAGAACCTTCTTGTGAGATTTTTTGTAATTCATCCAACTCTTTCCCATTATATATTTGTTGCAATTCAAAGTCTCCATATTTTTCTGCATACTTGATGAAGTTCAGAAAAGAAGAACGAATAATTCCATAAGCTTGAGATTCTGAACTCTTCTCTATTTCACATCTAACAGAAGTTGAATCTAGTTTGGGAACTATGACATTATCCCATACTTCGAATAGATTAAAGTATTTACAAGTGTAAATTTCTGTTTCTCCCAATGTGGAGTTAGTGACTAATTGAAAATGAAATTTGAATTTTTTGAAGAAACGAAATGCATTGATTTTCTTCCTTTTATCAAAGTTCCGATAATTATTCAATGTCAGTGAATCTTTAGAATTAAACTTCCAATGTAGCAGTTGCTTTATCAAATCATGATTGGCAGAATGTTTTTCATCATCCAACAAGTATTGCCTTTCGTCTGAATTCTGCTCCACAATGTGTGGAAGAAAATTCAAAATATGTTCAGTATTCTTCTCTTCAGTAGTAGTTGGAAAATCAAACTCCAATTCAAATTCAGTCTTGGAAATTGCTTCAAATCTTCTTCCGAATAATCTTTTTAAACAATTGCTAAATTGATCTCCAAATTCATCACGATCGGAGGACTGAGTAGAAAGCCTACATAGTTGAATATACATCTTTGGCACAAACATTGATCCGAACACTTCCCGAAAGTAATCAGTATATTGATGATTATAATTTACTGAAAACAAGTGGGAAAAGTACTTGGAAACACATTTCAATATTTGAGCAGATTTTCCTCGGTGATTGTCAGGAAGAAATGAGAAGATGGAAGCAAGAGAATCCAAGTCAAGGAGTTGAATCATTTTTTTTATGTGATGTGAGATAGATTGGATCTTTTTAGAACTCGAAATGTATTCTTTGGTTTTCTTCTTGTTTTCTTTCTTGGTTTAAGAAAATCACGATAATATCATAAAAATCTTGTAATTAATGTTATCTTCCTTATTAATGTGAAAAATTAGTTCTTCTTTAATAGAAGAAAATATTGATGAAGATAAGTTGAGTTTCAACTAGATTCTAATAGTGAGCTAATTGAGGAGATTAGCTTATTCTTACTGATCAAATTGATATTTCCTAAATCCTTTTTATTCATCTTCAGAATACTTGAATTCAAATGTCACATCAGTCAATTTATCCCTTTTTATCACTCCTCTCGTATCCGAAAGAAAATTTAATACTGAATAATTAGCTCCATACTCAATATTACTCCAATTAACCGTATCCGGCTTTGCAACTCCTCTCACCTTTGTTTTCGGTGTAAATTCTCCATATGCCTTAATCACTTGATCAACTTCCTCAGTAGAAATATTATACGAATATTTCTTTAATAATTCTTCCACTTGTTTACTTCTTTCCTGATCAATGGCTAAACAGGGATGCAAATCTTTGGGTCCAAGTTCATTCCGAATCATTGTATCATAATATCTCACCCATATATCCCAATCTTCCAATAGTAATTTGAGAAAATTTGTATCATAAATTGGTTTCAAATAATAAAAGGGTTCAAAATCGTTATCGATTGTTCCATGTTTCTCGTAAATGTGTGGCTGATCGAAGAGATTGGCCACTCCATGCAATGGGCAATCATAATAATCGCTCATGGTTAAAACAAGTTGATTTTTGCTTGTTGCCATTTTTTTTTGTTTGTAGATTTTCATTGGTGGATATCTTGTTGTAAACGAAACCAAATATTCTTAAACCTGCAAGTTGGCTTTTAAAAGAAAAAAAAAGATCTTTCCTTGAAGATGTACCCTGTCGAAGAATTTGACTTTGGAAAGGTTGTTGAAGATTTTGGCAAACAGGGGACGTTCGGAGTATCGGCAAGGGATCAGATCATGCTTTTGAAAATGTGGAGGAGGTGGATTTAATTGCCTTTGCAACTTGAGAAATTTGCTCAAGGTTAAAGTCAAGTTGAATGGTTGGGAGAAACGTTTTAGTCATGTTCAAACACTTGCTGATGTGGTTAATCCTCGATTACTGTCCTTGTGGAGCGAAATGGAGTTGAATGACGAAAACAGTGTTCGCACTGATAGGTCATGTTTCGATAAGAAGAACAAAACAACAAGAGTAGCTCAACAAACAGAAAAGGGAATTACTTCATCAACAAAGAGAAAGGCTTCTGCTGCTTTCCTCATGTAGTAACGATATTGACTTTTAGTAAGAGAAATAAGAGATAGGGAATAAAGCATTATTATTGATGCTCAATCAGGTTATATTGAATGCCAAAAACAATATTATCACACAAGGGGCGGTGGTGTAATGGTAACATCGCAGCCTCCAAAGCTGTGGCCGGGGGTTCGATTCCCCCTCGCCCCCTGTGATTTTAATTTTGTTGCAATGCTATTTTATTGAATTAGTTCCTTAGCCTGTAATTTTGATTTACAAGATAACACCAACAAAATTAAAATCACATACGAAAGTGTTTCAAACCTGCTTTAACTAAATACATTCAGTTTTTATTTTATAATTTGAAATCAACACTTTTAAAACCTGAAAGAAATTATAGGTTTGGTCATAATATAATGGTCCTTAAATATTGATTCGCGAATTTCTTGATAGTAAAAATCATCCAAATCAACCCTCGATAAATTAATATAGTTACATGCCATTTTGATAATGAAATCCCATTCATCTTCTGTTAAATTCAATGATTTCAATTTTTCTGACATTTTGGCTGATAATTCGCTGTGGTCTTCTCTTAAATAATTCCATTTCCAAAGTTGCATCATTCCAAGTTGACCAAATTCAATTTCAAATCCACGTGCATAACACGGTGAATTATTGTGTTCTCTTTCTATTTCTTCATAATCAAATCTTGTAATCAATTTAATTGCCTTGTTGAAATTTTCAGAAATATTTTCCTTTCCACTTAATTTAGTTAACAATCGATCTTTCTTTTCAAGATTAAATAACTGTTGCCTTTCCTTTTCCTTCTTACAAATCATTCTACTAATTGTTTCCTTTGTATATATTCCCAATTCAATTTCATCATTCAAAGAATAGGAATATTTCTGAAAGGAATAGTTTAGTTGAATAATCATGTTAAAAACTATTCCATGAGGACTTTCTTTCCACAATCTCCTGAATTGCTGGCAAGTTCCCGATACACGAATAATTTCATCTCTAGGTATAAATTCGAATATTTGCTCAATAATTTCCTCAGGTTGACTTGCCAGATTTTTCTTGTGGTGGTGAGAAATTTGGCTATTTTTGTCATGTTTTTTCATTGTGGATTGATTATCATCAATAATATTAGATTGTTGTGATGACATTTTTTTAAAAAAAAAAATAATATTTTGTAAACTGTGAAATTATTCGAAAGATAATACCGCGGCATGATATGAAGTACTTTAGTATAACTGATACTGGGTTTATTGAACAGAAAATAATTATTTCTAGCAATATTTGAATATTCTAAACTCAATTTATGTTCCATCATCACCAAAGCTCACTTGAAATTTCTAACAAATGATCCTCAAATATTGAGCCCACTTCATTGTGGTGCTCAAAGTTTTTATATCTAAGCCACAGATCTGCTTTACTACCTGCAGTTTCAATAATGATATTCCATTCCTCCTCTGTCAAATTCAAATCAAGTAAACTTTCCGACATTATGCCAGATTCTATAGAGTCTCCATGTTTAACATAGATTTGATCCCATTTCCAAAATCTAATCATCCCTAGATCTCCAAATTCAATCTCCATTCCCTTACTCACTCCCATACATACTCCATTAGGCACATCCCTCTCTTCTCCATAATCAAATCTTGTAATCTCTGAAAGTGCTTTTGTAAAGTTTTCTGACATGTTTTCTTTTTTCCTCAATTCTTCAATTAAAAGATCAGCCTGTTGTTCATAAAATAAATCTTGCTTTTCATCTTCTTTTTCAGCAAACAGTTGATTGATCTCTTCTTTAACAATTCGGCCAATTCCAATTTGTTTATCCAAAGAATACGAATGTTTCACAAAAGAATAGTTTAGTTCAATAATCATATTGTAAACGATTCCAAAAGTAGTCTTCTTCCAAACTCTTCTAAATTGTTGAGAAACACCAGAAACACGAATTGCCGAATATCTGTTCGGAATAAAATCGAATATTTGTTCAATAATTTCGTCTGGCATTTGTCCGAGAGTTTGCACTCCAATAATTGTTTGTTTTTGTTTCTTGTTTTTGGAAATAAAATCATCATCATCAAGCTTTCTCTTTGTTCCCTGACTCTGTTCTTCATCATCTGAAGAGTAGCATGAGTTTGATGTTTCTTCACTTTCTTGTGCTGACATTTTTTTTATTGTAAAATTGAAAGCTGACAGCCAATCATAGAATTTAATCACAAGGCAGTGATGGTACCAATTCATTATCCATAAAAATTGAATCTCCCATCTCCTCTTCATACTGAAATTCATAAAAACAAATTTCCACTTGTTCTTCCTCCAAATATCCAATCGAATTTTCAATGATAACATCCCATTCTTCCTCTGTCAAATTCAAAGTTTCCAATTTTTTGGATAATTTAGCAAATACTGTGGAATCTCCAAATTCCTCATCTCTTTCTTTCCATTGCCAATATCTCAATACTCCAAGTTTACCAAAGGATATTTCAAAACCAGCAGCTCTACGAAGGGAAGCTCCATAATACATTTTGTCATCTTGTCCATAATCAAATCTGTCAATTCTTGAAATGGCATTTGTGAAATTTTCAGATTTATCCTTAATTTTGCTTAATTCATCAACAAAACGTTCTGTCTTTGAAAGAATCTTTTCTGATGATTCTCCCTGAATGAAAGCTCCTATTATTGCCGATTTGGAAAAATTGGCCACTTGAATTCTATCATCCAAGGAACAGGAACGTTTCTTAAAGGAATAGTTCAATTGAATAATCATATTGTAAACAATTCCATTCGGAGTTTCTTTCCAAACTCTTCTAAATTGATGAGAAACACTCGAAATACCAATTGTTGCCTTCGGAGTAAGAAAATCACCTCATCAGGTTGAACATTTAACATTGTTTTCATTCCGACAATTAATTCTTCTTCACCTTTACGTTTCTTATCAAAACGATCATAAATTAATTCATCATCAGCATCATCTTCTTCTTTATAATCTTTTTCATAATCGGAGTATTTTCTCTTTGTCTTTGTGAAAGAATCATCAGATAACGACATTTTTTATTACTGCTAGTTTCGTTCCTGGATTTTGTGCGTGCCATTTGTGGTTCACTCTTTCTCTAACTCTTTCAGTGAGCTAGAAGAATCTTGGTGGATTCAAAGTATGGTCAACTTGGCTTTTAAAATTTAATATTAAAGGTTATGTTGCAATCAAATTAAACATGTCATGCAATATTAAAAAGTATTGTAAACAAGTTCTGTTGTTCCCAACAATTATGATGATTCGAGTTCTCACTTGTTATCAACATCTAAAAAAATGTCTGCAACTCTTGCTGGTAAGTTTCTAATAGAAATACATTTCCAACAGTAGCAAGTTGGTTTCGGAGGATTTGGTGGTTTAGCACTTGATACTTATAAAACTCAGACGACATTGGTGGAATCTCCACAACTTTCGTCTCTCGATATTCAGTCTATTTCGGTGGGTTTGTGGCATTCTCTGATTGTTACTACAAGTGGACATCTTTATGGAGGTAGTGTAATGATCATTTGATCTTTTTATAATTAATCATATAAAAAACTATTCTAAACTAAATGGAATAGTTGGAAGAAATAGATATGGTGCTCTTGGTTTAGGTGAACCTGAATCTCTTGATATTTTAAATTATACACTTCCGATCGAAGTTAAAGAACCATTCAGTACAAGTGCACATCATCGTGTATTGAAAGCAAGTGCTGGAAAGACACATTCACTCGTTTTGACTTGTGATGGAACTTTATTTAGTTTCGGCTTTGGAATGGGATGTGGGCACGGAATGTCTTCATTGTGTGGAATACCAGAACCAATTCAATACTTGTTTTCGCATAGAATTGTTGATTGTGCAGCTGGTGAAGGACATTCGGCTGCTGTGAGTGAGGATGGAAGATTATTCACTTGGGGTTTGGAGAATAGACATAAACCTGTCATGGTGAGAAATTCATTGATTGATTCAGAGGTTTGTGCCAGTGTGAATTGTGGAACTCACCATGGATTTGTATTGACTGAGAGTGGAAAATTGTTTGGCTATGGTAAAAATAGTGATGGCCAAGTGACTAAGGACGGTAGTGCTCATATTAGTGAGGAAAAAATTGTTGAAGTGAAACATCCATATGCTGAGAGTGGTTCTCGTTGGGTTCAAGTGAGTTGTGGAATGAGACATACAATGGCTTTGGATAATTTGGGTAATATTTATGTTTGGGGAAGAATTAAAACAGCAAAAACTGAAAAGAATGATCATCTCAGTGATGCAAACAGTGAAATTATGAACCCCACAATGGTGAGCATTCCAATTTCAAAAGGAAATATCAAAAAGATTGCCTCATCATACAGTTCATTTATTGTCTTGACCAATGATGGAAATGTCTACTCTTGGGGACACAATTTGCACTTTAATTTGGGGCATGGTCACGGTAAATATGTTAATGATCCAACTCCAGTCGGTTCCATTGCTGAAACTTATATTGGTGATGTTTTTGTTGGTGGTTACAATATGTTTTTAGTGACTGGTATGAGTTTCACAGCAAGTTATACCAAACTTTTGAAAGAAACTCAATACTATGCTGATTGTATTCTCAAATCAAAGAATGGACATGAAGCTGTTTGCCATGCTGCCATTCTTAGTGCCCGTAGTCCTTTATTTACAAGTTTATTGATTAAGGAATATTTGGAATCGAATAATAATCAATCATCAAAATTCAAGGTCACAGATACATCACACATTGAAAGAGTAATTACCCTGGATTTTGTTGAAAGTCAAGAAGAATTGGATGAACTATTGAATTTCATTTATACCAATGCAACTGGTCGTTCAGCAAAGAATGAACGAATGCTTCTCATCATTAATGAACATATTAACAATACACAAGCAGCTACCAAAATTTTGACAGAATTGTTAAAAAAAGAGGATATATCTGATGAGAATAAGAAGGATCTAGCTACAATGATTGAGGTGGTTTCCAAAGAAATGATCCATGAAAAAGTCAAGGGATCAAGCAGTCTTCTTGGAGAGCTGAGTGATTATACCAGAGATTTTGAAAATTTGTACAAATTGGCAATGAGAGAAAGTTCAGGACTTAATGACCCAGCAGCTGATACCATCTTCTCCTTCCTCTCAGACGTGAGTTTTTCATTGGATGATGGAACATTTATCAGATCACATCGTTGTATTTTATGTGCCAGATTGGAATATTTCAGAGCCATGTTCTCCATTGGTCAATTCAGTGAAAGTTTCCAAAAGGTTATTCACCTCGACAGCACCACCAGAGATTCATTCGAAATTCTATTGAAACACATTTACACAGGTGGAAATATCAATGATAATGAGTTGACTGCTGAGCAAAGTGTACCTCTCCTTGAACTGGCTACCAGATTTAACATTGATACACTCAAACTTGCAGCAGAGAGAAAGATTGTCCTCTATCTTCAACCTTCCAACGTTTTACAAATGTGTCAAGTTGCTGAAATGTGTCAAGCTGAAATTGTCAAAAAATGTTGTATCCATCTCATTGCCAGAAACTTTACAAATTACACACAAGAGCAATTGGAAGCTGAATTAGATCAAAACTTGATCGAAACCATCACCATAGTCCATGAAGAATTCACTCTTGCCAGATCCAAACAACAAGACAATGAACAGAAAGTATTCCAATACATGAAAGAACAAAAGGATGCTTATGATAGCTTACTGGAAGATGGTGAAAGACAACATTTGGTTGATGAGTATGATGAGGATGATGTACAAGTGATAAAATCCATTCTTGGCGGATCACACAATCCAAATGCACCTGTACATGCCAATGTCAATAGACATCACCAGAAACCTTCATCTTCTGGAAACAAGAGTTTAGGTAAAAAGATGAATAATTCATCAGATAGAAATTGTCTTGTCATGTAAATAAAACATTGTTGAATTTGCTGCGGAAAAGTACTCCTGTCAAATGCCAACACAACTTTCCAGAGATACCACAATAAAAAAATGCAAGTTAGAAACGACTTGCATCACGAGCACGAGGATGATCATAACAACAAATCTCACCATTCGAATCATCCTCTCTTCCACACCACCACCAATCATCCCCACAATGATGATCACTTCAAGGAATGAACAACAACAACTCGACAATAACCAGCAGTTGGTTCAAAGAATCCTCTCAGTACCATTCTATCGTGAACTTTTTTCCTCCATTTATCGTGATACTTCTGAACAACATGATTCACATCATTCGATCTCATCATCATCATTATCCAATTCATCATCTCAACCATGATGAGGAAGATATTCAATCCGTAAAAAATCAAAACTTTGGGAAATGTTATAATATTCATGGCAATACTCTTGATAATAGCTTGGAATTGTTATTGAAGAAAAATAGTAATAATAATTACGATGATAAGAATTATAATTATAAGAATAATGGCGATGAGGATGATGTTTGTTTTGAACGGACGGAAATAAAGAATGATAATAATGGTGTTGATGATGATGGTGTGGAGGAAGGTAGAATTGTGGATAAAGTAATAACAAGTCGAGAAAATTGTGATGATGAAGCGTTTCACAGTAAGCTGCTTCCAAAGCTTGTGAAGACGGAACAACTTGGCTTGCTGGCACAAACGTGCTTTGGAAAGGAGAAAGTACTAAGACTGCTTTTGCTCATGATTATTTCTCTTCCGATAGTAATTAGTGTCTTTCAATTATTGCCATCATCACCATCATCATTGGAATTATTGAATGAATTTCGGAGGAATAATTTAGTGGAAAAGTTTTGGAATTTAACAAAGGGTGATGCACTCACTTATGGGAATAATGGAACAACACTATCAATTAATACAATATCGGAGAAATTTACCCATTGTCGAGTGTTGCCACTTGATGGTGATAAGAAGGGACGAGCTATTTTACAATGGAAATTCATATCCAATCATACCTTTCAGAATTATTATCCCCTCTTCAATGATACGCAGAGTTCAAGGTTTCAGAATCCAAATGTGAATCCTGTAGTTAGAATGAGAATCATTATTGGAGAGGCAAATTTGTCTATTAGTGCAGGAAATTTCAAGCTTTTTGGATTTTCTAAAGGTATTACAGCTGATGCAGGGTTTGATAAGATATATAATAACTTGCAGACATCGAAACCAGACGAAAAGGGGGTTCAGTATCGATACTTTTTCGATAAGAATATTAAGGATAATAGAAAGATTAAGGTTTTGGATTTTATGAATCAACCACAAGCAACTTTTCATGCTGTTTATGGAGATGGATTTCCTTCTTTTTATGTGGGCTATGATAACAGTTCAAACCCCTATCTGAGAAAATATACAGGAACAATTACGACAGTGAAAAATTATGATCATTATCCAACTTGTAATGATGATGTTAATATGGCTCTTTCTCCAACTGCAGTTGGTGAAAGAGTGAATTTGAATGGTACCTATAGTGAATATTCCAAGTTTTGTGTCTATCAAATACACGACGTAACGCCCTATACAGGAGGAACATATATTTACTTTGAAAAGAGACTGAATTCAATTGTCAGACCAAAGAATTTACCCAACACTCGTACATTCTCTGAGGATAATAACAACACAACAGATCACAAATATTTTATTTATTTCATGCCAATAGTTAACGCAGGATACAAAAATACTACCATGCAAGGTCAGCAAGATTTTCTCAATTCCTATATGAATAAGGACTCTCTTCAATCCTATTATTTAGCTCATGAAGTAGATTTTTCTGTTGATTATTATGATGAAGATTGTGATTACTACGTTCAAATCTATCAAACATCAATGTTTCAAATTTACTATTACATAAGAGCAGTAAGACATACCATTGTTGGAATTTTTTCATTACTTGTAGTAGGATTTCTCTTCATTTACAGACAAAAGCAACCTGTCAAAAGTAGACTTCACACAGCCATGATCAGTGCTGTCATTAGTGTAATTTTCAATGCGTTGGGAGTTATCAGCGATATCTATTCAGTATTTAATTATGATGCTATTGAATATTCATATTATTTAACACTTGCTATGCTCTATTTGGTATCGTTGATAAGATACACATTTGTTCGTAATTTATATAGAGTTATTAGAATTGTAGACAAGATGGAAGATACAGTAATATCAGTTGGAGAATTTAACGACGAAGGACTCGTATCAAACTACAAGAGGAAAACTATGCAAATGAGGTTTTTATCCAAGTTGGCATCTAAGAGAATTTACCTGTCGGCTATTATCAGTCTAATCATTATTGTAAATTTACCAACACCATTCTTTTTATGGATACTCAATTCTAGTTCTGGAGATACATTCTCAGTGGTTGTCTCTATTATAGGCTATGTGAAACTGGCAGCATTGATTGTTGGATTTGTACTTCCAGGATTTATTGCATTGTCTTTTGATTTGTTTATTAACAGGAAATGGTTATTCTATGACTTTTGTAAGAGAATTTTCAATTTTGGTGATAGTAATATTTCCACATACATGAGTAAGGTCCTATCGAAAACAAGGAAAATGGAAGAGCTTTCTTGTGGATTTCAAACGTACTTTAGTGATTATGATGACCCTCTATGTTACAGATCAGAATTCCTAATAGTTACTTCCTTGAGTTTATTAATTGGAATTTCAACTTTTGTAGTGGGTATGATAGATATACCAAATTGGAGAACAAGTTTGAAATTGACTATATTGGGTACACATGGTACCTTGTATTTCCTTTTTGATTATTGCTACGTATTATTGACGAGTGGATTTGTTGTGTTTATGCAGCTTATCGTGGAGAGAAGAAAATGGAAGACCAGAACTTCTGTGCAAGATAAAAAAGCAACAATTACTGGAAAGAATCCAATAACTGTCTTGTTAATTAAGACAATTGGTGATAGAACTGGAGAGGGAAGAGAGTTAATTTATAAGGTAGGTAGATCTCATTGCTATATTGAAATTCAACATTAACATGTGTTTAGTTTTGTTGCAAGGAATTTTCTTTGGAATTATTAATTTTATTTGAGAGATGTTGTAAAGTTTTGGAATTACTCAAAGATCAGAAATACAAGACAGATCCACAAACTATGAATAAGAAAGTTTGTGATATATACAATTCATTTGTCAAGACAAGTTCTAGTTTGGAAGTTGCAATACCTTATGAGCTAAAGACTAAGATTTCTGCATTTATGGAATCCTATATTGGAGATGAATATTCAGTCTCCACAGATTCCTCTACATTTAATCACAATAAGAAATTTTATGCCATCTTCAAAACTGAGCAGCAACAACCACCAGTTGTGGGACCAAATGTTAGTGGAGTGGATAATAGGAGCATTGAATTAATCAATTATCAAACGGCTGCTTTCTTGTCTGATTTAATTGATCAATTGAAAGAATCAACCCTTTCAAGTTTACAAGATACATTCTCTCGTCTCATGGCTACAAAGGCATATATGGCCTATTTCAAAAAGAAGGAAATGGAAGCACAAACCATGAAGGAAGTTGGATTCACCAGGGAGGATACTATTGAAATCGATACGAATGCTCTTGCCTTCATTGAATCACAACACCAACAGCAACAACCCAGCCAAATCACAACCATCGACATGGGTGGTACTCAAATTGTTGCTTCCATCAATGCCGCCCAACAAGAACAAGTAAGCAAAAGGTATTTACAGGCCTATGATAACAATGATGAGATAGCCATCTCTGAAGAGAGTTCTGAAACAGAAGACGAAGAAATAATTGAAGAGGTAGATACACGTCATTCCCTAGATAAAATAGATGACTAACAGCAATTCAAAAAATATTAACAGAAACATTTCAATTAAAAAACATGCTACCTAGAATGATTTGAATAGAAAGTTCACTTGTTGGTTCCTTGCACAAGTTTCAATATTGAAATTAAACTGATTATTTTAAAAATAGAAACACAACAGTTTCATTAATTAAGAAACTAAACCACAATAACAAATACATTTTCTCTTTTCTCCTTTCCAACACCATGTTTCAGAGCAAAATGTATTGAGAATTACAAATAGTTAATTAATTACCAATTAAAGGAGCTAGACCACAAGTCAGTGCATCTCCCTAAGTTTCTGGTGGAAGCCTGATAAATGGTTATGTAGTTCGGATTGTAGAGAGGGGATTATTGAAGTCCTGTCTCAGCATATCTGATTAGATGAACTGTATGTAATTCTTTTGAAGATTTTTATAAGGAAATGATGTAATAGACTGAAATTTTGAATAATTCTTCAATATTTTGAGAGGAAAATAGTTCCAAGATATCACCTCAAAGTTCTTAAAAATTTTAAAATTGAATAAGAAGTGGGTGATATAATTTTAAACAATTTATTGTTATCTATTTCCATCACTTGAATGAACATTGGGTGAGGTAACACTGTAATTCTTATTACGAAATTTGTTCCGTGACACAAATCACATCACTAGTTCCGAACTTAAAACTAAAAATAAATCGGTCCAATGGCTTTTTAAATCCAACCTTGAAGATGTTCCTTTTCTTCATACAAAAAAAACAACTAATAACACAATGCAAATTTTCGTTAAAACATTAACAGGAAAGACTATCACTTTAGAAGTTGAATCCAACGATACTATTGAAAATGTTAAGAGCAAGATTCAAGATAAGGAAGGTATTCCTCCAGATCAACAACGTTTGATTTTCGCTGGTAAACAATTGGAAGATGGAAGAACCCTTTCTGACTATAATATTCAAAAGGAATCAACCCTTCACTTGGTCCTCAGATTGAGAGGTGGTATGCAAATCTTTGTCAAGACTTTGACTGGTAAGACTATCACTTTAGAAGTTGAATCAAACGACACTATTGAAAATGTTAAGTCAAAGATCCAAGACAAGGAAGGAATCCCTCCAGATCAACAAAGACTTATCTTTGCTGGTAAGCAATTGGAAGATGGTAGAACTCTCTCTGACTATAACATTCAAAAGGAATCAACTTTGCATTTGGTTTTAAGATTAAGAGGTGGTATGCAAATTTTCGTTAAAACACTCACTGGTAAAACTATCACTCTTGAAGTTGAATCAAATGATACTATTGAAAATGTCAAGTCTAAAATTCAAGACAAAGAAGGAATTCCACCAGATCAACAAAGATTGATTTTTGCTGGTAAACAATTAGAAGATGGAAGAACCTTATCTGATTACAATATTCAAAAGGAATCTACTTTGCACTTAGTTTTGAGATTGAGAGGTGGTATGCAAATTTTCGTCAAAACATTAACAGGAAAGACAATTACATTGGAAGTTGAATCCAATGATACTATTGAAAATGTCAAATCAAAGATTCAAGATAAGGAAGGTATCCCTCCAGATCAACAACGTTTGATTTTCGCTGGTAAACAATTAGAAGATGGAAGAACATTATCCGATTATAATATTCAAAAGGAATCAACTCTTCATCTTGTTTTGAGATTAAGAGGTGGTAATTAAATAAATTTGTAATAATTTAAACTATTCAATGTTCAACTTTTGGCAGTCGCTCCCTAAGTAACAGTACAACATAAATATGTAACCCGTTCAATCTTGAAAATTGTATTAATTTTACAATATTCTCTCCTTTCAAACTTGAGTATAAGGATGGCAGAATTTCTGGTATCGAATTGTACAAAACTGAAGTTGACTCTAATGGTAACCTTGTCATTGATGAAGATCAATTTATCAGACAAATGTGCTTGTCGTTTCTGCACTTTTGAAGACTGAGTGAAAATATTAAGAACTGCATTAAATATTGATGGTAACTAAGGGATGAGTTTCACATGATTTTTACGTGATACGTGGCCCGTCTAGCTCAGTCGGTAGAGCGCAAGGCTCTTAACCTTGTGGTCGTGGGTTCGACCCCCACGGTGGGCGATTCATTTTGCCTTAAACCATTGTTGAAGCTTTAGAGATTAATTATTTACATATTTTGAATTGTCTTGAAATTCTTTTGCATGCTTCCATAGCTTGTGGTGTCAAATCTTTGGAAAGATCTTTTGGATTATCCAAGAATGCAAATGGAACAGCATTTGTAACTTTATCCACAAATTGCTTCTCTGACATTGACTCTGTGAAATGTGTTAAAACAATCATTGGATTGAAAGGAAGCCCCTTTATATCTGTTTCTTTAACAACATTTTGGAATTTGACAAATTTTTGTAAAGAAACAGAATTCCATTCACAAGCTCTACAAACAAAAATAACGCCATCAATCCTATTATCGAGGTCAATCTTGTTTGTCAAGTAATTTTCCACTAAATTAGTTCCGGTCTTGATTCCTTGCAAGATTAATTTTAAGGTATTCAAGTCGTCTGGATTTTCGAATGGTTTACCAGCAGAATCAAACAACAACAAGTTGGCAGACGAAACTGGAACACTTTCGTAAAGTAAGGTACCAACTTCTGCCTTTCTTCCAACATCACATGTTTCAACCATAATATTTGGATTGAAAAATTTGAGGAGAGTGTTGATGAAGGATGATTTACCAAGATCACCAACCGAGAATTTTGAGAGGAAGGTTTGGGAGAGTTGTTACAGACATTTTTTGTTGAACCAAATTGAAACGTGATGTCACGTTTAGAATATCTACTCACTGGTATTTATTTTCACGTTTCGACAACTTTTTCGATGTGTATTTCATTACAGTTTTAAGGAATGATGCTTTTGTTTCAAAGTTGGGTCAATACTGTTGCTAATGACATATTTATTCATTTAATAACTAATCTATCTACGCTTTGTAAGAACCTCAGCACTGACAACAAGGAACACAAATCCAACTGCATTTTCTGTAACAATTTCTGAATTCATCCATTCAGAAAGTGACAAGTTTACACCTGTTGGCAATCCATGCATTAACTTTTGAATTTGATTCACATCATTTCCATCCATTCCCTTTTCGAATGGTTTACCAGCAGTATCAAAGATGTGATATTCATGACCATTAGAGGAACCGAGATGAAATTTTTCATAGTGAACTGTGCCAACATCTGCCTTTCGTCCAACATCACAAATTGCAACTTGGATTCGTCTATTGAAATATTTACCCAAAGTGTTGATTGTTGAAGATTTTCCAGAGTGTTGAGGTCCAAGCACAAGAATGTTGGTAGACTTTTTGTTAGGATTATATTTCATGTTTTCAACCTCAATTTTTTGTAACATCAAGTCAATGATTTTGTTCTTTTCTGATGGAATGTCAGTTTCCAAGTTGATATGATTTTCAAAAAAGAAAATTCTATTTTCATGGATTAGGTTAGACAGAGATTCCTTTAATTCCATTCTTGTTGAGCTGGGGATTTTTTCATGGTTTGTAATAATGACCAAAGGTTTTTGTTCTGATAAAATTGAAATACGAATGTGGAAGAAACTTACTGAGTGATGATTTTTTTTCGAGCCATTGGTAAAGATTTCCAATATTAATAATAGCGTCTGTGTCTATGACAATACTAGACCATTTTTTTTAAGTTATTCGAATCTAGTGGAAACGTGTGAGGTAGAAAAAGAATCGTGATTCTAACTACATGATTTCTATGCAACCTCTCACGTTTCCATTCTATTCGAATCTAATGAAAGAACAAGAAACGTGAAATCATCACGTTTGCTATTAGAATCACAAATCTCGTTTACAATAAAAACTCAAAAAAAAAACGCATGCAGATCTTTCAGACCTTTCTTCAGAATTTTCGTGGTTTGTGGAGTAGAAACACAACCCAAAAGACTGAATGCCGACCATCTTTGGAAACTTTAGAGGAATGCTTTAAGAAAAACCGTAGGTTTCTTTCATTTTAGATTCAGATACAGTTTCGAATAGAAGAAAAAGTTGTTTTTGTTTCATTTGGAAAGAAAGAAGCCATATTCAGCAACATTCCAGAAAATTACTTTCTTTTCGTTCAGAAAGAAAAAGATTTCGATCATATTCATCAAACCATTCACAAGATTGTGAAACATCAACATGACCAAAATATTTCGATTCGAATTTTAGGTCAACCAACTCATTTGAAAGAGGAAATTCAAAAATTCTTGTCATTGTTTAATGTTGTGGAAGATGGTGATAATCCGAGTGACGTTGTCGTGTATTTTGTAGAGAGGATTGAAACTGTATACGTAGACATGTTACATTAGTTGGCGCCATGAAAGAAGACGTTACACTTTCATCAAAATAAACTTTAATTTCATCAAACTTCTTGAAAAAAACCAAACTACTTCAACAATGAAGTGCCTCTCTTCACTTTTTGGTTGCTTTCCAACACAGGATTTCACTATTGGTGATTGCAACAACATCTTGAGAAATGTCCTCCAACAATTTTCTTCATGTCCCGTTTTTGTTGTCCCCAAGCCAAGCCTTTTAGACTTGTAAAAAAATATTGTAAGAGTTTCAAATGCTTCTGACAACGATCCACAAGAATTATCTCATAACTTATTTGATAGGGTCACCAACGAGCTAAACTCTGACATTTCCATAACTGGAAACAACAACGAGCATTCAGAACTTTTAAGAAATTGCCTCTCTCGTTTACTCAACCCAATTTCAAAGGAGAAGGAACTATTCTTCTTTAGTTGGAAGAAAGGTCCTCAATCAACTGTTTTCTTTAGAGATGATGGTTATTTTAGAGAACACAAAGATGATCCATTATCGAGGGAGAATTATTGTGTTTTGTTTCTTCCATTGGATAAAGAAAGTTATTGGAGTTTGAAGAGTGAATATTTGAAATTTGTTCAATCGACTCATCCAAATGTTTCATTCTTTTATGTTGATAAGCATTGGGTCTTTTGATGAGCATCATTTGTCAATTGATTTTATAAAGTGGATTTCAGGATAATCATCTATAAATGGAAATAATACATTCTCCTTACAACACGATTCCTTTTGGTTTTCATTGGAGGTAATATGTAATATTTTTAAATAAAATATGACTATCTGAAGAATCTTGTTGATCAATTAATCATTAAGAGAAACCTTGATGTACAATTCTCCATTGTAATATTGACTAGATTAGAAACACTGCTTTTTTGTCTATTTTCAAAAAAAATGAAAAGAAGAGCAACAACTGAAGATAAAAAATCAAGGCTTAAAAAACTGAAAATGCAACTGTTACTAGCGACCAATGCAAACTTTAAAGGTCCTTCAAGTGTTTTTGTTTCATCGAATGGCGAAGTGTACATTGCTGATATTGGCAATCATAAAATTCGGAAGGTATTAACCAATGGAAAAATGGTGACAATTGCAGGAAATGGACAAAATGGATTTAGTGGTGATAATGGTCCTGCAACTAATGCCATGCTGAATTATCCAATCGGAGTGTTTGTTTCTCCATATAATGAAGTTTATATTGCTGATTATTTTAATAATCGAATTAGAAAGATTTTAACAAATGGAAATATTATAACAATTGCTGGAAATAATGTAAATGGTAAAGGAGTATATAATAGACTTGCGATTAATGCAATGCTTAATCGTCCTTCAGGTGTTTTCGTGACATTAAATGATGAAGTTTATATTGCAGATCAAAACCGTAACAAAATTAGAAAGATTGAGTCGAATGGAAATATTGTAACCATTGCAGGAAATGGAAAGGAAGGGTATGGTGATGATAATGTGCCTGCAGTTAATGCAATGCTCAATCGGCCTTCAAGTGTATTCGTGACATCAAATAATGAAGTTTATATTGCTGACACTGGCAACCATAGAATTAGAAAAATATTGAGAAATGGAAATATTGTAACAATTGCAGGAAATGGACTCGTGGGATTTCATGAGGATAACATATTGGCAACAAATACTTCTCTCAATTTTCCAAAAAGTGTTTTTGTTTCATCAAATGGTGAAGTCTATATTGCAGACACTGGCAACCATAGAATTAGAAAGATTTTAGCAAATGGAAATATTGCAACAATTGCAGGAAATGGAAAGGAAGGGTATGGTGATGATAATGTGCCTGCAATTGATACAATGCTCAATCGGCCTTCAAGTGTTTTTGTCTCATCAAATGAAGTTTATATTGCCGATCAAAGTAATCAAAGAATTAGAAAGATATTACAAAATGGAAATATTGTAACAATTGCAGGAAATGGAAGAGAAGGAAATAGTGGTGATTCATTTTTCGATATCTCACGTTACCCACATATTGGAATTACTTCTACACACATTCCAAAACTGAAGAAACAAGCCAGAGATCAAATCAATATTTTGGATATTTATGGATTTATCCCATTAATCGAAAAGAAATCACCCCAATTTTGCAAAATTATTTTGCAAAATGAATACCTTCTTAGTAAGATTAATTTATGCCAAAGAGAAATAATTCAACGATTGATTAACTCACTCATATATCAAAATGATAATTTGGAATTCATGGAACATGAGATATTGAATGTTTTATCGTTATTGGGATTGTTTGAAAATGGTGAATTTATCAACTTGAAAAAGAATTTAGTGAAGAAATTAGTAGAGTCAATTACAGTTGAAAGATTCACCTCTCAATGGGAACAAATTGAAACACATCTCAAATTCTGCAATGAAGACCTATCCTTACAAAACAAGATTTTTGAATACATACATGAATACTTTGTGGAATATGCTGCACTTCGTTTAAAATCCACTGAAAATAGCGTTCCACTCGGAAATAGTCCAATTGTTCTTAAGAATAGTGTTTCGATTATTCAAAAAATGGCAATACCTCAAAAGACAATCATCAACCTTGATGAAAAAGTTGAAATTCCTCCAAGAGGCCTCGTTGACCTATACAATGACGAGAAAACAGGTGACATCAAAGTGAAACTAGGGCTAGACAAGTATTTGTATTGCCACAAAACTGTTTTGAGCTCTTCTAGCATATTCTTTGATGCACTCTTTGATAGTGGATCATCGTTTAGTGATCTCAGTGATGATGGTGTTTTTGTTCCAGACCCTTCAGAGGATTTGGAATTATTGGAAATTGTTATCAAATCTTGTTATGGAATACCATTTAAATTTGATGCAACAAAACAGATTGAATTAATTGATTTGGCATTGAGACATGAAATAAGCAACCTACTCGAATTCTGCAAGAATAATTTCGTTCTGACAACTGCAAATTATTACAAAATTGCAATATCATGTAAAAATTATCTACACTTAGATTCCTTCAAAGATTTTTACAGAGAATTGTTATTATTTGGAATTGAACATTGCAAGGAACTTTTCAATGATTGCGAAAAAGTTTCATTTCTACCAGAGCAGATATTGCATGCCTTATTTGTTCAATTTTCACTTGAACGAAAATAATTGAAATCTAGAATGCTTAGTAATCCAATTATTCCTTAATTCATTCTTATAGTTATATTTCAATACCAAATGGTAAGTTGACTCGTATGTAATTTACCAATATATTGCTTCTCACCATTTACAAAAAGTTTACAAAAAATCCAGCACGCACTCACTATTATCGCACAATGAATATCAATTATGCGAATTTCTACTTGGCGAAATCTTCTCCATATAACTTCCGTGGTTGGAAGTTGACCAAAAACCATAAAAAAAATACCTCTCCATCTCCAAGAGTTTTTCTCCATTGGCCAAAATCTCATAGTAACATTTTAATTCCCGATCATCATGTCCACAACAAATAAACGTTTACTCTTGGTTTCCTATCCTGAAGGTTTGATTAAGGAGGATAATTTCAAATTGGAAGAAATTGCTTTACCAAATGTTGATCAATTGGGTGAAGAACAATTGGTTGTTCGTTTGTTGCATCTTTCTGTTGGTATGTGAGATTGAAAATTTAATAAGTTGTTTAATTGAGTAATTTTTCGTGATTGGAAATGAAATTCATTGAAAATAGATCCATATATGAGAATTAGAATGAGTGCACAACCACCAAAAGGATATTTTGGACCATACCCACTCAATGAACCAGTTAGTGGTGGTGCTGTTGCTAAGGTTGTCAAAGTTGGTGCTAAACTTGCCGAAACTTATAAGGAAGGAGATATTGTCTATGGTGCATTACCTTGGGTATTAGAACAAGTTGTTGATTTGAGTGATAAGAGTGTTTATTTGAGAAAATTAGAAGGTGTAAGTGGAATTCCACTTTCATATTTTTTGGGTGTTTTGGGTATGCCAGGATTGACTTCCTATTTTGGTTTGATTGATATTTGTGCTCCTAAGGAAGGTGAAACTATTGTCGTTAGTGCTGCTTCTGGTGCTGTTGGAAGTGTTGTTGGACAAATTGGTAAAATTTTAGGATGTAGAGTTGTTGGTATTTCAGGAAATGACAATGTTAAGGAATTGCTTGAAAATGGATTTGATGCTGTCATTAATTACAAAAAGTTCAATAATAATGTCAATGAGTTGAAGAAGGCCATTGATGAAGAATGTCCAAAAGGTGTCGATTGTTATTTTGATAATACTGGTGGATTTATTTTGGATGCTGTAACTTTGGCCATGAATTGTAAAGGTAGAATTTCATTTTGTGGAGCTATTAGCAGTTACAATGAACAAAATCCAGAAACTGGTTTGAGATTGAGTACAATCCATGTTGTTAGAGAATTGAAGACTCAGGGATTTATTATCTCATCTTTCATGCCACGATTCCAAGAAGGAACTGCTCAACTTGTTCAATGGTTGTTGCAAGGAAAGCTTAAGGCATTCGAAACCAAGTTTACTGGGCTTGAAAATATTCCAAAGGCTTTACAATCTTTGTTCACTGGTGAAAAGAGTGGTAAAGTTGTTGTAGATTTGTAAATAAAACATAAATTGCAGATTTAAATATCCAGTTGACAAGAAGGTCTATGTCCAATTAATTGTATGAACTATTTAATACTCAAAATACTTCTTCAATCTTTGTTAGAGTGTTGCAGGAATTGTATGAAAATGACAACATTTTGCATTTCCTTTTTGAAATGAACTGTTTTTCAATTTATAAAGAAATAATAATGTTTATTTTGTAATACGAAAACAAGAGAATTCTTATTTTCAAATACAGATACTACCATAATATTTACCATAAGATAATCATCTTATGAAAGATATTATATGTAATATTGCATATGAAAATAAATATTCCCTTACAGGCTCATAGCATACCGTAGGTTAGTACTAGTATGGTTTGGACCTAATAACTTGGGCAGTGTTGGAACACTTGCCAGAGTATTTGGAAAGATGATCGGATCTTGTGCCGAGTCTTCCATTATCATAATTTACAATATTATGCACCTCTGTGGTCTTTCCAGTTTGGCAATAGAGAAAAAGATACTCTTCAGTACCCTTCAATCTTATCCATGTGTAGAATTTAGTGACCTTTTCGGTACCATAGATCGCCTCTTTATCCAAACGACCTTTCAGAGATACATAATTAGTCTTTGTGGTGTTCAAGTTTGACATTTGGAAGGAGATTTCACAAATCTTGTGAATGTCATTCTTATCAGACTCCAAAGGAGCATTTTGTCTTCTCTTAGTCTGAAACACTTCAAAAGTAATGTTAACTTGTGGTGTAGTAGTGTTAATCTCTACATAGGAAGCACTGGCAGAGAATTTGTTGTGTTGCCATATTTTACTGCTGACTTCCTTCTTGGCTCTCTTTCTGACTGTTTTCTCTTCTTCTTGCTTTGCCTTCTTACCTCTCTTCTTTTCTTGTACAAACTTGGAGGTTTCAAACTTGCTGCTTCTATTATTTAGAGTAGAATCTGTATTGTAGCTACAAACAGATTCTTGAGAGTGATTACTATCACTTGAGAAAACTGAGAGACTACAAGGTGATTGAGCAGCGTTGTTGTTGCCTTTAAGTTGTTGGCAAATATCATCAAAAGAAGGTAAACAAGCCTGATCATCTGCAGGAGGAGGACTCGAGCTAAATTGTTTAAAGTCTTCTAATCCAGCCTGTACAGGAGAGATGGGTTGATCCATATTCAAAAACCACTCATCATCCGACACTTCAGAGCCAACTGAAGAGTTGGAGTGTAATGGTTCTTGTTGTTGTTGTTGGGATTTATAATTAATGATTTCATCATAGGAGAGGAAATCATCGTCATCAGTATTGATCATTGCATCATCGTAATGGTTGCCGTTAATAAAACTGTCCATGTTGTTTCTGTGGTTTTGTTTGGAAAATAGCGTTAAACTTGACGTTATTTTGTGCTTGTTAAGAGAACTCTCTTGAATTTTTTTATGAATTTAAAAATAAAAAATCAATTTGGAATTTATTTTCAACTTGATTTCCAAACCTACTAATCTGGCCTTAACCAGAATTGTAATGGTTTAAAAGTGACGAGTAGGAAATGATTGGACAATGGAATTATTACAATCAAAAAGGATTCGAATATGAGAAATGACTCATTTCTTTTCCACATATTTTCATTGTAAAACTGGAAAATCAATGAAAATCTAATAAACATTAGACAACATTCAAGCCCATTAGTCCAGTTTATTTTTTGGTTAGATGTCTATAAAGCACATCAGTTCTCATCACAAACTTTACATCTCCATCCTGATTCACAGTTTTGGCTTGATGATAATTTTCATGAACGAACAGTAAAATCCTTCCAGGTTTTGGCTCTACAGACCACTCCACTTGTTTAGTATTCTTGTTGAGAAATTCAGTTTCACCCCCTCCATTTGGAATTTCATTCAGATACAACAATAAAGTGAGAAAACTCTTTTTGGTCACATAATATTCCTCTCCATCAATAGTTTCCACACTTTCCAATACAATTCCACCATCTGAATGAGGAGCAAAAAATTCACCCTTGTAATATCTGTAAAATCTAATCTTATCGCTCAATTCACATAATTCATAACCAATAGTTGTAGCTCTTCTCACACACTTATTGCTGAGCTCGGATGCCAATTTTGGAATATAATCTTTAACTCGTGTCCATAACCAATTAGAATAATTTTGATTATCCATGATGAGCCGAGAATTATTTCTGATGGAACGGTCTTGTGCATTATTATAAGTTCCACTCTCAAATTCCTTCTTTTCACATTCATTTGTTATAATTTCCTGGCATTCCTCCTCCGAGACCAAGCCATCAATGAGCCAAATATTGTTATTCTCCAACATGTTGACATTTTCTTGTTGCAACATTTTTTTCTTGTTTAAAAATAGTTTCGTAAAATTTGATTATCTTGCAAAATCTGATTTTGCACTTCTGCACTCACTGTATGCTAACTTATTGATGTTAAGGAGAAGGTTGATTCTAATTGGAATTGTAATAATTTTGTAAAATCACCATATGGATGATCCTTAGAAAACTGTCAAACGTCTACAATTCGTGTTGGAAGGACTTGAGGAATAGTCCAGACTTTAAGTTTCCATATTGGGGCTTGAGGATGGATGAGCGGTTGACCAATACTCTCATTTAAAACGAGAATTGATGCCAACTGGTTGTGTTATCTGAAAAAAAATTAACATGCAAAGATCAACCTTTGTAATTGCTACATTCCTTTTGGTTTGTTTGCTGGCTGTTGGTATTACAGGCTCTCAATTGACTAGAGAGGAAAGAACTCAAGTAAAACGTTTGTTTAACAAGATTATTGACAAGCGTGTTGATAAACTCATTAAAAAGATTGAAAGAAGAAGTACCTATCAAGAAGAAGCTGATGTTGTCGAGGAGAGTTTGATGGCCCACTTTTTGAGAATTGTCAATAAGTTTGGTTTACAACAAACAAAACAATTGATTATAAAAGCATTGCAAGTAATAGACAAGAGCAAGATTAAGTATATTGAAAGTGCTGATCTTGCTGCTAACATGCAATTATCAGACGAAAGCCTTGCTGGATATTTCTTCCAAGTATTGAGTATTCTTGGTGAAAAAGCTTTTAGAACTGTCTTTTCTCTCATTGATAGATTTGTTGATCCAACTCCACCTCCACCAGGAGCAAGCCATAAGTACAGAACACAAGGAGATTATGATGAAATGTCTGATCAATTAGTAACATTGTGGGATTACTTTTGGTATGTTGTTGGTCAAATTGGCTCCAGTGCAGCAGTAAGAATTTTCAATGTCATAAGAAGAATCTTTGGAGATGGACCAAGAGAGCAATCTGATTCTGCTATTGCTTTGGATTTTAGACAAATGGTAATTACTGCCTTCCCACACATGGCTCAATATATTAATGCAAATTGGAAAGATGGAAAGACAATGAATTGGAAGGAATTCTACACTTTGGCCTTCCCAAATAAATAATTAACAAGCAATTGTTAAATTATTTAAATTGTTTGCAAATTGGTAAAATAGAAGTTTCAGTTCAGCTCCTCCCAAACTACCTTTACAGACTTTTTCTTGATTGCTATTGGTAACCACAAACATGTTCTCCAAAACATAACAAATCCAAATCCATAAAGTGTGCTGGCCATGCCTGAAATTTCTCCTAATAATTGTAGCCAGTTACTTGCTTCATATTCTGTTACCTGTTGTATGTTCAGCGTGTTGTAAGCAAATGAAACCATAATCTTGTTATTCCTCTGTTTTACCAATTCTACTGCTGAATAAGAGGATTCCCAAAAAGTTTTGGTAAATGGTGTTGGTCTAATGGTGTGGCTCACAACTTTAGAAATTGAGAAATTATTATCAAAGTTTGGAGTTGCACACTTTGTTTCATTGAGAAGCAAATCTTGTGCTGTTTCTCCAATATTGTGGAAGGTAACTTGGACTCCAGAGGATCTAATCTCTCCAGAGGATAATGTAACATTTTTGATGGTCACAATTACAGAGATGGTGCCCAAATAACCTGTTTTTGTGGCTTGGAGAGGAGTTCTGGTGTCATTATTCAGAACTAGGCAGGAGAAAATCTGATCTCCACTAACAATTTTCTTCTTTGTAATTGGAAATTTGCATTCTTCGTGAGTTGAATCATTTGACGTTGCATGAAAACAATAATCCAAGGCAATATCATTCACAGGATCATCTCCAGTATTCCAATTGCATATTGTGACAGCAGGAAATGAGAGTTTTGATTGAGCTGTGTATGCAACATTGGTCGCTGGCTTGTTTCTGTCCACAACATAGGTATTAACTGATGAATAAACATAATAAATCAATAATGCTCCCAATATCAACCATGCATAAATCAAAATCACATCCTTAACTTTAACTCCTATTCTTCTTTCCAAACAATCACTCGGATCCTCTTCCTCCTCGCCTTCCTGTCCACCATCTTCCTCAAATAAATAATCTTGCACAGCATCACTATCCGAAGTTAATATCGCCTTCTTTTTAATTTCCATAGCAACTTCTCTAGAAATTGGTTTTTCCAACTTTTCCTTGATCGACTTGATATCCTCTGGAGAAATAGTAGTAGCAGTATTATTGGCCTTGGTTGAAGTTGTTTTTTGTACTGAATAAACATCATTCTCCACCTCCTCTTTTAAAATATCAGAGAATTGAACCGTCTTTTTCTTGTTCAGCATTTTTTTTCAAGTTCCTTACAAATTCTACAACCATTCTTCCCGCCACTTTCAAATACAGTAAATTTATATGTTCAGCCAAACAAATTCAACCTTAAAAAAAAGATGAAAAGTGCACCAGAGATTATGCCCGTTGAAGACGATCCATTCTTTCAGAAGGTTAGTTCTTCAGTGGTGAGAGATTTGTATAGACCATCGTCGCCTACAAATCATCAACAACTAAATCAACAAGATCATTCCGAACAAGAATCTATATCTTCTCCAGTTAAAGAATATCAAATTTCAAATAATTCAAATATTTATCGGGATGATGAAGTAGTCTTGACTCCAAAAATAGAGGAAATTGAGGATAGACAAACTAGGGCACAAGATATTATTCTTCAAGTGATAGAGAATGAAGCAATGAGGAATCATAAAACAGTAACCGTGGAGAGCTTTAGCCAACCTATATCACAGGATGTACAAAATTTCGTAATGACACCAACACCACAAGTTGTATTTGGAGTAGGAAATAACACCTCGAATCCTTATCTTATCACTGATGATGAAGAATAATTCTTCAAATAACCCTCAACAAGTTGCTCAACAAAATACTACCCGATTGGATTCACCTCATGAAGTGGAAATTCCAACAATTGGAAAGAAATTATCGAAAAGAAAATCCTCAAAGAATTTATCCTTATTTGATGTAATTATTGGAGGAAACAAATCTAAGAATAATACGAATAATCAATTTGGAAATAATGAGCCTGCAGAATCTGAAAAGCACAAAAGAAAGAGAACTATTTGTGGATGGCAGATACCTCTGAGATGGTATCAGATATTAACAGCTATTGGTTGGATTGTAATGATTGGTGTTTCGTTATGGTATTCGATTAATTCAATTGTGAACTTTGTGGATGCGATTAATAATCCAACCACCTCTTTGTCATATGTTGAGGAGGTACCGCTTCCCTTTCCAGCTATTTCAATTTGTAATTGGAATGCACTAACAAATAACTGTAGTTATTGTGGGCTGAGATTGGAGAAAGTGTTTAGGGCTGATATCCAAAAAGATATTCCTGAATACCTACAACAAGCTGAATATAAGGAAATACGACAAGATGATTCATTGTTTAGGTGCTATGTTTTCAACAATCGATCCATTAATGTTGTGACTGCAAATTATACAGGTTATACTGGTAGTTTGTCATTCTTTGTTCGAGTACCAAGACCAACAGGATCAGATGTAAGCGACTACTCGAGAGTTGGCCTGCAGGTGTCATTCCATTCAAATGGAACAATGCCTGATCTAGTTGGAGAAACAAACTTTGCAGTTCCAAGAAGAGACAATTATTTCATGTTGACCAAAATTATCACTTCAAGATTAAAAACAACTCCTATTAATCCACAATTAGTCGATGTTAGATGGGAGCCTGTAACTTCTGATGTTGAGCTAATTGGAGCAGACGAAACATTGGTTGTGATATCTGTTGCATACGCTACATTGAATGTGAATTACATTACCGAGGTTGTCACTTCTTCAATTGAAAGTTTGTTTGGTGAAATTGCTGGTTTCCTTGGACTAACGATGGGGTTAGATATGCTCAAGATTTTGAGAGGAATTTTGGATGTTCCTTATTCTATTAAGGACAGAACTTTGATGAATTTGTGGAATACATTCAACTAGATTTATTTATTGACACTATCATAGAAAAGATCCTCCCTGTATTTGTTATCAGACTTCTCAGATGAAAAGTTTTTTGCAATATAACCTAGCTGATTACTTGCCAAATAAACATTATTCACAACCTGAATTGATGAATAATGTGTGTGACCAAATACACACAGTATTATTGGAGGATTGGAAATTATCTTACTCAGATCAGAAGCAAAAGCATGATTGCTCAAAAGGGTTGACTCGTCAGTGGTATTCTCGTAATAAGGTGATGCTACTCCTTTAACAAAAGGGGCATGATGAGTGCAAACTACAACTTTCTTAGTGTTGTGCTTTTTCAATTCTGAATGAATCCAATTTAAATCTTGTTTAAACATTTGACTCGTATGATAAACATTCAATAATTGTAATGTTCCATTATTATTAATACTAATACATCTGTAATCATTCATTGACTAGTAATTGATTCAGTATTGATAATAGATATTATTTCACTTACATTCTGAACTACATTTAACGCTTTATCTGGTACATGACTCCAAAGAGTACAACCTAAAAACACAAGTGAGCTCCCATCAATGGTCAACTCAACCACATCTCTATTCAAAAAATATACATTTGAAAATGATCTGGTCAAATTTCTAATCTGATCAATAGTTTGAAAATATTCATGTCCATAAAATTCGTGATTTCCAGCAATAACCATCACTGCTTTATACTTCCCCGAACAATATTGCATAAAATCGAAATAACTCTGTTGAAATGGATCACCAATATCTCCAGCAAGTATCAGAACCTCTCCATAGACCGTCTCACATAAATAATTTCCATACCGATTCTTATATTGTGCTTGAAAATCAGAGAGGGAAGGAAAATGTTCAATATGCAAATCACTCAGTATTTGAATTTTCATTTTTTTTATTGTTCTTGATCATCAATAAATTTTTACAAAGATGAACTTTTTCTTTAAAGAATTCTTTCTGTTGGAATTTCAGAGAGAATTTCAACGAATTTGAATATTCTTTACAATTCGAATGTGGAAAGAGAAAAGTCAACTTTATTGGAAAGATTTCTAATTGCAAAAGTCCTTTTGCTTTCTAATAGATCTTCTTTCAATAACTTTCCAAAAAAAAATGTCTTCGAGCTGTCATCTTGCCATTCGTTCACTTTCTTTTATTTTGCTTGGTTGTGTCTTGTTTCTTCAAGTTTCTTCTCAAGACACAATGTTCGATTTGTACCTAAAGCAACCTTCCCCAAGCATGTCCTATTCCATCTCAGCTACAACTACCTATTCCGATTGCACTTTCTACACAATCACCATGCGAGGTGTCAACTGGTTAACAGATGCAGAAATTGGCTCAGCCTCTTCTTGGTAAGTTAATTTATTCGAAAGCTTTCCAACACATGAATAGGTCACACTATCTACTAATTTCCATTCCTAAAACTCTAGATCGGTCCATCAAGGAAGGTTTCTTACTAATCGAAGCAGGAAAAACTGGAATGGAAATGCCAACAGGAAATGCAATTCTTCAAGCAATTTCCACAAATTCGCAAACAGTTTCTTCCATGTTATTATCCGTTCCAAATCAGCCAATTGTTTTCGCATCAGATAGTTCCAAAACTAGTAGATCTGAAGATCAAATCATGTCCTTCTCGTGGATGAAATTTATGGAGCGAATGAATAATAACATGGCCATGAATAGAACAGTTTACAATGTTGAAGATTATGAGTGGTTATCTCATTTTGCAATGGCCAAGACATCAGTTAGAGCGATGGATGTGATTCAGGATTTTGTGAGTAAGCAAATTGGATTTTCTATTGAAAAATTTACAATTGCTGGAACGAGTAAACGTGGTTGGGCTACTTGGTTGGTTGGAGCTAGTAGGGATTCAAGGTAAGTTTAAACAAGTTTAGAATGGTTGAGTTCTAATATTCGAAATGGTTGGAAATAATTTCAATTAATTAGAATTAAGAGTTTAATTCCAATTGTTATTCAAATAATGAATTTGAAAGAATGTTTCCTACATATTAACAAATCAATTTGTGCTTGGCCAGAAGCTTTGCAAGATTACAAAAATTTAGGAGTTTTAAATCAATTGAATACTACTGCATTTGATTTATTGGCACAAGCTGTCGATCCATTCAATTATAGAGATAGGTATACAAATATACCAACCTATATGATCAATGCCATGGGAGATGAATTTATGTGGCCAGATTTGAGTTTGTTCAGTTATCAACAAATTCCAGGATTGTCCACAAAATATATTCGTTATGTGCCTAATACTGGACACTCTTTAGCTGGATCTGATGTTCCCCAATCAGTCCTTGCTTATTACTATGCAACCACGAGAAATTCACTTCTTCCACAATATACTTTCTACAATGAAACTATTTCGAATGGACTCAGAATTTGGGTTAAGGTTACAAATGGAATTAAACCAAGTAAGGTATTGTTATGGTACGGAACAAATACTTATTCGAGAGATTTCAGATACAGTCATGTTGGATCCATCTTTAATTCCAAGACTTTGACTGAGGTTGACTCATTGACATGGAGTGTTGATGTGGAAAATCCAAAGATTGGTTATACTGCATTCACTATTGAAATGACATTCACTGGTTATGGACCATCTGAATTGAAATATTCCACCAGTGCCTATGTTCTTCCTTTGGATAGATTCATTTGTGCTGGAGCAAACACTGTTTCATTCTCGTTCATTTCATTGGTATTTATTTCTTTGATTTATTTGGTATTTAGTGTAATTTCACATTAGATCAGAATTGATAAAGTCAACAGTAATTTTTCTTCCAATCTCACACTAAATCAATTTTCTTTCACTGTCCACAGCTGACTGTAGTGGTTGTAACAAGGCTTAAATAGTTATTGTAAACCCAATTCCACTTATTGCAACACATCTTTAAATGGTCATAAAATCGCAAAAAACGTTACGCCCTAGTTTGGTCTGCTTACCACAAAGAAGCTTCAAAGAGAGCAATCTTCACTAATATCCAACAAGAGAATCCTCACTGGAGTGGTCATTATCAAAACCTACATGCTGTTCAATGAAATTTTCAAGAAAATAATTAATTTTTCAATGAAAGACAAGTTCCGGTATATGCTGTTTAATAGGCTTTTTCTGGCAATGACCACTACACAAATATAAAGCCTCCTCCTATTTGTTGATCACATCATCAAACCAATTATTACAGTTAGCTGTTCTATATTTTTACAAAGCATAAAAAAATGAAGCATTTGATCACTACTACAACACCACTCTTGAACAAGACTTCATCATCAAAGGGTGTTGTTTTATCTAGTATTAATAGTTGCCAAAAGGCTTGTAAATCAACTGATCAAGTAGGAGAAAAATTCAATCTCTTGACTAACGTCAATCATTTTTATGACAAGGCCGCCAGTATTGTACAACAACAAAATCAATATCCAGAAGGTTTATTAGAATACATCAAGGAACCTGAAGCTGTTTATGAATTTGTAATTCCAGTGAGAAGAACTCACTCTTTGAATAAGTTTGATAAGGATGTTACCTTGTTGAGAGCTTACAGAGCACAACACTCTCGTCATTGTCTTCCTTGCAAGGGTGGTATTCGTTATACCAGATTGACCAGAGACGATATTGTTGGTTTGTCAATGATGATGACTATGAAGTGTTCTTTGAATAACATTCCATTCGGAGGTGCTAAAGGTATGTTTATGTGAATGGCTTTTTCAAGAATAACTGTTCTCAATATTATTTATATTGTTGATCTTCACATTCATTATTTGCATGATAATTTTTATTATTATTATTGATTTTGTGCACTTTGACTTTTGTCATTGACACTTGTGAAAATATGATTAATCATTGAAATATATTTTGTTTGCATTTCTTCATGCTAGGTGGTATTGATATTGATGTCAATGACTATAATCCAATCGAATTGGAAAAAATTACAAGAAGATATGCTACAGAACTCTTCACAAGAGGTGTAATGTCCCCTGAAGTTGATGTTCCTGGACCAGATATTGGAACCACTTCAAGAGAGTTGTCCTGGATTCAAGATACCTATAGAGCATTCTTCCCAAATAATATTAACAGTTTTGCTTCTGTTACTGGTAAACCAGTTTCACAAGGAGGTGTCAGAGGTCGTGTTGAAGGTATGTATGAATGTGAAATTTCATGAAAACATAACTGTAATAATTCGAAAATGGTCATACTCTTATTTTTGGAATATTTGGATTATTTTGTGAAATGCTTCCTTAAACAGCCACTGGTAAGGGAATGTACTTTGCCATTCGTGATTTTTATTCTGACAAGGAAGGAATTGCTGATGACAGAGTTTTGCTCGGTAAAAAGGTTGTTGTCCAAGGTATTGGTAGAGTTGGTAGCCACACTGCCAAATTCTTGCAAAGACAAGGTGCCATTGTTGTCGGTGTCAGCGACTCTACTGGTTCAATCTATAATCCAAATGGTTTGGATGTTTCACAAGTTTTGTTGCACAGACAAACTAAGAAGACTTTGATGGGATATCCAGATGCTCAAGTCTCCCTCAGAGATCCTAAGGAATTGTTGAAGGTTGATTGTGATATTCTCATTCTTTCTGCATTGGAAAATCAAATCAATGCTCAAAATGTTCATGAAGTCGGTGCTAAGGTTATTGTTGAAGGTGCTAACATGCCAATCTCTGCTGATGCCTATGAAGTTTTAAAGAAGAATGGTCAAGAAGTTATTCCTGATATTTATGTCAACTCTGGAGGCATCATTGCTTCTTACTTTGAATGGTTGAAGAATTTGGGTCACGTCCAATTCGGTAGAATGACTCGTAGAGCTGAACAAAATTATAAGCGTGAAATGGTTGATGCTATCACTGAATTGTCTGGTAAGAAGAAGCTTTCTGATCTTGAATATCTTGTTCTCACTTCTGGTTCTGGTGAAATTGACTATGTCTACTCTGGCTTGGAAGGTGTCATGCATGAAACATGGGAAACCTTGAAGCAAGTTAAGGAAAAGCACAACGTTGATTTGAGAACTGCTGCTTACATTTCTGCCATTGAAAATGTTGCTTCCAGTTACAATGAAGTTGGTGTCTGGCCTTAATTTTTTACTCGATTATTAAATTGGATGATTTAATTTATTCGGTGGGTTTGATTTCTTGTAGACGTTTGTTTACACTGGATTTATCAAATTTACCTTCCTTGGATGAGTCTACTTCACTAATGCCCCCTCCTCGCCCAGAAACACAGTAAACCGCTTGTGAGTATTTGTCTTTGGGTGGCTTCTCATCGAATATTTCTTGAAGGGCAATAGTGACAATCCACTCCTTCTTACTGGAATAGTACAACGTGAGAGTACTTCTTTCATGCTTGAGCACCTGATTTAAAAGATAGGTCTTTTCATCTTTAACATTGTCCTCTTCTTCAGGTGGAATGTTAGATAATGTACGTATTGAGCTGGCGAAGATTCTTCCACCTTCATCTCTGAAATAATGTGGATGTTCTCTATACTTATCATCATCCCAATCCAGTGCTTCCATTGAAATAATATACAAATCGTTGAGATTTACCAATTGAGGTACTCTCACAACTCTGAAAAAGTTGAATTGTGAAAGTGTGATTCGAAGTTCAAAGTAGGGAGTTTTGGAAATACCAGGAAGTTTCTGTTCTCCCTCCTCAGATGACACATCTGAAGTATAACCAGACAAGTCATCATCTCTTTCCAATCTCTGACTTGCACTTGACTTGTTTTCAGTTTTAACTGATTTGGAGGGAGGAGAGTTGTCAGACGATCTAGCAGAATGATTATTTGAAAATCCACTTGTTGATCCATTCGATGAAACATTTGAGGAAAAGTCCTGAGGAGAAGTTAATGAAAAGGGATTATCATCAGCTTCCATTATTGAAATACTGGGAGCTGTGAATGAGGTTAGTGGATCTGTTGTGGATGAGGATGTGTAAGATCCTTCAACACTGAATTTCAATCTAGTTGGTGGTGCCATATCCATCTTATCATTCAAATTAGAAGTTCCAGCCATGAACGAAGATTCAGAAGCATCTGTGAAAGGGGCAACATCAGAAGGTTTCTCTTCTTGCTCGAGTTTCTCCTGGTGCATTTCAAAGGTTTCAAGGAATGGTTGATCCTCCTCAATGGTATATTCTTGTGAGCTTTTCATATTGAAAAAGTTTGCATTGGAGGGAACTTCAATGAGAATTGGACTTTTTGCCACTTGTTCCTCTTCCTTTGTTTCAGTTGTGAAGGCAGATGCTAAATTGCCAAATTCTTCATCATTGAATATATTTGCATCAAAATCAACCCCACCAGAAGTATTCGCTTCAATGGTAAAGTTGCTGTCAATATTATCCTTATCAATTGTTTCGAATAGGGCACTTTCTTGATTATTCTTGAGATCAGACATTAACAAATTATCCTGATCTTCAATAAGGAGAGTACTCTCAAAGAGAGGTGTTGTTTCATCAACTCCTGTTGCGCCTAGAGGTGGAGTAGATGGTTGTACACTTGAAGTCATTCGTTTTTTTTTAGTTGGTAAGATACCAAGTTGGATTTCGAACGAGATTGGTTTCAGAAGAATTCTAATTCAAGAAGTTTTCCAAAAATAGAACTATTCAGTTTTAGCAGTATTTCTAATCCATTAGAAAAACATTATTATAATATATATTTGATACAATTTCACACTTGTTACAATTTTATGGTATGATGAATATCAGATTTATCAAAATTTTCAGAATTTGTTAAAAGTAAGTTAGCTTACAACTTTTATAAACACAATGGTTGTAAACCAAAACAATTATATTACAAGGTTATTACTCATTCCTTAATATATATTTTTTCCGCCTTCATACATTGTTTCTTAATGAAAAATTCACTCGTTAAAAAAGCGAGCCCTTTTAACGACGCAAATTCATCAAACCCTTAAAGAATCATTTCTTCACTCTTGCGCGCATATGAACAGACACAACGTGCATAGTTAAAAAAGTGGACAATCATTGCTCGCGGTAGCTTTCACAAAACTTTGAGCCAAAAACAACACTCAATATTATTGCTATTATTATTAGAGGAGATACAAGGATCATTTTCTGGGATATAAAGGTTGAAAGAGATATTATACACTAGAGAGAGGAATAACAATGAAAAAAACCAGTAGTTATTCATCAGGCTATTTTGCACCCTCATCAACGCCCAATAATGCAGCAGTTGAATTTCTATTGAGGACAGCAGTTTCAGAGGAGGAAGTTGTTCTGTTTGAACCTCTATCATCATTAAAGAGGAAACAGAGTAGACAAATTATTCTTCCTCCGATACCCTCCTCACCCACAAGAAAAAGAATGGATGTTGATGATACATTATTATTGACTCCCTCAGATTTGATGGAAGAAGATTCCTTCAGTATGATCAGTGAGAATAATAATTCAACTTTTAATGGAGCAGAGGAACATTTATATGTAGATTTGGCCATGGGTCCTAATCCTTCACAAACACCTCAAAACATTAGAAAATATAAGGGAGTATCATCTGTAGTTCTCTCCGATTCAACAAGTATACCCTCAAGTGAGGCTAAAGTAAGAATTTCTTCATCCTACTCTTCACAGCACCATTCATCATCACCACCATCATCATTATCACCTCCTTCTCATCATGAAAGACACTCACCCACTTCTGATAATAATTCAACACTCGGATATTTGACTGCCAATAAGAAGAGGGTTGGCATTGATAGCATGGAATTATCACCCATTCCAAATATGAAAAAACACTCAATGGATGATGAGGATATGGTTCTTCAGCAAGCATCACCACCAACTTCTCCCATGTTTAGCAGTTTGGGAAGGAAGGCTCTTTCTGCCAATGCAGCATCAACAGCACCAACATTTACTGCAACTGCTTTTATGGATGCCAATAAGAAAATGGAGGAAACTAAAAAGGTACCACCTCGATTATCAATTGTTAAGCCATCATCTAGGGCAATAAGGAAAGCTCCTTCATCTCCAGTAAGAGCTTACATTTACTCAAAGAGTGTGAGTGTAGATAAACCAAAAAGCGAGAAATCACCAAAAAAGAAGGAATCACCTCCAAAGAAACAAAAGAAGAGCTTTGAAATGGCTCCATCAATTTACCTTAATCCAGTTGTAAAATTACCTCCTTCCCCTCCAAAAAAGGCTCTATCCATGCCAAGACTGTCAACAGGAACAACAAAGAGACGGCCCAAGTTGAGTGTTGACATGTGTGTAAATAATAACCAGGAAGTCAGCACTCCAAACTCTGCTCGCAGTAGAAGTCACAGTGGAGCAACCAATCTTGTGAGGATGGGATCTTCTACAATTCAATTACTTTCAAATCTACCTTTTAAAATTCAGGAGGTTGTGATAGAGTTTTATGGTGGCAGCTTTTCAAAAACATGTTGTTTTGATGGAATACTAAATTATTCTAAATTTATCAAAACATATTTTGGAAAGTTTAAGGAAGCTAACAAGCCAAGATTTATATTTAAATATCTCCATGTTGAAAGTACAAACCTTTCATTTCAAGAAATATCCCACCTCATTCAAATTCAAAGTCTACATAGACACCAAATGTCAATAGTTTATCCAATAAGCCATTACCTTTTTTCATTCCCTAAGAGAACTATCCAATTAGCTGATGAAAATGAAATTGAGAACAATCTTGTTGAGAAATTAGAACTCTTTACAACTGACAATTCTCTTTGTACCAAAATAACCGAGCTCAATATTGAAGGAATTGAAACATTTGAGTCTTTAATAACATTGGCCGTACGTAAATTTAACAATCTGGAGAAAATTTGCTTTGGGAGAAGTGTTCTCAGGACAAAGATGACAAATTCAAGATCTTACTATTTGGATGAGAATTTTGCAAAAGTTTTTGCAGAAACCAATTATGCTTTGAAACATTTGGAATATTGTGGACCGACTACATTCATAACTAGCGAGTTTGTTACTCACACGCCCAATTTGGAAATTATTAGAATTGAAAGTCGTAATTTCATTAGTGACGTTGGAGATTGTGTTGCTAATTGGAAAAATCTTCAAGTTTTGGATTGTAAATTTGATAGAAACCATTTTGGACACGAGAAGAAGGCAAATGCATATATTTTCTTTACAGCACTTAACACAATACAGACATTACACACTCTGAAACTTGAGGGTTATGCAATATCTGGAGAGGAATTCTTAGGCCTCAAAAATAATCATACTATTCAAGTTTTGAATCTGAGTAGGGCGACAATGAGCGAAGACGTTTTCAATACGATCAGTACTTTCTCCAATCTTAAACATCTTTATGCTGATTCAATCATTGGTAACTCATTAAATTCTCTTGGAAAATTGGCTAATTTATCAAAGCTGGAAATTTTGGATTTGAAACAAAACACAGCTTTTGGTGATGCTGGTTGCGCCATGATTGGAAATGTGAAATCTTTGAGAAAGCTCTATGTAATGAATTTAGGAGAGGATCAAATTCATGACAAGGGGGTAACCGAGTTGAGTTCTTTAACTAATTTGGAAGAATTGGATGTAAGATTTTGTGATATTACTAATAAGGGACTTGTTACTATTGCCAAAGCATGTTCAAAGTTGCAAACAATTCATGTTGGTGGCTGTTCAAAGGTTGATGTCAATTCTCTCCCTCTGGAATTGAGACTGAAAACAAGAAAATAAGTTTACAGCTACAAGAAAACAGACTGGCTATTCTAATGTCAAAGATAATGTAGGAGTTGAGACATTTTTATTTTACAAATTTTCTCACTGAAACTTGATTTCCTTAAAGTATTGGAAAATTGGCTAATTTTTCTAATTCCTTTCAGACAACTGTGGAGATTTCACTTGGAGAATTTCATCAGAAAATATTATCAGAGTTCTCTATTATTTTTCTGAAACGATGGTGTTTTATTTAAGGAATTGTTACTGCAGTAAATTGAATGTTTTTGTAAAATTGCACAAGCCAGCGGCCATCATTCTCTTTTGTACTCTTTTCTCTTTTGATTGTCAATTCTCGCTTTGTCTGTTAATTCAAATTCATAACTCTTGAAATATCGTTTCAAATCATTCAGCAGTGAATTGGTAATGAACTCGTGGTCCATAAACCTTTCAAAATCCTCTTTTGTTCCCTTGTTTATCACTTTGCTACATGATATTTTAGGTATTGCCACAAGGGAGTATTCCTTTTTCTCAAAAGTGATTGTTTGGATGCAATACAATTTGGCAGTGAGTGTCTTGATGAATTGAGCTCTTTCTTCTACATTGTTTGATGAGAAGGTGTCGTCGTTTAAAGCATATTCAACACCAAAAGAACTGTCCACATTGGAAACATCAATACCTTAACATATTTCCTGCTGAAATATCAATGCAACAACCTATCCGAATAATGAGGTTACATAAAACTCCTTACAATATTATAAAAATAGAACAAAAGCAAATTTCATATTTTTTCAAGTGAATTCTTCTATTTTTAACCAAAAAAAACAAACAACAATTAAACAAAGAACAATATGGCAGTTATTCACGGCTCATTGGCTAGAAGTGGTAAAGTTAAATGGCAAACACCTCGTGTAGCAAAGACTAGTGATACATCCTATCACGGAGGTTGCTCCAAATACAAACAAAAATCATCAAGTAATTTGGAATATTCTGCCGGAGCTCATCGATTGGAGAGGAATTATACTGCTGAATTGGAACTCTATGATCGTCAGTATAAGGAAAATCATCAACGATGTGATTGGGTTGCAGAGAGAGCGAATATAAAGAGAGCAGAACCTGTTCTTTTGAATTCCTTTCACAAGTTTAATACTGAGAAGGGATTTAATAAGGTGGAATGGAATGCAATTCATCATGAAGAAAGAGCTTTCAAAAAACAGACTAGAAATGGAAGATTCAGATCTGAAGGAAGAAATCATAAAAAGTGGCATAGAAATCATCCAAAAGATGGTATTTATCAGAAGAGAATGGTTGATGTGGATGATTTGGATGATGTTATTGAATTCTCTCACTTGTACGATGAAGAATAATTGAATCATTTGAATGAATTCAAAGAGAAGAGATGGAGCTTGTTGTTTTCACACACAAATATTATGGATTATTTTCCTTTCGAATAGTATCGATAATATTTTGAAAAGGCACCTAATTGTGCTAACCGACATCATTGAGCAACAGATAGTTCCATCAAAATTTTACTTTCAATAATTAAATTAATTATTATTAATCAAACAGAATTCAGAATAATCTATATCATTCAAGAAAAGTCATTAGTGAACAGATTGATTGTAAAATCCTCGAACCCATTAACCAAACTGTAGTCTTAACATGGTTCTTTCAACTTGCTTTTCTCTTTGAAATTCTCTTTTAACTGTTGTCTTAACCATTTTGTTTGAAATATTCGATGGTGCGATGGTCGAGTGGTCTAAGACGACACGTTAAGGTATTCTAATACCGTGTTCCGCAAGGGCGTGGGTTCAAATCCCACTCGCATCAAATTTTGTTGCTTTCAATTTATGAAAACCATATGTTAGAATAAATCTCTTTTATCCTCTTCTGTGTAGGTTTCTCTCATTATTTCTCGTCCTTCTGGAAAACAAACCATCCAACAATTATCCAAATTAAGTGTGAAACATATTTTGTGTTCTGATCTACACAGAAAATTCAAACAGCAAGCAAAGTGATGCCATCCCCAAATTTTTGAAAAGTCAATACTCTGTCAAATGTTCAATAATTATAAGATTCAATTAAAACCTACCCTTTTGTAACAGCATAAATCAGTAAAACACCAACTACAACAAATTCCTGAAACACTCAAAGGACAACACCATGCATTCGCGCAAATATTCGAAAGAAACCAATTATCTACTCTTCCAAGCAGTGGAATCTTGAAAAACCTCAGATTTTGAGGCCTTACATGTGAAATAAGAGATAGTTCAGTTGAAGGAAATCTTGGCAAGGATATTTGATTGTTTTTCATTTTCCAAATATTCTTTTCCATATTTAGAGTTTCAAATTCAAACTTGATAAAATCTTCATTTTGTGAAACTTGAATTCCTTCAATGGGCCTTTTTTTGACAATCAATTGAAAAAAGTATTCCACAATTCTTTCCCTTCTATCACTGTGAATCCATTGCTCTTTCAATATTTTCATCGTTTCCTTATCATATAACATATCTAATTGAATTGTTGCTCGTTCTTCCATCCACTCAACCAAGCAATTCTTCACCAAATAATACAAGAGCAACATTCCAATATCTCCACCTAGATAAACATATCCATAAATAGGATTCCAATTGTGAGGAACATATCCATACTCATCAACATTAATTGGTCTTCCTCTTGAATGCAATCCCTCCACTTTTGTATGAATATTCCATAAACTGATACAATCTTTCATATTGACAACTCTTCCTGGAATTCCCTTTCTATCATCACATTCTTTAACAATTTGTAAATGAAGAATGATTTCTTTGGTCAATCTACAAACATTCATTGAAATATTGTTAACGATATTTGGCACTTTTTCAATCCATTCCTTTAAATATTGTCTAATTGACTTGTGTTCTTCTGTTGAAATTCTATTCACGTAATAAACGCTCTCTTCATTCTCAGTGTCTTTATCCAAAATATTTGAAAAGAATTGTTCCAATTTATCAAAACACTCATTCGAATCACTTTCCAATAATTTGAGTGAAATTTCAAATTCTGGAAATTGACTATCGGATGATGGAATTTTTCTTGATCGGAATGAAGAAATTGTTGGATAGTTTTAGGCTCTAGTGGTGATTGTCTTGTTGATAACTGTCTATATAAATTCTTACAAGAATGTTGTAAACTAAAGTAGACGAAATAACAATCTTTCGTTGGAAAGAAGGATAGAATATTTGCAAGGCTGTCGCTATCCAGCTGTTGTATCATTTTTTAGTTCTTTCCAGTTCATTATATGCAACAATTATCTGTCATTTTCCAGTCAACTTGAAAAAATTGAAAAATTGAGTTTAAGCATCAATTCAAGAAACGTCATCATAAAACTGTTCACAGTACTGCCAAATTAAAATCCAGATTAAAGAGTGATAATGAATTATTTATTTACACAAAATGCATAATAATTACCAAACAGCACAATACAAGAGAATAAATGAAACTGCTACTGAATGAGGAAGGAGCTATTGACCACCTTGTTCCAATAACTTTAAGATATCTATTATCATCAGTATTTTCCTGTACTGATCTTGAAACAAATGTCTTGATTGTGGAATCCAATTTTTCGTCCAATACTAGAGAATAGTCGGAATAAAATTGCTCAATAGAGCTATCTGTTAGAGAAATATTTTGTGATCTCACAACATCATAATTGGCAGGTGTAACCAATTGTAAAGTAATGGTTGTATATTTGAAATCATTGGAATATTCCATAAATGAAGTTCCAAATGTGAAATCTCTCTTAAGGGCATAATATTGATTACCATTTCTAGAGAAGAGTGGAACCAGAGTTGTACCAGTCCAAACATATAATTGATTACTATTATTACTATCACAATCTTGAAAGTCGGCAATCAAGTTGTTAAAATATCCAAAATCATTAAATGTTAAACATTTTCCAGAATCAACATTAATCACTTGGGAAGCATTCTTTCCCATAATATTAACAATTTTGAAATGATTTCTCGAATTGGTGGTTGGATTGAACATTTTCAATTGTGGAGTGTGAAGAATAGTTCTCGACGAGGTGGCATTACTATCACTTTGTTTCAAAATGTTTGCCCAACCATTTGGTTTGAAAACCATTACAAAAGTCTTTCCATCAAAAGCAGTTGGGAAATATGGTGATGTCAAATCGGTAAACAATGGAACTGTCTTTCCAACAGTTGTGTTCTTTCCCAGAAAATATGACTCTACGTTGTAACTATTCACCATCAAGTAGAATGAATTCCTAATTCTATTCACAGCCAGAACTTCAATTCTCTCCACAAGATCATTTGAATTGGTCAATTTTTGAAATCTAACAGGCAATCTAATAGAAACATAATAGCTATTAATATAATCCAAAGCAGTATTTCTATCTAGGGATGAATTCTTCATCACCTCATTCAACAAGTCCAATGTTGTAATTCTTCCCGAATAAGTAAAAGTTGAAGTGTAATTCAAGGCGTCTAGGGCTGATTGAAGGGCAGCATTTCCTTGAGCTGATTGTTCTACCATTGAAACATCTCCATGATTATCAGAATTCATAAAGGAGGAATATTCCGATGATGATGATAAACAATGAATCATCATTGGATGACTAGCCATCATGATAATTGCAATCAAAACCAATAGTATTGTCAAGTAATTTTTCATCACTTGTTGTATATTATTATTATTACCTTTTCCTTCTTGTTGTTGCATCAATACGAGATCTGTTATTGTTACCCTTCTCTGAAAAGTGTGTCGTTTTGTTTCTTCTTGTGGTTGCATTTTTTTTGTTCTTGTTGTTCTGTTATTATTCCCATGAACTTGGAAGTTTGTGATCTTGAATGTATGTAAGGAGATGACAGAAGATTTACCTATTGTTAATCGATTCATACATTTAAATATTGTGAAAAAATTATATTAAGATTACAAAAGGTTTATTTAAAATATTATCACAAGCAGTTTACTTGTCACTCAATGAACTAATTTTTTGGAAAGAACCATTAACATCTTCCTTCCACAAAGTAACTTCATTATCAGCAGTAGAAATGGCCAAAATATTACCAGTTAATGACCAACTAACTCTCCAAACAACATTTTCGAAAGGTAAAATTTGCTTGCTCCATTGGTTTGAATTTTGATCTCTAGTCCAAATAATAACTCGTTTATCTTGGGAGCATGAGGCAATAGTTTCATAAGGGAGACCAATATTTGGTGCCCAAGAAACATCTCTAACCCAATCGTCATGTCCTTCCAATTCAGCTTCAATTTGCCATTGGTTTGAGCTTTCATTGAATTCCCAAATTTTAACAAGCTTATCACTTCCACCTGAAACAATTCTCTTAACAAACTTTAAATTTTCTGGTTGATCTTGTGAAGATTGTTGAACCAAAGCACCAGTGTGTGATGCAGGAGCCCAACAAACAGAGTTACATCCAGTTTTGTGAGCATCTCTAATATTAGAAACCTTCCAATTATTGCTTTGTTCATCGTAGGAGAAGAATGTAATTTGTGAGTCGGAGCTTGCACTAGCCAAATGAAGTCCATGTTCGTGAGGAGCCCAAGAGATTGAATTTACGCTACTCTCAAGTCTATATTCAAAAACTTTAGTAAATTTGTGAGTTTGTTGATTTTCCTTCCAAATAATAACTCTATGATCATAGGAACAGCTGGCAATTATCGATCCAAATTGTGGATGAGCCCAACTAACTTGCCAGACTGGACCTTCATGACCGATGAGAGTATCCACCAACTTTGGTTCCTCAGAATTACTTGGAGCCAAATCAAAAATTCTAATTGTAGCATCACTTGAACAAGTGGCCAATCTCTTTCCGTAGTAATCAGCTTGAGCATCATGGATCATATCCTGATGTTCAGATGAGAAGGTTTTAATTGGAGCAGTTGAATGTGATGAAGTAGAAGCACTCATATTTTTTTATAATTAATTTTTATTTGTTGTGATGATAATTTTTGGATTGTATTAGCTGGCACTTACGTGGAAGAGAGAATTTTCTTCATCATCGTTCTTCTTAACATGATTCTCAGACTACGCAGTATTAGACATCAGGGAAATATGATTTAATTAAATGTAGTAATAAATTAATATTTATTTAATAATAATTAATTAATTGGAAAATAATTTAAAGGTAATCATTCAATTCATTGACTTCATCCAAAGACAAGACATCAGACATACAATTCTTCAAGACACCAACAATTTGCTTCATAGATCTAGCAGTCAACAAGTCCTTAGCATCGACAGTCATCAAAACAGTCTTGACATCAAAAACATTTCTAAGCTTACAAATACTATACTTTTGACCATCAATAGGTGAGATGGAATCAGTATAACATCCAGGATGGGAATTAAAGCTAGCATCAATGATACGTTCACAATTCCATTCAGATCCAGTATTAGACAACAACTTTTCAACAACATTTTGCATCAAGAACTTTTGCAAACAGTGACCAGTTGAAGAAACCCACTTTTGAGCATATTCACTCTTGTAAGCTCCTCTATTAACATCAGAGAAGAATTTAGAACAATACTTGTAACCATATCCAAGAGCATAACCATTAGGACCACAAGGCTTGATCTTTTCCAAACATTGTGTATAGAAGGTACACTTATCATAGCTTTGAATGGCAGCCAAACAAGTGGCACGAAGTTCTGGTGAGAGAGACAATTGGTATGATGGAGCTACTACGAGAGCAACAATGAGAAGGAGGAGAACGAGGCAAATATTTCTAGGCTGTTTTGTTATAATTTTCATGAAAGCAATAATAATACATGTTAGAAGTTAATAATGGAGAATGATGATAGCATGTAAATAATATTATTCATATTAATAGAAGATAATTATTCCATTATGATGATAAAGATGATTATTGATTAGCCGTCGTCATCCACACAAAATATCATCACATATTAAAAATCACAAATATTCATCATCCACCAATATATCAAAAGATGATCATCAAATAACAACGAGAATATTAGTAATAAATTACAGAGCATCAACATACATTCATTTCGTTTTTTTTAAGAATGTTATCACTCCATGCAAATACTTCCAAATACAATGGGCTGTCGCATTACTATGATTACGAACACATATTTAGACCTACCATTGGCTCAATATTGTAAAGTACAGTATTACAAACAATATTTTGAATAAAATCCAATTTCATTAAGAAGAATAATCAAAGCTCCTTCATTCATCTTTTAAAAGCATAATATTTTCTAATACTGGTAATGACATTCCAAATCTCTGCTATTAATAGATGAGAAAGATATCAAAAAAAAATCGTTTATTACGACACGATATCAAAAAAAATGGGCAAGGCTTCGCTTTCTGGAATTGTTCTTGCTCTGTGTTGCACAGGTGTTGTGTTATTGATGAATTATAATCCACAGACCAACGATATTAGAAGTGCATATGATTACATCACGTCCAGTAGTAATTTGATGGCAATTATATTTTTCTATTTTTTCTTCTATAATATTTATTTGGAGATTGGCCATGAGATGCCAATTTTGCCAGTTTTTTTTTATCTTTGTTTTTTTATTGTAAATTGCCTTATTGATTTTATGGGAGACTTTTCTAATTGGACATTTTTTGTAGACTTTGGAGATATTATCCTGTGCTATATTATTCACTATTTTAGTAAGGGAAAAACTAGTACTACTCGTTCTGCTCCTCAACCTTTTGCAGTTCATTTGTTTAACCAAATTAGAAGCCACTTCCATACGTATGAGGAACAGTTTGATGACTTTAAGGAGAATTATCCTCATGTTTTCATTTCAGTTATAGGCATAGTTATGTCAATCTACTTTTTCTTTTTGAAAACTGATTATTCAACTGGTGATTATGGAGCCATTTTCAATTCTAATCTAAGTCAAATTGGATCATATGTGAATATCTTGAGTGGCACCATACTTGGTGCAGTTCATTATGTAATGAGTTTCTTCAAGTTTAATTAAGCCAAGTCTAAACAAAAGAAATCTTCATTTCATAGTAAGATTGTTGGGATATCAATGCTTTCTATTTTCCCTCTATTCATTGCATTGACATTAGCGGATTGCAAATGGTGGTGTTTTAGTGCCACAGCTATTTTAGCATTAGTAAACTTTATTGCTATATTTGTTAGAAGCACTTCGAAGGCTTACAATAACATTCACAACATGAAGAATTAAACCCAACCCAAGCATATGAATTAAAGGTCATTTTCCTAATAATATATAATAAACAACACAGTTACCAATCTTTCACGAAAATCAATAAATGGTCAATCAGAAAAATCATTCGAATAATATGAAATACATAGTAAATATACAATACTTGATTGAACAAATCACGTTTTGCATCAAGGGTTCATTCATCAATATATACTCCTTTTTCCTATTAATAAACTCCAAAACTTACAAAATATAACTTCAAGAAAAAAAATGCCAATTACATTCAAAGTCACTGAGGCGATGGTTGTGAATTCATTATATATTGAGGTTGCAGTTTGTATTTTCTCTCTCTTTAAAACCAAAACAAGCCTTTGAACCTGAACAAATTCTTCCTGGAAAGGAGAGAAATCTTTCAAAGACTGAAGAAAAGGAAGTTTATGTAAAGCAACCGATTATATCAAGTTTTGGTAAAATAGATGAATCCATGATCATGTTGGGATCAAATTCTTTTGTAAAAAGTGTTGTTCAAGCCTATTCCTATCATAATAATTTGGTCATTAGACCTGATGATGTATGGCTTACTATTTGTACTCAATTTTCGAAATATGTGAATGGAAAGTCAGAAGAATTGAGAGACAAATTTGTAGACTTTGATGGAAAGAAGCAATTAACAGTCTACGGTTCTGGTAATTTATTCTCGGCTGATTATGTTTCCCTCTCATTGGATATGACCAATCAAATTGTACAGAATATTAAGGATCCAAGTGTAAGAGAATGGGTCATGCCAGACTTTACTACCACCACTGAGAATGATAGGATGGTTGGAGCAGTGGTTCTTATGGCTGCTATGAAGAATTACTTTGATTACAAGTTTTTTTTGTTTTGTAACTTGCCAAGTGTAACATTATTGGGAGAGGTTGAGGACTGGATCAAGATTAGAGAAAGAGCGAACAGATTATTGGAATTTGACACAAAGGAAGGATATATGGAAAAATGGTCTACTTTATTATTCCCAGTTTTGGATCATTTTGTAGAATCAATCAAGGGAAATCCAGATAAGGAGTGGTGGAATAGAGTAGCTCACTTTTCAGGTAGTGGATCAGGTCCTCGTTATTTGGGTGGATGGATTACAACTTTCTGTGTATTTTCAGATGAGGGAACATGGAAAGGAGATTGTAAACCTGGTGCATGGCCAAAGATTGATTCACAAGATATTCCGAGAGGATACGTCAATGTTCCAATTTTAGTCAAAGATAATGGTACAGAGTATAAGACTGAAATGTTTGCTGGACACATTATTTCTAATGTGTTGGAAGATGGAAAGACTATTCAACCAAGAGTAGATTGGGCTCTTTTCCAACTCAAAGAATAAATTTAGTTGTGGAAGAATAAACAGTTGTAACAACATGTGGAAAAAACAAACTTTAAAATGTTGTATTATAATCTTTGACTACAATTTTTCATTCGAATAATTGTAATTGTTGAGTTTTGATTGGATGTACATTTGGAGAAATAATTTTTGAACGCCATATTTGAAAAACTGGCGTTGTTTCGAATAATGTCACATTTAACACGCCACATTCCCTACAACGACAAGTCAACTCTGTAAAATTACATCATTACAATCCGACAAAAACCTAAAAATTTCCAAAAAAAGACAAATTGCAACCACACCTTCTAAAGTTTCTGATCACAAAAAACCTTTAAAACCCCAACAACTGTCACCTGCCAATCAACCAAACAAAAAAAACAATCAATACAACTAACAACAAAAATGTCTTATCCAATCCCAACCCCATACGAATGGTCAACCACTCTCGATATTGGCAATGCTGAATTAAACGAACAACACAAGAAACTCTTCACTTTAATCAACGCTTTAGATGCCAAGAGAAGTTGCGGCACAACATTGAAGGAATTATTAGATTACGTTGTTTTCCACTTCAAGACTGAAGAAGATTTGTTTGCTAAGGCTGGTTGGTCTGAATCTGCCTCTCATAAGGAAACTCATGATAAATTTGTTCAGGATGCTTTGGCCTTGACTAGTGTTGGAGATGCTGAGATGCAATTTATTAAGCAATGGTTGATTACTCACATTTGTGCTTCTGATATGAAGTATAAGGGTGTTATTTAAATAAAATTAGAGATTTTAGAAAGTGAAAAAATTGTTGGGAATTTGATGTTGAAAGAAGTGAAGATTTTATGGGAAACTAAACTAATCTTGATAAAAAAATACTATGAGAACATGTTGGAGTAGTATTGAGAAAAAGCTAAAAATGGAAATGTTTGAAAAGTGGAATGAAAGATGAAAAATTAATGTTTTGTAATTTCAAAAAGAAAATGAAACGATTTATTGTATTGTTGATAGCAATAGTGTTGATTATACAGTTTGCACAAACAGTGTATTGCTCAGAGAGAAGGAAACACTCGAGGAAAACGAAACATCCATCTTTGGAAAGTTTCGAATGCAATCATTCGAATGGCCAAGAAGAAATAATTCATCAGTACCATAAATCTACTCATAAAAAGCATCATCATCATAGGAAACATCCTAAACACGTTCATAAAATTAAGAAAATTAAGAAAAGAAGAGAGGAGAAACCAAAAGAAACTAAACCTTGTAAAGACGAAACTCTTCCTTCACATCCAAGATGTTTTTTCGTTTCCTATCAAATTAAATCCAAACAAGAGACAATTCTCAAACATTATTTTGCCACCAATCCATCTTTCCAATAAATTATATTACAAAACTAATTCACAAACTAAACTTGAAATCGCAATTGGACTGCAATCAAGGAATTCCATAGAGACAATAAACAAGCAATTGAAATAAATCACTTTGTAATAAACAGATGATGACCAAAATTTCAAGTGCTTTTAATATCTCAGGAACTCATTGAATAAACATATAATTTTTCTTCGAATGCAAAGGTATTTTGAAAGGAAAATAATAAGATGTCTGATATAAGACATACTTTTTCATCTTCACTTGTTGAGTATTAGGTTATAAATAAGGAAAGGTTGGAAAAAATCTATTGAAAGAAAATCTTTTAAATATCTGAGAAGAAAACTTGAGATTAAACACAAAGAAAATGTCGATACAGAGTATGTTAGGTAGATATTCGATATACATACATGTATTGATCTTGATTGTGAGCGGATTTTTATATGGAATTGTATTTTATTGTTTAGAACTTTCGAATGTGAAAACTAAATTTTCATTTCTGGATTCATTGTTTATTTCTATAACGAATATATGTCTGACAGGATTTTTGAATCATTCATTGGAAAATATACGAGTATCTTCACAGATTTGTTTGTTATTGGCCATGTTGACTGGATCCATTTTCGTAACAATGATTCCGATTACAATTTGTAAAGTTTACAATACAAGAAATGAAATGATTAGGAAAGTACTTCAAGAAGAAAGTATGGACGATGAAATATTGGAGGATGAACTCTCAGGAGTTGCTTCCGAAGGACTGTTCAATAGATTTGGAAGAAGGGTTTCGTCACTTTGTAAGAAACCTTTACAACAAGAATATGATTATTATCAGGAGAGTGAAATTGAATTCTACAGCATCATTTGGACAAATATCATAATTTACTCTTTCTTTATTCTTTCTATATTGTTGGGTTTCTTAATTTTAGGTATTTCATTCCACCTTTCCAATAACTTTTATCTGAAAGGAAACAATCCCTTCTGGTTAGGACTCTTCATTTCCACCTCTGCATTCCTCAACTGTGGAACAACTCTCCTCGATGAAGGCCTTGAAAACTTTACCAATCCAATCATCTTTTCCACAATTTCCTTATTAATCTTAATGGGACATGTTTTTCTTCCAATAACTTTGAAATTTATATTTTGGATTTTCTGGAGAATTTCAACAAAACGAAAGAAACTTTTCAAGTATATTTTGGAGAATTGTCATCAAATGAGTCCATTAATGGCTCATCAGGAATATCAGACTTGGATTTATGGAGTTTCTAATGTATTATTGATTCTGATAGGTTTCGTTTTTACCTACTGGAATGAATCTGTTCAATTATTGGCTATGAAAAATAGTGAAAATGGAGGAGGAATTGAAAATGTTGTAATTAGTTTGTTTCTTCCAATTTCTGCTAGAAATGCAGGCATTTCCTTAATGGATTTATCATCACTTTCGAATATAACTTTGGTGTTTTACATATTTCTAATGTATATCAAACCGAAAATGGTTTATAATTTGGGGTGTAGAGTTTATGAAATGTTGAATTTCTCCAATTACTCAACCATGGGCGAAACTGGCAGAAATCAAGATGCAAAATCACTTGAAATATCATCTAATGAGCCTTACCATGCAAGTTTCTATAACATTTCATCCAGTTTCTTCTCAAAATTAATCTCTACTATATTCTATTCTATTTCAACTCAATCATTAACTTTAGTTTTCTTTACACTTTTAATTTCCATTTCTGAAATTTCTCAACTTTCCAATTATTCAACTTTAATATTTGAAATTACATTCGAAGTGACAAGTGCGTTATCAAACACTGGTTTTTCTATTGGACTTTCGAATAGCAAATTAAGTCTGTGTTCACATTTCAATTCATTTTCTAAATTACTATTATGTGGAGTCATGTTCATTGGACGATTCAGATATTTCAAAGAAACAACTCTTTATTAGTAATTGATTACGGGTACGAACCAACATCATAGAGTTTTTATCTTTTAATACTATTCAGAAGATGAATGAGCGCATTTCAATCATTCTTACAATCATTCAAATTGAGCAAATTTAGAACAACTCACATGGGAAGCAATAGATAAGTTACTAAAAATTTGAATGGAGGAATTCAATATTTTGATTGGTGAATTATTCATATTTGACGAATCAGAGGGTTTGGAAATTTTTTCTCAATCATTGTTAAGACTCTTTCTGTATCAAAGATCATTGATCATCGCTCAATCCCTTAACCATAGATACAGACCAACTCACTCAATAGAGCTGGTAATTTTACCATTCATATATCTGCTATTAAAATATCAATTCATATTTATTTCATGTGCAGTTGCAGTCTGACCATTTGAATCATCTTGAAGTGTTGAGAGTAGTAGTCTGTGAACTCACTTAGTGTGAATAAAAGGATCATGTTGCTCTGCCCAGTTTAGGAATTCTTCAATGAGCTTGTTTAATATATCATTAAATAAAGATATTGTTTTTGTTGCAGTGTGTGCAATCTTATTCCTTTGAGGGTAATTGTTGGTATAGAATTGCCAAAGTGTTTTGATATCAGAGAAAGATAACCCAACAGTAAGAACTTGTGGATTAGTAAGGTTGATGTAATTATCCATTTTTTCCCACCAACTTCCAGTTTTTTCTTGTAAATACTTTTCAGTAAACAACATAAAGGAGCATTATAAGGCATTAAGAATTTGCATAAGTTGCAATTCTTGTTCAACATTAGTAATACGGATTTTAAAGCCTTCGTTCTCCTTCTCAACATCAGTAATACGGGTTTTGAGGTCTTGATTTTCCTTCTTGAAGTCTTGATTCTCCTTTTCAACAGCAGTAATACGGATTTTGAGCTCATTGCTTTCCTTTTGGATGGCTTTAACATCTTTAACGATACCTTCAAGTGTAAGCTGGTATTTTTGATTCAATTCACAGGCTTCGGAATATTTGTTTTGAAGAATTTCAACTTCGTTTTCTCTCTTTTCGGATATCTCATAAAAGTCATTCTCTTGAGTTTCAATAAACGTTTTAAGATCTTGATTTTCATTCAGGAGTTTCGTTGCCAACTCTTTAGCCTGTAACCAACTTTTCTCGAGTTTAAGAAATTCTATGGTAGGAGGAGCTTGTTGTTCAGTAGTTAGTAATCCCAATTCTTGATTTTCTTTTAGAATGGTTGCGGAATTGAAATCAGACAATACCTTAAATTGACCCGATAACGCCTTTCTCTTAAACTCTTCCTCAGAAAACTGTTCGTTAGGTTTAAACAAATTGTGCATTTTTTTTAAAATTTTTTTTTAAAAATAAAACAACACCTTAATTCAAAGTGACTCAATGAGCACATTGAAATTTATTAATTGAAAGTCACATCAGGAATGGCAATATATATCTAGCGAGGATTGAAAGCCACTGCTAAACTGCAGCATATAGGAAGTTAGCTTTTGAAAATTCAGATTTTTCTGTACTAGTGCCATTGAGATGCTCATGAAAATTATGATTAGCACTAAATGTTGTTCCCTCACTCTTCCGCCAGTACCAGACTTATCGTCATGTTGTCTGCTAGTTAGCAGCTTATCAAACTTTAAAGTTAAGGTCACGTGGCTCCTTTTAGATAAATATATTTTTAAAACACTCCTTAAAAAAATGATTCAAGAACGATGCTTCACCACTCTCAGCAAAGTAGGATTTACAGTGTATTCTTCATCTTGAGTAATACGCTTCATCATAGCATTTCCTCTGTTGCTTTGAAGTCAGGTAAAGTATCGGAGTGAATGACCAATATTCAGGCAATATTTTCAGTTTCTTGCCATGTTCCTCATCATATGTTGGTTGCTTTCTTCTTAGGGTCTATTGCTCATCCTTTGCTTCCTGTTGAATGAAGTATCAACAAATTCACCTTTCATCCTTTGAATTTTGTTGTTTCCGTTCGGATTACAATTAAAAAAATGTCTTCGCTTGCTACCAGTGCACAACTGAATCGACCTAATAATGTTTTTGTTTCATCAAATAATGAAGTTTATATTGCTGATTGTTTTAATAATAGAATTAGAAAAATATTGGAAAATGGAACTATTGTAACAATTGCTGGAAATGGAACTAAGGGTTCCAGTGGTGATAATGGTCTTGCAACAAATGCACAACTGAATCGTCCTTACAGTGTTTTTGTTTCATCAAATAATGAAGTTTATATTGCTGATCAAGGTAATAATAGAATTAGAAAAATATTAGAAAATGGAAATATTATAACAATTGCTGGAAATGGAATTCATGGATTCAGTGGTGATAATGGTCTTGCAACAAATGCACAACTGTATACTCCTTGCAGTGTTTTTGTTTCATCAAATAATGAAGTTTATATTGCTGATCAAGGTAATCATAGAATTAGAAAAATATTAGAAAATGGAAATATTGTAACAATTGCTGGAAATGGAATTCATGGATTCAGTGGTGATAATGGTCTTGCAACAAATGCACAACTGAATTCATCCTATAGTGTTTTTGTTTCATCAAATAATGAAGTTTATATTGCTGATTATTTTAATAATAGAATTAGAAAAATATTAGAAAATGGAAATATTATAACAATTGCTGGAAATGGAACTCATGGATTCAATGGTGATAATGGTCTTGCAACAAATGCACGACTGAATCTCCTTATAGTGTTTTTGTTTCATCAAATAATGAAGTTTATATTGCTGATTATTTTAATAATAGAATTAGAAAAATATTAGAAAATGGAAATATTATAACAATTGCTGGAAATGGAATTCATGGATTCAATGGTGATAATGGTCTTGCAACAAATGCACGACTGAATCATCCTTTTAGTGTTTTTGTTTCATCAAATAATGAAGTTTATATTGCTGATTATTATAATAATAGAATTAGAAAAATATTAGAAAATGGAAATATTATAACAATTGCTGGAAATGGAACTGCTGGATTCAGTGGTGATTCACCTTTTGATATTAGAACGTATCCTCATATTGGAAATAAGTTATTAACTGGAAATGGTAACTTACATTCTAAAATAGAATTTCATAATTTGAAAAAACATTCAAGAGATGAATTATTTGGATTGCCAATTTATGGATTCATTCCCCTCATTGAAAAAACTTCACCAAAATTTAGTAACATTTTGAAGAATGAAAAGTTACTTTGTTTGATGAGTTCATCACAAGAAATTATTCAAAAATTAATTGATTCTTTGATGTATGATAAGAATAAGGTAAAGTTTAGCAAAGAAGAAATCTTGGATGTTTTATTCATTTTGGGTTTATTTAAGAATGGTGAATTTATTGATTTGAAAAGATCATTGACAAGTGAATTTGTGAACTCACTCACATTAGAAAATCTTACTTTCAAATGGGAAACAATTGAAAATTTACTCAAAATTTGCAATGAGGAATTCAATGTTCAAAATTACATTCTTGATCATTTGAATAACTATTGTATTGAATATGCTGTTGTTCAAATGAGGACCAAAAAAGGAAACACTTTATTACCAACTCTTCCAATAATTATGAGAAATGCTACTGCCATTTTTTCAAAAATGATCATTACTCAACCAACTGCAATTAATATTGAGGAAACAATTGAAACTGAGCCACAAATAATTGAATCATTATATAATGACAAGAAAACAAGTGATGTGAAAATCAAAATGGGACAAGACAAATACTTATATTGTCACAAAACTATATTGACTTCATTTAGCACATTGTTTAATGCATTATTTGACAGTGGATCTTGTTTCAGTGATTTGAGTGATGATGGAATATTCACACCTGACGAATCAGAAGATTTGGAATTATTGGAAATTGTGATCAAATATTGTTATGGAATTTCAACTGACAAAATTGATGATGTTAAAATTATTGGATTACTTGATATGGCAATGAAACATGAAATTCAATATCTGGTCGATTATTGCAAGAATAACTTTAATCTATCCATTGATAATTACTTTACAATACTTGAAGCATGTGAAAAATATCTTGATTTACAATCATTTGAGCAATTTTTGAGAGAGATTGTCAAGTTTAGCATTACCAACAGAAAACAACTTTTCAGGGATCACACCAATAGAATTTACAAATTACCTGAAAAAGTTTGTCAAGAAATGCTCTTAAGGCTTTCTCAGGACTTTTGAGATTATTTGGATATGTTATGTGAATAGTGGAATCACTGTCAATATTGTATTTCAGCAATGTAAGATATTCGATTGGAAATTAATCGAGGAATTTAACAAGACGCATGATTAAATGTTCATCAAAATATCGAGAACAACCAATTCTAAATTTTTGGAACTTTGAAAGAATTAAATCGAATAAATATTGAGAGTTTATTCAATTCAAATAATTATCACCGTGTACCTATTCCATGTAACAGTTTTTGTAAATTATGAAATATTTTGAAAAGTCAAAGTTAAAAAAAATGCAAAAAGCCATCATAGAAGAAAATGGAGCAATTTTCGTTCCAATCACAAACAGCACTCCACAACAACAAGAACAAAATCTGATCGAACAATTTGAACAATGTTTAACCAATGCGGAACAATCCATCAAGCAAATTGTTGCCTCCGCATCACTCCGAGATGTTGAAAGACTCACCCTCCAATTTAGAAATGTGGATGAGGATTTTACAAGTTGTTTTTCAGTTTTGAGAAGAGTTTTTGGAAATCAATTACCTGCTGTTACATTGATGGAAATTGATTCACAAGTTGATGCTAAAATTAAGGTACAATTGCAAGCTCAAACTCGTTCAGGAATTGAGAATAATGGTTTGGTGAGATTCCATGTTGGAGAACGTTTTAGTGAGACTGCTGCTTATCAGGGAGTTTTGTACATTTCAGGACAAGTACCAGATGATGGAACTAAGGATATTGAAGGACAAACTGAGGAAGTTTTGGCAATGCTTGATGCTCGTCTTAAGGAGGCAGGAACTGACAAGACAAAATTATTGATGGTTCAAATTTTCTTGGCTAATATGGTTGAGGATTTTGCTGGAATGAATAAGGTATGGGATGCTTGGGTTCCAAAAGGTAATACTCCACCAAGAGCTACTGTTCAAGCTCAATTGGCTAGACCTGAATGGAGAATTGAAATTACAGCAACAGCTGCCATTATTTAAGCTTCCTCATCGTTAATATTAAATAATTGATTTATTCAACACCTCCCTAATTGAATTGAGGTCAATGAAATCAGATTTTATTGATCTATTTGGTATTTAACTGGTCAACTTTAAAAAAATGGATGATTTCTAATAGTCATGCCACAGTGCCATTTTGCAAAACAGAACAAGTCAACATCTGTGAGGAAATTCATCTTCTGGAACCGTCTTCATTCTCAAAGTAAAGAGATTTTTCCTTCTCACAATACCATATTAACTCAGTTGAAGCAAAAATTTGATGCGAGTGGGATTTGAACCCACGCCCTTGCGGAACACGGTATTAGAATACCTTAACGTGTCGTCTTAGACCACTCGACCATCGCACCATCCAATATTTCAAACAACATAGTTAAGACAACAGTTAAAAGAGGTGCCGAGTGTGTTTCAGTTTGAAAGCAAGTTGCCAAAACCATGATTTGTTGTTCTTCCATTACTTTCCATGAGATTCCTTTCCACTTTGCCTCTCATTCAAATTGAAACACAACTTTCCATCTATCGAACGGCTAGCATTCTGTTCAGAAATATGAACTGCCAAACGACAGTATCTATTATTCTGCTCAATCGGTTATTAAATCTGAACTTTCACTTCCTAATTGCTATATTGCATTTTATGATGCGCAAGGAATGGAAACAAACACCAAACCTTTCACCCAAGATTCAACAAAACTAAACAAAAATGCAATGGAGTTTCGTTTCTCCCACTTCCTTCAATGTCACAACTTCCTTCAATGTGAATTTTGTAAATTTCTACATATTTACAATGTGGCCATTCCATACTATTATGTAGAAATCTCAAAAGCAACATCGCGAATTCAATAGATGCAACCCTCAACCTTACTCTATTCGAAATATCTCTACATTTCGCACATCAAATCAGAAACCAACACAGAAAGACAACCCAAAGACAAGCAACTCAACATTTAGACAGAATTATACAATTAAAATGCAGACTAGCTAAAAAATTCCTTTCGTCAGCTTTCTTCCGCCTCCAAAATGGCAAGTGCTTCTTTTTGTATTTTCATAGAAATGTTCACTTGAACAGATATCAACATCTCAGAGAGATGCAAAATACACACAGAAAAAAAACAGACAACACTTGAGAGATTATTTTGTTTCGAATAAATTGCCGGCAAAGAATAGGTAGGTTTCGTATTCAGACTGATAATGTTTAAATTGTTTCGTGTTTCTGCGCAATGCAATTGCATTGTTTATCGCACAAATAACGCAACCCTATTGCATTGTGCTTGTTATCATAATGTTATCCTTCAGTTTCCAATAATATTATCCTAATCTTCAAGATATCACAACAACAACAACAATAAGAAAATGAATAACACAACATCAACTTCAAGTCAGATAGGTTCTCCCAGCGATAAACCACACTCTCCAATCACTTCCGGTTCTCACCTCAACCTTCCACCAAACCAAATTTCCACCCAAGTTTCGAATAAGAAAGTTGTCACTATTGCTTCACCAACCACCACAAAACCAACTGTAACACAATCACAGGTGAATCTAGTCAACCCAAGTGAAAGTGGTCGTTCGGGAAGTTCATTCAGTCAAAGTAAAATAACTTTACGAACATGTTGTGGAGTGGTTGAGTTGACTTCAATGAAATTAGCTTGTTTACTTGGAATGATGGTGACAGTTGTTGGTTTGGTTGTTTTGGCAGCTGTTGCAATTGCTGCTTTCATAACTGCTAGTTCGAAATCAACTGATATTTTAATTGCTGTGGGAAAGGTCACTTCATTATTCGAAAGTTCAAATTCACTAGTTTTGAAATATACCTTTGTTGGAGCAGCTGCTGATCTTTCAATGTACAATAGTTATCAATTTAATTATAAGAATTCAACACAGGAAATGAAAACTCTCTTACAAACAATTTTGAGAAATTTGGACGATGCGTCAATTCAAAAAACTTTCAATTCAACTTCGATTGAAGCTTCAAATACTTTGGATTCACTCAATTCACAAACTATGATTATGGTTTTCCAGGATCAAAAGGCAGATGCTCAGGCAAAGATTAGTTCAGATTCGTATAACACAATTTTAAAAACTTTTGAGGGAGGTCTCGATCAATTGGTTTCATTTGTGCAAACTAAGGAAAAGGAAAAGGACACTCAAGTATTGGCAATTACATTGGTTCAGTTAGTTGTCATTGTAGTTTCACTATTCGTCATTCTACCAATCATTGTCTTTGTTTTCACATATGCCATCAATCGTGATTCACTTTATTTGGATAAGATTCGTCGTGCCAATGCAATCATGTTGATGGACACAATGGAAGATGATGGTTTGAGAGCTCTTTTCAAAATTCATTGTGAAAAGGAAAAATCAGTTGAAAATTATCTTTTACTTGAAAAGATTCAATATTTTAGATCCTTGTGTGAACGTTCTTTGGATTTACAAATGAGATTATTCGGTGATAACAATGTATTGAGTGATATTTCAAGTGATATTTCAGGAGATTCAGCTCAATCATCAAAGAAGAAGAAGGAATCACCACTTGAAAAGGAATACGCAGAAGTTGAAGCTAAAAAGTATGAAGTTGCATTTGAAATCTTTACTGAATTCTTGGAAGTTACAGGTGATATGGCTGTCAATATTTCTCACGTTTTGGTTGATGCTGTCAAGGATAAGCTTGACAAGTTCAATGATAAGCAAATTGAAACTCTTCCAGAAGATATGTTCAATATTTTGGAAAAGGAAACTTGTCTCGTAATGATGGATACTCATCACAGATTCAAACAATCGCTTGCTTTCCAACGTGAAATGAAAATTGATAAGATTAAGGTTGACAAGCTCAAGAAGAAGAAGGTTGACTTTTAATTGTAAAATATAATGTACATATTTGAGAAGGGAAATTCTGAGAACATTAGCAAGTTTGCAATAAAAGCAATATTACATTCAATTACTATCATTTTCTTCTTCTTGCATGATTTCACCCAAAGGAATTATTTATTAGACAGATCAATTTGATATGATTTTCTAAGTTTACTTCCCAAATACCAATCCATATGTTCATCCATATATTTACACATTTTGTAAACACTTGCCAAATAGCTTGCCTTAATTTCAAATTCCTCCTTCTCATCATATTGAATTGTTTTTGCGAGTGGTAAGGGAGGGAAAAACTTTGAGGGACGTGAAACAATTATTTTGTACAAACCTTGAATGCCTGTCATGAGTTGCTCTCTATTTTCTGATTCGAAATTAATGGATTCAACATGGTTTTCTGTGATGGATTTGAAGAGCTTCGTTTCAGTTTCATTGCCTGGTTTATAGGTGGAAAATTGATTCAGAGCAGATTTTGTAATTGTTACAACTCTTGGTTGGTATTTCAGGTAGAAGAATTTGTATACGGATGGATGGGAAATCATGGCAGGATAGTGTTTGTAAAGTTCCTTATGATAATCATTAGAATACATAATCAAATCGAATAAGAAACACCAATATGGAATGAAGTTCATTGGTGACATTTGGTATGAATTCACAGTTGGAACCAAATAATCAAGAATCTCCCTTACCAAATATTCCTTTCCATAGACGCTTCCTGGATTAGCCTTTCCATTAAATTTGAAAAGGAAAGCTCTATTACTCTTTCCCAAATTTTCAAAATCTGCACTATTCATTTCCTTCACAAAAAACTCATTTTCATTCAACAAGTCATCCTTCTCCATTGCAAAATAATAATAAAACAGCTTGGAATAGTTATATTCAAAAAGTCCAAAATTACTGCTAATCGTACTCCATCTCACAATCAATGGTGAATCAATTCCACTAATTTTCACACTCATCTTGTAATAAGTCTGATTGGTGTTAAATTCCTCTTCCCAAGTAGTACTAACTAATTTGAATGGTTTTCTCAAATTCATTCTAGAATAGAGTGATGAAAAATTGTCTGGAAAACTTCCTTTCAATAAACTTGGTAAAGAACTTCTCGGATCAATTCTCTTTGAGGTTCTGCAAGTGTAGTTTGTAAAATTGTCTCGTATTTTGTGTTTCCAGAATTTGGGATTATTGGTGATGGTTTCTGTTGGTACTTTTGTTTTTCCACTCCGATTGTTGGATAAAAGATGAAAGTAAAATTCCCATAATCGATTTGAGCTTGCAATCATGTTCCATTCCTTGCAGACGAGACACAAGATTCCTACGTGTGAATAATCGAGAAATGTAAATGCATAACAGAGAACATCTTGTGTTGACATTTTTTATATTCATTCATATGATCAAATCCTTGAACTTGTAGAGATATGGTTGTAGTTTACAAAAATAAATTATGATTTTAATATTATAAGTAATTTAACTTATGCTACATAGTTGTACTTGGAACGACTCTCTTGTGAACGTTCTAAATATTCTCTTTCAATCAAACTTTCAATACGCTTCTTAATCATGTCAGGAGATGGCATAAATCTTTGTTGCAATTGTTTAGTAACTTCAATGACCAAGTCTCTGTGTTCCAAGGTCTTTCTTGCCTTCATGATACGAACAATTGTGGCATCCAAAAGCCATTTTCTTTCTTCATCAATCTTTTGTTTAGTTTCTTCTTGTTGTTCCTTAGTTTCCTTCAAAACGATTGGTGCAATCTTAACCTTGATAAGCTTACTTTCAAATTCATTATTTACAGTAAAAACAGATTCCTTAGTCAAAGTCTTATCAGTGCTAGAAGTCAATAACTTTTGGTGAGTAGCGGTCTTGACAGTCAAAGCAAGCAAGTTCTTCTTCAATTCATTCATTGGAATCTTGGTAGTTTGCAAAATATCACCATATGAAATAGTTTCCTTTTCATTGAACAACAACAAGACAACCATTTGGAAGGTGGAAACGTTAATTTCATACTTCTTATCATAACCATTAGCCTTGATATCAGCACTACCCATATTGTATTGCCATGTAAGCTTTCTACCATTGTGAGAATCAATATAGAATTCCTTGAAAATATTTGCAGACTTGTCAATAGTTTCTGGAACTGTAATTGCAATAGATTGAGTAACAGGCCAGTAACCAGTTGTCAAAACTTGAACAGACAAATCAATAGCTGGTTTCTTGTTTGGAAATCTATCAATATAAGACTTGAAAGATTCATTAGTTTCTCTGGAAAGTCTCATATCGTTAAACATGCCTTCAAGTTTGGCAGTAAATTGATAACCAAATTCTTGTTTCAATTTACCGATAAAGGCCTTTTCAGCATCATCAGATTGTGAACGTTGATTGAGCAATCTCTTAGCCAAGTGAGTCTTGTAATACTTTTCGAAAATATCCTTTTCACGCAAATGTCTAAAGAGAGTAATAACTTGTTCAAAGAGAACATCAAATTCAGATTCACTAACTTGGGTCTTACCCTTCTTCAACTTGCTGTCAACATAGAGTGACAAGAATTCAGGGAATCTTTCATTGGCATTAATAGTATCATCAAAAGCTTTCTTAACACAAGCTTGGAATTTAGAATCTCTGGCAGATTGTTTACCCTTCTTGACAGAGAAGGCACGATCAAGCAAACCTTCATACTTTTCTTTCAAAACAATCAAGTCAGCAATAAAATCGACTGGATTTTCTTCCTTATTCTTATCTTTAACAATTTGATAACCTTCACTTCTACAAAAGTTTTCAACCAAATCAACACATGGATCCAAAGCACCTTCAACAAGTGACAAGACATCGAATACAAGACGTAAATCATCAACCTTCCAAGTTTGAAGCATGGCAATACATCCCGATCCTTCCTTTTCAATAATTCTATGCTTATACTTATCAATCATTACATTCTTGAGAACAGCTTCAATTTTTGGTTTAGTATCAGGGTCCATACATCTGTCAACTCTTTCTCTTTCTTCCTTCAAACGAAGAGTAACCTTCTTAAGATAATCAGTAGCAGTAGAAGATTCGAAATATTCATTGGATTCCTTGGTATAGAATTGTCTAGTTTCATCTAAAAGCTTCTTTTCAAAGTGAGTTTCATAGATATCCTTCTTGGAAATTTCAATCATCATTTGTGTAAGACTCTTCATTAAGAAACGATCGGCAACAACTTCACCACATCTGTCCTTGAGGATAATATCCATGATAAGTCTTTGAATTCTTTCCAAAGTAGATTTGTGGAAAACTTCAGTACCAAAAAGTTTGATACCAAGTTCATAAACTGGTGTCTTTTTAAATTGTTTAACATAGTTACGATCCATATACATGAGAATATCTCTGACCATGCTTACGGATGTTCTGTGCTTTTCCCATTGTTTTAAAAGTTCCTTCAAGAATCCATCATCAGTGAATTCCATAGTCTTTTCTCTAACACCTTGAATGTATTCGCTGAGCTTGTTCTTGACAGCATCATATAATGAGTCTCCGTTTTTGTGAAGAACGATTTGGTAGCCCGATCTATCATTATTGTTGTGTAGATCATCATGTTTTTGTTGTTGATCATATTGTGTGTTGTATTAAAATGATGGAAAGTGGAGAAAAGGCCATCAAATCAACAAAATATGGAATAATTAACAATAACACGAATCAAGGTAAATCATCTCCTTTTTCTATAGAAACAATAACAACTTACGTATAAAGAACTTGGAAAGATAATTGGGATTGATTTTCTTGATAGATTTGATCAATAGCATGGATGATTTTTTCCAATTTATCATCAACATCACTCTTTCCCATTTGTCCCTTTCTTTGAATATAACTAGGAATGAGCAACTTGTTGGTTCCACCCAAAGATGGTGTCTTTCCTCCTTGACTCATTTTGAAACTCTCGAAATCTCTAGCAGAAGTATATACTACTGATGATGTTTATATAGTATTAATACTATTTAAAATACAAAATATTCTTATTGTTGTACAGAATTGATGATGAATCACACAAATACAGCAAGCAGAGGAGCAGAGCAATTATAAATTTAATGCGACGATTATGAAAAAACTCCCTGCGAATTTTTTTTCGATTTTATTTTTGGATCAATGTGTTTACTTGTTCATGGTGTGCTGAATGCCGAGTTCATCGTTGCGATTTTCATTTCCAATGTTGAAGTTGTAAAGTGTGATGATCGACTTAAATAATAATAAGGGTACTGGTCAGATTTGAACATATGAAAATTTTCAATATGGCAAATCAAATGTTAATTATTAACAACATGTAAAATTGTTAATTTTTAGAACATGTTAATGATGGATGTCTATTTGATGGGTACATCAGATTGGAGAGAATGGAATCAATTCCGTAGAGTTCAGTCATTGATGGCCTCTCAAAGACGAATTAATAGGACTCAATTGAGGGATGACATCAAAATGCAATCCTTAAACAAAAAAGCAAATATGAAAGCAAGTAAACCTTGGTCTTGTTGTGATAGCATCTTGAGTTATCTGACAGATACTGAATGCTTTGCTTTTGAGGATGATGAATTCCTTCATTTCAATGAATTATTTAAAGATACCAATCAAATATCTTTTCTTTCCAATCCACTACAAGAGAATATAATTCCATTAACAATTCCAGGAAGGGATTTATCCAAAATGTTTGACCAATTGGTGTGTGCAATAGATTCTCGTTCTCTTAAATTATTACAGGAAGTAGAACCAGTAGAGCAGAAATTTATACAGTACTATAGAGATTTGAAGAAGGTGGATTCTCCTTGTGCACAAGGAGATTCAATTCATTCTCCTACTACCTCTGTAGAGTCAAAACATAATGGTTCTACATCAACAACAAAGGATGGTGTGAAAAAGAATTATAATTTGAGATCTCAAGCAGAAGAACCTCAATCAAAGAAGAGAAAGACAATGGATTCAGATTCTGATGAAAGCTCTTCCTCAGATGAAGATGAAGACACTTCTTTCGATCCTACCTCTGATAGTGATGTTGAAACAATTCGTATCACAAGAAGCAAATCAGTTTCTTCCAAAGTTACATCCTCCAAATCCAAATCTACCAAGGACTCTAATGAAGAGAAGACAAAGAGGAAGAGAAAAAGAACCACCTACAGTAAGGCACACACTGATATTCTCAAAAACTTCATAATACGTAATCCCGACTATCCCTATCCAAGTGAGGAACAGAAGCAAGAACTATTGAAGGAGATTGAATATAGCATGACCAAGGAACAACTAGAGACATGGTTTGTCAATCATAGAAAGCGTTATGCTAGTCGAGAAAATTTGGGCAAACATAAATCACAAAACCATTCAGGTTCGCATGCAAATAATGGTTTCAACAGTGCACTTGAAAAGAAGCTCAAGCAGGAAAAGAAGAAATAATACCAGAATAATTCCGTAATCAACAATTTGAAATTCATAATCGAATGTATTTCTTCCTTGTAAATAAATAACAAATTTTCATCACTCCACCACTTATCTACTATCATACTATAAACTCATACATTGATGAATACATGAATCCACTCAATTCTTCATACAATCAAACTCCGACCTAATAATCTCATGCCGAGACACTTTTTGATGATTTTTTTGACCGTTACACAAGATATTTTTTGGGCGCGAAACTCCAACAAGCCTTTGCAAAGTGATGTGGCAATATTGTGTTGATGGATTAGCAACATAGTTCGGAGAATGCTCCAAACATGAAGCACACACAATAATTAAAATGAATTCACAACCAGCCTATGAGGAAGACGAAGAGATTTTTCTCTCGGTTAGAGTGAATGATTTCATGTTGCAAATGTACGTGTTTTTTGTTAGAGAAAGAAGAGTTTGATTTTTGTATGATGATGAAAATTGTTTACTATAATTATTTTATGTTAATATCGTGTAATGAATGGATTACAATATATTGGAATATGGTCTAAATTATTGGAATTATCATTATGATTAATAATAATATTAAAATATTTAAATATATTTAAATTTCGGAATATTATCAATTAATATTAATTTTAATTAGTAAGGAATTTGAACAAATCATCATGTCTCGAGATTCAACTTCTCTTCTTCAAGGATTATGTACAAAATCCTTGTCTGGTAATTTGGGACAATCAACCATACGTTCCATCATTTGGAAGATATTTCTCGGATTACTTCCACTGAATAAGAAGGAAGGAACTGATCATTGGAATGCTAAAGTGAATAATGATAGAGCCAGATATGAGGATTTGATTAAAAAGCATGAAATTGATCCAAGAAAAACACAAGCAGCAAATTCATCAGAGGATGATGTTGTTGATGTTACATTTTGTGATCCTCTTTCACAATCACAATCGGTAGGTTATTGTTTAAACAATGTGGATTTATTAACATTATTTCAAATTAATGAATTCTATTAAAATCTATTATCAATTAATGATGATGATGATATTATCATTTGAAAATAGAATCCTTGGTCTGAATTCTTTGAAAATTCAGAATTGGAAAAGGTTATTGTTCAAGATTTAAAGAGATTGTATCCAGAATATCCATTCTTTAGAACTGAAGAAATTCAAAATTATTTAAAGAGAATGTTATTTATTTGGTCGAAAGAAAATGATGATATTTCGTACAGACAAGGAATGCACGAGTTATTGTCACCAATTTTGTTAGTTGTATATAGAGATGCCCAAGATATTTCCAAATATGAATACATGATGACTGAGGAGGAGGATCAAAAATTGAAACTCATTCTGAACTTGTTGGATCGTAAATATTTGGAGCATGATACATATTGCCTCTTTGAGAAATTAATGAGCAAAATGAAAGAGTTCTTCCTTGTTAATGAAAAACCAGTGGTTCAAAATACTCTTTCCAAAATTGCTACCAAGAGTCCACTCGATGAAATGTTAAATAGAGAAAGAAAGATTGATGCTTATGATTTACCGATTTTCAAAATTTCAAATAGAATTCAATACTTACTCCTCGAAAAGAAAGATCCAGAACTGTACAGACATCTCATCAAGATGGCAATTGAACCACAAATATATTTATTGAGATGGGTCAGATTACTTTTCGGTAGAGAATTCCACATTGATGATGCAATCATTTTGTGGGATGCAATATTCTCGGATTGTGGAGGTTTCAGAGCTGAGAAGGTTTCTTCATCGGATATTGATCTCTCACTCGTTGAACACATCTCAGTTGCCATGTTGCACTATATTAGAAAGAGTTTGCTCGCCTCTGATTCAAGTTATTGCTTGAAGAGATTGATGAGATATCCACCTGTTGAGGATGTACACATTTTCATTGAGCAAGCCTTAGAGTCAAGATCTAGACCAAACAGTTTGCTTCCATCTATGGAGCCCTTGACGAATGATGTTTCACCAACTGCTACTCCCCTCATGGCTGTAAAGCAAGTTGCACAAGAAGTTGATTCATCTCCTTTCCAAAGAATGCAAAAGGATGTGCCAATCACTGAGAGAAGCATCAAGACATCAAAGCTCATTCCTCAACCAACCTCTTCTTCAAATTCAGTTTCACCAAAGAAAACAAATGGTAATGGCACTACAAATAGCAAACCATCCCCTTCTTTATTCGGTGGTGTTGGTCAATTATTCCCTGGAAAGATTAAACCACTCAATAATCCAACCCCTTCCATAAGAACAATGGCAACTTCACACCACTCTTATTCCAATGAAGCTCAATCCTATGTTGCTAAGGAAAAGAAGTTGGGTGATGTTGTTGATGTAGTTTTAAATGTATTACAAGAAATGGCTTTAGAGTAAGTGTTTCTATTGTGAATGTTTAACTGACTTTTAATTTTCAATTATAATTTTAATTTCGAATATAGTGGAAAAATGGATGAGGATAGATTATTAATGTCTGTGGCTGAATTGAAACATGTGAGAGATTGTCTCAAATTCCAATTACCTTTTGAAGATAGAGAAATTGAGTGGATTATGAAAAAGCTTTCACCAAAATCGCCACGTGAAACTGATGAAACAAAGGATGATACTGTAAATACACCTCCAAAAGATGAAAAACCTTCCAGTTCTGGAATAATAGATTTCCACGATTCTCCACTCCCTGTCAAGAATGCCATTCAAAAGGTTCCATCTAAAGAAATTTTTGAAACTCAAAAGAAAGAGAATCCACCATCTGAAGAAGCTCCTCATCCATTACTCTAGACAATTTATTAATTTTGAATTGATTCCGTAAATTTACACAAGGCTAATGATTCCCATGCTGATAGAGAACACAGTGATGAATTATTTTCTTGTTTTGGAACTATCATTCTTTGGAATGATGGATCGTTAATTAAAAATGTTTTTGTACTAATAGTCAAGTGCCAAGTATCATTGATAGTAAGATTAATTTCTTCCGAGTTAGTGACATCATTAGATCGATTCTTTTGTTGTGTTCTCTTATCATATTCCCATGTTTTATCCTCAGGATTGAGTTTCCATTTATCTGGCTCCAAATTATCATCATACCATCTTTTCCCATATTTAATCTTACCAATCTTCTTAGGATTGGCTGCGTAGAGAGTTTTTGTGATGGTTGAGAGTTGCTTTTCATCTGCAATCTTTCGCATCAATTCATTCCAATCTCTATTGAGCTTCAATTGTTGAGCAAACCAGGTTCCATCATAATTATAATTTAAAGGGCCAGCTGATTGTTCCATTTTGTCAATTCTAAATGCTTTAAAGCTCCTTATCAATAAAATGGTTTCATCCTCAATAAGCCCAAGTTTTTTCCTTTCCAATAGGGAGCGAATTTGGTTTTCAATCCATAAATTGGTACCAACAGTTACAATGCTCGAATAGTGAACCAAGACGGAAAGTAAAATATTACTTCTCTGGATTGGTTCTCTATTTTCTAAGAGTTTGTTTAAAATTGCATACTTTGCCGTTTGAGAAATGTAGCACGAATAGAGCATTTTCAAAATTAAGTCCTTTCGCATGGATGTGATCCATTCCGAAACAGTTTCAGATTCATTGTTGCTAATCATGGCTAGCATTTCCATTTCATCATTAATAATTCTATTGGAAAATCGTTTTACATATTTTCTGTTAAAACCTGACAGTTTTCTACTCAAAATTTGAACAAGCGAATTCGAGGTTTCATTGTGTTCCACTAGTATTTCTGATAATATTCCCAAAAATGATTTCTTCAGAGGATTTTCGTTAGCACTGCTGATTTTCATCTCTATTTATGTTCTTAATAAACTTACGTTTTAATTTCTGAATAAATTGAAAGTAAATAATTGAGGAGAGAAGATTCTTGCAAAGAGCTCGTTGATTCTGCCTTTAAACAAGTAATAAAATAATCCACTTTCGTAGAAAAATGTTGACCTCTCTCTGATTGCAAATTTACAAAATCATTCATAAACTTGTATGGAAAATTCTCCAAAATCCAGTTAGTTTGTAACAAGTTAGTTTGAGCAGAGTTATTTAATTTAGAAATAGTCTGCTTTAAAAAGTATGCACAGAATAATCTATCAATTATTCGGTCCTACATTTTCATATTGAATAAAATTATAATTAATAACTTAAAGCACTTACAATAATAAAATTTTGAAGAGCATGTTTCTTTCTATTGGAATCTATTTCTTCCAATAATTCTTCAAAATTACAAATCTCTCCAATACTTTGTCTCAAATATGAAAAGGAAAATACAGAATATTCCTCATTGAGTCCTGATTCCAAATTCATCAACATGTCACTTGCTTGGTGTAGTGTGCTCTCTACAGATTGATTAATATTTACATTTACAAATGTTCCTCGAAGTTTACAAGTTATAAATTCTATAAGGGTCTTCACATTGAAAAGATACATGAAAAAGCTTATGATTGTGCTTCCTTTCATATGTATGAACGTATCCATAAATTCCTCAATTTCTTCCCAGTAGGGATAGATTTTAGAGTTGTCTGTTTTTGAAAACATGGACTTCCAAACATTGAACGATTTGTAGAGGTGAGATTTTGAGACATGTTGATTCCTTTCTATCTTTCCATTTACTTTGACTTTTGATAGTAAATTCCTAATACACTTATTTGAAATTACTTCCATTGAATCCAATATTCTGGAAAATATCATTGTTATATCCTCGCTTTTTTCCATAAATGTTGATTTTACACCAACATGTCCCAATAAATTATCTAGCATTTCGAAAGTGAGTATACCAGAATACTCTTCATTCTCGATGGGATTGTAAACTTTGGCCAAGTGCACAAAGCTATCAATAGAAGGAGAGAGTGGTTGCTTTTTCAAATGGTGAACATCATGCTCGAATTTTTCCAATCCTTTCAAACCAAAATCTAGTAAAAATCGAGTATGTGAAGAGTGATGACGCGATTGTTGCTCCAGTCTTAAACTCAATTTTCTAAATACCAAATAGAGCTGTAATCTCTCCACAATCGTTCCATACCTCAATTTTTTCACTCGTTCAATTTCTGCCTTTACATGCTTCCAACAAGTAAATAATTGAGCAATACTGGAATGACTCGACAAGACTCTATCTGAAAATAACACAATCCACGACAGCTTTTCTCTCGGAACAATTATCAATGATTTCAACTCGGAATTGATATGAATTTTCATCGATGAGAATATCAATCTCCTCAGCATTCTAATCGGAAACACTATCATTCTCGTAAATTTAGCAAACCACTTCATCATTGAATCTAATTTTCGTGTCCTCTCCACAAACGAAGCATAAAACTTGAATTTTAAATAATTAAACCTCCTCTTCAATAAATTCCAATCCATAAACAGACATTTACATTCATTCAACGATGATGAATTTTCCCTTCCATCATTTTCCATCCACTCAATAATTGTCTCGTATTCCTTCAAAAGCCTCTTTCCAATCTTTTCCATTGAATTTCCTCGTTTTTTGTTTTCATAATTTCCACCTTCCAATTCCGAAACTCTTCCATACAATGAATAAAACAAGGCTTGTTTGAGGTGGATTTGCAAAGAATGAGAAAAATCCTTCCCTGCCGATCCACTCATTTTTTTTTGAATTTAAATAAATAAATAATCAAATAATATTTTATTTAATTAATATTTAATAATATAAAAATATTAATATTTAATAAAATTAAGTAATGTTTTTCATATTGAATAATATCCCTCTCATAAATGACAAAAAATTGTTTTAGAAAACATGTGAAATTACAATTTATTGAGAAATGAGGAAAAAGAATTTTGTCTTTGCAAAATGTTTTTCCTTAATTTTAAATTTTGATTTCCTCAAAATGATGATTACTATTTTTTTTGAACAACTTGCATTTTGATTTTATTTAAACTGTAAATGAAATTACATGTTGGATTGGAAAGAATTTGGAAAGATCGAAACTACTAGTTCCAAACAAGTTCAAAGGGCATTTTGGTGGAACTTTAACCCTTACATCTCCTTCCCAAATATAAAAACATCTTTAGAAAAAACTAAAAAACTTACCTGCCAAACTTCAACATTTATTTGAAGGATAAAAGAGTTATCTATTTTCTTTTTAATTAAAAAACAACAAACTAGAGAATTTGAAGAAATGAATCCGTATGAAGAACAACAACAACAAAATAACGATACAAATCAAAGTGGAGTTGGAGGTTATGTAAATTATTACAATCCATATGTTCCTTCCTATGTTGTTGGTGGAAATGGAGGAAATGGCTCTGAATCATCGACACCTGTCATTATTGATTCAGCATCTTCATCAACAACACAATATTATTCTTCCTATCCGAATAGTGATACTAATTATACTAATCAGTATTATTCTGGAGGTGGTGGTGATTATTCGAATCAAGCTCCTCCTGTGAGTGAACCGAGTATTGTGGTAATTAGTGAAAGACCAGTTGAGAATGTTGTGAATTTACCTCCACAGAAAATTCATAATGATGACGTGAAAGTGGATCCTGTCATTCAGAGAGAATTGGCAAATAGTTCAAATATTTCGGCTGTTTCGGAAACTGCACCAGCTGCAACCACAACCTATTCGAATAATAATAATTACAGTGCTACCAATAATACCTCTTCTAATTACAATAGTAGAAGAAGAACAAGTTGGAAATGTCCAACAATTTCATGTTCATGCCCATCATTTTCTTCAATTGATTGTGATTGCTCAGCAAAAACCAAGGGAATACTCGTTATTTATGGTGGAGGTGTCTTGCTGGTTCTCATTGCACTGGCATTATTTGGAGTAGGTGGAGCTCTGTACGGAGTTGTTAATTCAGATTATTATTGCTATAATGATCCAAATGGAATTTCTTATGTTCATCAAGGATGTTGTAATGCAACTCTGAATGGTTGTTCCTATTACAAATCGAATTCCTATTGTTACTTTACCATTTCATTTCCAAGGTTGGGCAGTGCCAAAATTCAACAAGATCCTAAAAAAGGATTTGGGTTGACTTGCTCAGCTGTTGGAAATCAAGTTGTGACCATGACCTCTGCCAAAACTTACTCTAGTTCTTTTTCCCTCTCTATGCCCTCTTCCTCAATGATAGATTGCTACACAAACAAGTATGAAACAGCAGTATCTCTGGACCCATACAGTGACTTGTACACTTCTTACATTACTGGTGGAGTTATTTGTTTTTGTTTTGCTGCACCAATTTTATTTTTCGTATTTATTAAGGTTGCTATTTGGCTCTATGTCAAGTGGAAAAACAATTAAAATGACATCATCATTTGGAAGTAGTGAGGAAATAAATTGTAATTTGTTGTATAAAATTACAATGTACTACAGAAGAAACACTTATTTAGGTCCTTCTACCGTACGATAGATGGTCAATTAGGTTGGGAATGTTATTTTGTCTACTACAAACCTATTTGTAAATATCTCAACATAATTGAACAATAGAAATTTCAATATTGGTGACTTGCTTCCTTTTATTTACCATTACAATTCCAAGTAAGAAATAATTATTTAGTAATTATTAGAAATCAAGGAAGGATATTTTTACCGAGGATATATTTTGAATGTACCTTTATTGGTATGATAGCCACCCTAGATCAACCTTTCAAACTCGAGAGAAGAATCTAGTTCACTAATATGATTTTCTTACACGAAAAAGGAAAACATAACACTTACCATACAAACAATGTACTCAACTTTAAATTAACATTCCAGTACATACTTTCAACAGACCATTGGATCCATGAATTGTATTTCGAATCATCCTTATTTATTAGATCGTCCCTTAGAAAAGTGAAAAGTCCACATTGGGAAGTTAAATTGCATTGAAAGTTGTGATGGAGAAGTGGAAGAGTTTTTCCGTTTCCTTGTTGTTTTAGTTTGTTTGGTCAACTTGGTATTTATCAGTGTGGGTATGTTTGAGGATGACGATGAGGAAGTATTATTCGAATTAGTGGTGGAAACGATTGAATTCTTTCGTTTTGGACTTGAAGCAAGTTTAGTCTTGCTATCCTTAGGATTCATATTGGAGCTATTCGAAGGTGAAGTAATGGTTTGGAGGAGAGAATTGATACTTGTTGGGGTAGAAGGTGAAGTAGTGTTAATTGGATTATTGGTTGATTCTCCAACATTAGGCAAGTTTCCACTTTCATTGGACGGCGAATCAGCATTATTCGAAAGGTAATTTTTCTGATTGAAAGAAGTGGATGACGATAGATGTATTCTTGGCGATGGTTCTACATTCTGGTTGTTGATTCGATTCATTGTCGGTGGTGAAGAACTAACATTATTCGAATCTATTGGTCCATGTTGTAGAATAATTGAATTTTGCTCTTCATCCTGTTTTGTGAGAAAGGCAAGAAACTTGGAGAAGGATGATTCATTGTTGGAAACTTGTTGATTTAATGATGACTGAGCTGGTTCATCAATGAAGAATTGTTGCCTATTGGTTTCGAATAGTTCTGGTTGAGTAGAGTTTTGATGAGAAGTAATTGGCGATGATGAAATAATTGTCGTATTTCTCATCATTGTATAATTGGATAATGTAGGTGAAATCACATCTTGAGCAGGATCCCTTTCTAATAACTTTAGTCTGGAATAGGATTCGCAAAAATCATCGATATCCAGAGAGAGAAAGGTTTGTGAGTTTGTCGATCCTAAACTATAGGTTGTTTCAATGGAAGAATTCAAAGAATTTGGTGTTGACCTAAACATATTCTTATCCGAAACTCGATTATTGAACTAGTCGCCGGCAATGAGTTGACAATTTTTATTTGTAGCGTTAAATAATCATAATACTTTGTGCGTTTAATATTTAAAATGCAAACGAAAGGTCTTTAAAGAATCTGTCATCATGATAGTTGGCAACTGACAAGGTAAGTGTACTTACAATGAAAATCATTTTGTTTCAAACAAAACAGGTGCAAAACCACTATTAAAAAAACGTGAAGTTGAATTGACAAGATTCACTTACGCTCACCATATCCAAATAATTTGTATATATAAGGAAATTGTTGTCAAAAAAGGATAGAAGAAAAGTGAGGTGTTTGATGACTATGGGAGTCCTAATGCTTGGTTTTAATCTTTGACCAAAAGGAAGAAGAGATAGTAAATTGAAATGCTGAGAATGTGAGTTTCGTATTATACAAACAAGACAAGAATTGAGTAAAAATTCCAAAAGAAATTGTCGCCTTTCTTAATATTTTGGCAATTATTGCATTGTATCATGTATCTCGGTTAGAAAGCAACATCTATTTAAATACCTTTTTATTATCCTCAAAGATTAGTTTGGTTTTATTGGAAAGGAAAGTTACAAAACTTGAACCTTGAATACATTCATGTTTTTATCTGGAATACCTAAAACACGACCTGCATGAATACTAGAGTTCAGGGAAAAAAATTGATCCTTAATAATCGTGTTGAGATTCGTCTAGTTTCGCTTTTAAATCTGCGACATTTTTCCGTTTGGATAAAAGGTTAATAGAAACACAATTTTTTAACATTTTATAATTCTTGCAGATTTATTCCCCAATGCCCTGTAACTTTACAAGAAATTTAAGGAACAGATTGCAAAGCTTATATGAATCCAATTTGAGACTCAGGATTTCTAAATGTGGAACTGTAAAGTTTCGAATATCAAATTGGAAAGTAGCTCCGTAAGCATCAGATTTTTCAAAGTCAATTATATGAAAATGTAGTCTTGAAATTATTTTGTTATAATTGAGATTCGACTAGTTTCATTTTCGAATCTGTCATTTATCAAACACAATTTAGCAATTCATTATTTGGATCATATTTACAGTTAATTCATTAGAGGTCTACAGGATGGTATTTTAAAATCTTGTCATTCGAATAGAGTTGGTTCACAATTCTACAAACTTTAATGAATTTCCATATTTTCTTTTTCAATAAAAATGATATACACTAGAAGCTCCAAGAACACTCAGTGAGAAATGATGTGTACTACATTGTTGTTAGTTTTCATTTCAGAAGTTCCAGGAAGTTTCTTATTCGAATACTAAATTGGATCAGTATTATCCTCACTGTAACTATTCCTTAACTAATAACCTCAATCGATGGCTAAAAAATGTTGGCAAAATAGTTACTAATGTAGATGACCCTTTCAGCAGCAACCGTTAGAGATAATTGAAATAGGTCAGTGAGAATTTCACCTTTCACAAACACATCAAAAAAAAATGTCAAGAATCAAAAATCTTTTATTATGTGATATCTTCCTGCTTGTTGTCATTGCACTGACAGTCAATTCAGTTAAATCCTATCAGATTGATGACTGTCCTTTGTATTGGCGTTTATTTTCGAATACTTCAACTGTTTCAAATACAAATTATACGAAACTAATGATAGAAAATTGGGAGGAGTGGTATTGTGAATCGATACCGAACACATTATTCGATAAGGATATTTACTATGGATTGGATGGAGCAGCTCTTTCGGATTGGCAGTACAATGTTCTCTTTATTAGAAGAGAAAGTTTATTTTGTGAAAAGGTGAAAGTGGACGAAAGTGTGTGGAATGTTTACGAACGAGCAATTAATCATTATTCGAATATTTCCATGATGAAAGAATGGATTATTCCCCATTTGGAAAAGTTAGTGTTGGAAAATCCTCAAAATATCTTTCAAACTCCAAGACCTTATTTTTTATACGAATTCGACAAGCAAGTTTCGAATGATGGAACAACATTCTTGGAATTGGTGAATGCTTTCAATTATTTACTTTATTGTAAGAGAAATAATTCCAATTTTGAAATTTTTCACAAAGAATGGCTTCCTAATATGGTAACTCAAAGTAATTCCACAAAAGTTCAAACTCTAAATGTTTTATTCGGAGATAATGTCAAGAGTGTATGTGGACGAAACGAGTTGACACTTCTCAATCGAACACAACTTTGTCTCTGTTCGAATGGAAACCAATTCGAAACTCTTTCCTCATTCGAATGTGAAAGTGCCTTTGTAACTTTCTGGGTTCCACTCGGTGGTCATCTCTCACTCAAGATTATAGAACTCGTTATTTATTTGATTCAATTAGTTTCGATTATTTTCCTCATTTTCATTCCAATTTCGTTTCAATATTGTAAAAATTGGAAATATTATATTCATCGTAGACGAAACACAAAATATATTAAGAAGAATGAATTGGAAGGTGTGAAAAACTCACAAAATGTCACAAATCAAATTTCTCTTAAAGATGAAAATAATTTGACACCTCGTGGATTGGAAAATTCAATTAAGGAAAAGTCTGAAAACAGTGGAGTTAAGGAAAATCAAGAAACAATTCCAGAAAAATCTGAAAAAAGTCAAACGATTGTAAGCGAAAGTCAACCGAAAAAAACTAATGTGAGAGAAAGTTTACAAAATATTGATTATGAACTCATTAGAGTATTATTTGATAATAGACTGTTTGCAAGTATTTGCATTGTTCTGTCACAATTAATTTTGACAGTTAATGCATTGCTATTTATTGTCATTCAGGGAACTAATGGAATATCTCTATATGATAATTATAATTTCACATTATTGGTATCTGCTGATTGTTATGTAACGATTGGAAATGTTCCATTAGCTGTGTTATTTTATGAAATATTACTGAAAATGTCAGATGAAAAGAAGAAAATGTCACTTGTCGGATTGGTTACTGTCTTTATAGTTTGCAGCAGCTTATTCATTTTGACAGTTGCTTGTCTATGCTCAACCATTGTCCCAATTGAAATTCAAAACTACATACGTGTCATTTGTCTAATTTTGACATTAATTGCCTTAATAATTTCATGGTCAATTCTCTTTGGATATTCAATGAAAATTTATCTTCTCTTATCCAAATATAGAAAGATTAATGTGATGAGATTCAAATTTTCACAATATTTATTACTGTTAATAGTGTCCATTTCGTATTTGTTATACGAAATGATTTCAGAATTTGGATTTGCGACTGAACTTTATGTTTTTGAGAATTTGTGGACAATTTTGTTTAAACATCGAATTGGAAGTTATGTAATTGGATTTTCATTGTGGGGAATGACCTATGTCTTATTTTCAAAACAATACTTTGAGGAATGTTATGCAAGATTTTGGAAGAAATGAGACGAAAGTTTTACAAAATTAAAAATAAATTTCAAAAACAAAAAAAACAAAACTTTCCTTTTAGCTTTTAACCACGCTAAGCTGTAATCATATTAACAACATCATGGCAGCGACCAACAACAACACTGCTCATTCACCAAACTTTGAACAAATAGATAAAGATTTCGACCGCCTTCTTTTCCTTTCATGCAACCATGTTGAGAATAATAACAACAATAACCTAACTTTACACTCCATCACGACTCGTATTAATTCTGATCAACATCCTGACCACGGCCATCATAATGATCATGTTCATCATCATCAACAATATCCAGCCGATAGTAGACATTTAATAACAACCAGAACAAGAACAACATTAGCACGAGATGGAGGAGGAGTAGTTGGTTTTCCATTCGTCGACAAGGCTAGCAACATGTATAATAATAATACCGAGCAGACCAGGAATTTTAATTGAAGCCTTTCATGTATGCGCAAAGTCCAAGACTGTGCGTTTGGGGCTGAGGTTTCTTGGTCTGATTGGTGGTGTATTCTAACCTTCTCGCTGCTGCTTAATTGAGATTTGTTTTTTGCTCTACATATGCTACTTGTTGAGTATTTTCTGTATTTGGTTATTGTGTTTCGATTATGTTCATGTGTTGTCATTTGCAAATAAAAGAATGTTTTAATATAGATTGTAATTATCTATCCAAAATAATCTCAAAAGTCCTGTGAAAACTTGAAGACCATTTCTTGCCAAACTTTTTCAGGTAAGTTGGAAATTCTATTGCGATCCTTGAAAAGTTGTTTTCTGTTGGTAATGCTAAATTTGATAATATCTCTCATAAATTGCTCAAATGGTTGTAAATCAAGATATTTTTCACATGCTTCAAGTATTGTAAAGTAATTATCAATGGATAGATTAAAGTTATTCTTGCAATAATCGACCAGATATTGAATTTCATGTTTCATTGCCATATCAAGTAATCCAATAATTTTAACAGCATCAATTTTGTCAATTGAAATTCCATAACAATGTTTGATCACAATTTCCAATAATTCTAAATCTTCTGATTCGTCAGGTGTGAATATTCCATCATCACTTAAATCACTGAAACAAGATCCACTGTCAAATAATGCATTAAACAATGTACTTGATGAACTCAATACAGTTTTGTGACAATATAAGTATTTGTTTTGTCCCATTTTGATTTTCACATCACTTGTTTTCTTGTCATTATATAATGATTCAATTGTTTGTGGTTTAATCTCAATTGTTTCCTCAATATTAATTGCAGTTGGTTTAGTAATGATCATTTTTGAAAAAATGGCAACACCATTTCTCATAATTATTGGAAGAGTCGGTAATACAGTGTTTCCTTCTTTAGTCCTCATTTGAACAACAGCATATTCAATACAATAGTTATTCAAATGATCAAGAATGTAATTTTGAACATTGAATTCCTCCTTGCAAATTTTGAGTAAATTTTCAATTGTTTCCCATTTGAAAGTAAGATTTTCTAATGTGAGTGAGTTCACAAATTCACTTGTTAATGATCTTTTCAAATCAATAAATTCACCATTCTTAAATAAACCCAAAATGAATAAAACATCCAACATTTCTTCTTTGTTAAACTTTACCTTATTCTTATCGTATATCAAAGAGTCAATTAATTTTTGAATAATTTCTTGTTGTGATGAACTCATCAAACAAAGTATCTTTTCATTCTTCAAAATGTTACTAAATTTTGGTGAAGTTTTTTCAATGAGGGGAATGAATCCATAAATTGGCAATCCAAATAATTCATCTCTTGAATGTTTTTTCAATTATGAAATTCTATTTTAGAATGTAAGTTACCATTTCCAGTTAATAACTTATTTCCAATATGAGGATACGTTCTAATATCAAAAGGTGAATCACCACTGAATCCAGCAGTTCCATTTCCAGCAATTGTTACAATATTTCCATTTTCTAATATTTTTCTAATTCTATGATTATAATAATCAGCAATATAAACTTCATTATTTGATGAAACAAAAACACCCATAGGATTATTCAGTTGTGCATTTGTTGCAGGACCATTATCACCACTGAATCCACCAGTTCCATTTCCAGCAATTGTTACAATATTTCCATTTTCTAATATTTTTCTAATTCTATGATTATTATAATCAACAATATAAACTTCATTATTTGATGAAACAAAAACGCTATAAGGATTATTCAGTTGAGCATTTGTTGCAGGACCAAGGTGAATCACCACTGAATCCACCAGTTCCATTTCCAGCAATTGTTACAATTTTTCCATTTTCTAATATTTTTCTAATTCTATGATTATAATAATCAGCAATATAAACTTCATTATTTGATGAAACAAAAACACCCATAGGATTATTCAGTTGTGCATTTGTTGCAGGACCATTATCACCACTGAATCCACCAGTTCCATTTCCAGCAATTGTTACAATATTTCCATTTTTTAATATTTTTCTAATTCTATGATTATTATAATCAACAATATAAACTTCATTATTTGATGAAACAAAAACGCTATAAGGATTATACAGTTGTGCATTTGTTGCAGGACCATTATCACCTCTGAATCCAGCAGTTCCATTTCCAGCAATTGTTACAATATTTCCATTTTCTAATATTTTTCTAATTCTTTATTACTTTGATCAGCAATATAAACTTCATTATTTGATGAAACAAAAACACCAAAAGGAGAATTCAGTTGTGCACTGGTAGCAAGTGAAGACATTTTTTTAATTGAAATCTGAACGGAAAAAACAAAATTCAAAGGTTGAAAGGTGAATTTGACAACTTGTTGATAATACCACTTTCAACAGGAAGCAAAGGATGAAGAACATGGCTGGCAAGAAACTAAACAGAAGCCTGCATATTGTTCATTCACTCCGATACTTTACCAGCTTTGATGTAGCGTGATGATGGTAAGAAGTGAGGTTGCAAGGATTTTTTTCCCGCCTTCTTTTTCTTTTGTTTTTTTCATCACGTCCTTTGACTTCGCCACGTTGTATTGTGCTTACTGGCTGTTGGTAAAATATTGTTGATGAATCTTCCTTTCTAATTACAAAAGTGTACAGTCCATTACTATCTCTACATATCCTTAACTAATTTCTTGATGGAAATATTATTGCAAAAGGCATTCATGAAGCATTGTAATATATACTACCAAGTACTACGGCTACGAAAAAAATGTTAGTAAGATTACTAACAATTGAGTTATGACTTTTTGCTGACGTTAGATAAAAAAGCCCTTCTTCATTGAGTTTGCAATATCTTACCGTGTTTCAACGCATAGTGTTGATACTTCTTTTCCAGGACATGGTTTCCCATCCAACCCAACACTTT